AGGATTAACAATAATTGGCATCGTATAATATTCGTTTCATCATTGAATTTCCAATTCTGCAGTCCAATGTTTAAAAACATGATTACAGTGCCTTACAAGTACGAATCTCAAAGTTGAAAAAGCCTGGATTTAAATAAATGAACATATTACGATGGTAGAAGCACTTAGAAAAGAAAAGGAATATTCTAACTTTATGTCACACCTACATTGTCTCTTCATATAGTACAATGAATGAGCATCATTGGAATCATCTTTGAAGAAAAGCAAATCTAGGCTAATTGTTTCTAAATCATCATACATGATATTATTCTAAAACAAAACAAAACGTTTTCCATTACTAGCTAACAGTAGTGAAATGCTTCACGTCAGACAATACAAACGAATTAAGCTATGCTGAAAAGAAGAAACAAAGATCTTCAAAATTTTGCATGATGGTATCACACCCCTGACCCATCAGTGAATCATAGCCAAAACTATTGTCTATCTCTATGTATGAAAATTATATTTCTAGAAGTTTTTCAATAGCCTATTCTAGTTTTAATTCTTATTGGAAAATTGTTTAGCTCGTTCTGTTCATGTACGCTGAGAAAGTAGAATAAATTGAATTTATTGACTGTCATGGAAAAGAACTAACCAACTATTATTCTCGGCTATTATTTGCTATTCAAATATTTGACTTTAATATTTCTAACTCCATTACAATTTACATTGCTTTTCTTTTTTGCATAGGAAGACTCAGGAATTGCCACAAATCCTGACAACTCGAGATATTTCTGTGAAGGATCCGTGACTTTATTATGGATTAGTTATGACTAAGACCTTGAATTATACGTAGAATGTATTTATTGCAAATTCTTTTGCAAAGCGCTTGAAAATCATCAATAGTATTGCATACAATACATAATGTTGCATCCAAAAGAATTAATTGTGACTTCACAATCGATAATGTTATTTTGTCTGTATATCCATTTATAGTTATTGTTTATCTTTATTCTATAAGAAAACAATGTTTGAAAAGAAAATAATTTGAACATCGGGAATTGAGACATGCCCACAATGTGAAGTGAAACCCATTGAAAAGACAGAAGATGGGTAACAAGTGTTTTGTTCAAATATCAAAAATAATCTCGAATATAAAATGAGATGGTAAATATGATCGTTGAGAAATAAAGTAACATAAGTTGAATGTTTAGCAAGATTTTGATGACTTATTTTTTTAATCTACCAAACCAAATGCTTTGATACGAAGCACTTCTGTGAAAAAGGAAATCTCTCCCTTGTTTTTTCATTTCTTCTATTACATCATCGACCTCTAAGTGTCGCTTCAAGTGTGAACAAAATGTGATACTTGACAAGTTTTCAAATTGAGCGATAATAAATTTCAGTTCATCGATGTTATCTACATAGAGTGTAAGATGCTTCACTTGATTAGACATCATCGAACAAACAGTTCGAAAATATTCAGTAAAATAAATAGGTCGTGTAGTACATAATTTAAGTGATTCGACATTGCAGACTTGATTTAATAGATTATTGATAGCGATAGTAATATTCTGAAAGGATTCTTCATTTAAGTCTAATGTTAACGAAAGTGAATAAAGATGTGATAAATCGATAAGTCTCGATAGATAGTCGATTGAATCATTTGAAAAATTATTGTTTATCAATAGTTTAAGTTTCTTTACTCTTGAGAATAAGGGACGATTTAGTAGTAAATTCTAAATAAAAGAAAAGCAGTAAAAAAACAGCTAGAACTGTATTTAAAACAAAAGGGCGTTTTAGGGTTATAGTGATGTAAACTTTCACAAATTCTTAATGAGAAAAAGAAGTTTTTTTCATTCTAGAAAACTATTCAGATTAAACATAAGTATGTGCAGATTCGTTACGGATAAAAATTCAGGAATTATAATTACATTATCATAGAGTTCAGCTGTTGATGGAATTACAGGCAGGTACAATGAATGTATATTATCCATGATCTGCAGTGCAGGAATTTTTAAATTTGAAGAAGAAATTTTCGTCCGTGTAGATTGGTATGAAATAGTTGATTTGCATATTGGTATGGAATATAATTCCAGTCTCTGTATATTTTTATAATAATTGCATGCAACATGCCATTGTTTTCTTAGCCAGAGTGGTGTTCGGAATGAATTTATGATGGATTCAATGTCCTGACTAACGTCTGTGTTATAACTTATCTGCTTTTCAAAGAAGAACTCAAATATTTTAAGTTGCATCAGATTCATTTCAAAAAATTCTGACCACCAATTACCATCCCAGAAACGCTCAGGCATAAGTGACCATGAGACTAACTTAAGATGGACTAGTGATGGTGTCAATACCAGAACTGATGCGACCATATTCATGTGCACACCACAGCCCTCAATGGACAAGGATTTTAGTTTTGACTTTACGCTCATAATAGCAGTCAAATTTTCATTGATATTAGGCAGAGAAACATGATTTAATGACAATGTTTCTAAGTGGGGAAAATTGAGAAGAATATTATACATTTGTGTGTTTATTATACACTGGCTTAATTTCATATGTTGTATTGGAGATTGAATGTTATCAAGGATTAATGAAGTCGTATTTATATTAAGTTTTCGAAGATTGGTAAGCCTTTTCAAACTTAATGAAACCAAATTATTTGTTAAATCGGGTCGATTCGCATAATCAATAGAAAGTGAGTCAAGAGTATGTGTAATAACATGCTGTAGATATTCAATCGAGGCGGACAATGTAACTTCAATAAGAGCTAGTGAGCGGAGTCGAGTGAATGTGCGTAGATCAAATAATGAAAGAAATAATTTGATTTGACCACCTGTTCTATGTCCGTCAGATATAACAAGAGAAATAATGTTTTCAGGATTATTAAGTCGATGAAAAAAATCGAACTTTGGTTTTGTTATTGAACGAAAATCGAGTTGATGTTGATTATAAGTATTAACAATGCCATGGAAATGTTTGCAAACATTTTGTAAAGAAAAAGATAATGTTTCTGTATCGATATAATCAATAATTCGCTGTGTAAATTTGATAGGCTGCGGGCGTTATTACTGTATTGAAAACAAATTAAAAACAAACTTACTCAATAACTACAACAAGCACGATATTTTACTTACTAAATGAGTTGTGAAAGAATTTATAGATTTGATTATAGTTTCTTATGTTGAGTAATGAGATAAAAATCTTTAAAAAAGTAAATTTCTAGATATCATGAGCCACATCTGTGAGACTATTGTATGTATTTAAGAAATAAGAACTTCATCGATTTCTCCAAAACACTCGACCGTATGCAGGACTATAATTAGTTGAAAGTGTTCTTGCAGAGATTTGATTGATTTAATTCATCGTATTTCGATATCATTCTATTGTGAGAATTCGGACTTCACTTGTCGATAGGCATATTATGCATTCGTTTGCTAAATTGAGACGAACAATAGTTGAACAAGTGAGCCTATATTCTACTCCTGCCTAGTATTCTTCTTTTTTTGACTCATTTGCCTATCAAAGTACATCACTTATACTTTTTGTTTCATTCTATGTATTGAATTTTGCGCACTGTTCCCTATGATAAAAATATGACTTATCGAGAAAAAAACTGACACAAAGAATCGGAGTGAAAAAAAACACGTGCCCGAAATATATATATATATAGTATGGGCAAAACGCGTCTCGACTTATCTTTTTACTTAGGCGTACAATGACATGTCGTTTCTGACTCTTTTTTTTTTCATCAGCAAACAATGCAGTATCGTTTATATTGTTGTTCATCTCTTCCTATTCGATCTATACAATGTGTTATTCGACTTTTATCAAGTTCCAATGGAGAAAAGGCGCTTCGTCACACTTCGACAGAAAATCGTACAGTAAAATGGCATAAAAACGGACTTAACCGACCTTTATTACCCGGCAAGAGTAATTTTGAAAAGCGCAATATTTTTCTTATGTTAGTTTAGTTATTTTTATGGATACAAAAACCAATACATTTCTAAATATTGTAATTTATTCTAGGGGACCTCCAGGTAGCGGGAAAACAACTGTCGGACAGGAATTAGCTCTTCTATTGAATAAACCTCTAATCGATATTGATAACAACTGGCTTGAGCCACGATGGAAAACAACTGTTGCATCAAAACTACTTGAACTTGGTGATGAACAATTTCTTGAAGCTGAGGGTCGTGAACTATTAGCGTTCAATCATGAAAATTATATAGTATCATTAACAGGTTCTAATTCATTACATGCTGAATCCATGGAGTATATCTCTCGACTCGGCATCATTGTCTATTTGGATGCATCTCGAGAAGCAATCTTAAATCGTTGCCACAAAATGCGTGTTAACCGTATTGTGGGGCAGCGAACAAAAACCTTGAATGATATTCTTGCGTTGCGTGAAAATATTTATGAAAACTCGTATGATATAAGAATAATCATAGGTAAAGATGAAACACAGAAGGATATAGCAAAAAAAATTCAAAGTCAACTACAACAACAATCAAAGTTTTATGAAACAACTCGAAATGGATATACAAAAAATAATCAACAGTTTCTCGATACTATTCAAAAAGGACTTGCATCTGACGGTGGACTTTTTGGTGAGAAAAATCTTTAATAATCAAATCGAATCCATATTATATCCATTCTTTTTTAATGTTAAGTTACTCGTTCATTTAGTCCACTAGCTCTTGATGAATTACAACGTTTAGTTAATTTATCATACCCAGAAATAGCTTTGCGTATCATGGAACGATTTCCACTGGGTACTTTTCATCCATCTCATTTACGTTATTTACTTTCACAAGCTTATTCAACATTTGATAAAAACACTTTACCAGTTCGACGTCTACGAAAAAATCAATATTTAATAGAAACTTTTCATGGACCAACAGCATCATTTAAAGATTTAAGTCTTCAATTATTACCTCGTTTGATGCAAGCAGCAACAGAACTAACATCCAATGATGAAACTAAATCAAATCGTTTCGGTCTTCTTGTTGCGACTTCCGGTGATACAGGCTGTGCAGTACTTGATGCTTTTGCGCGATTGCCAGGAACACCTATTGTTGTTCTCTATCCAAATACAGGTGTATCAACTATACAAAAAGCACAAATGCAAACAGCATCCAATGACGTTTGTGTTTTAGGTGTCGATGCTGATTTTGATTTTTGGTATGCGATTTTTGGCATTTTCCCATTTTCTTATTTTTCATTTAATTTTAGTCAAACAATGGTTAAAGATCTTCTCAATGATAAAAGTTTTCTTGCTGATGTTAATCAACTTTTGCCTGGTCTACATTTATCATCTGCTAATAGTATTAATTGGGCACGATTTTTACCTCAAGTTGTATTTACTATAAGCTCTTATTTACAACTTATTGAACAAGGTGTAATTCGCTTAGGTGAACAGGTCGACGTTTGTATACCAACAGGGAATTTTGGTAATATGCTTGGTGCATTTTATGCTCAGCAATTAGGTTTACCTCTTCGGCGTTTAATAACAGCATCCAATGAAAATAATGTTATTACTGATTTTATTCAAACAGGTTCATACGATTTGCGAAATAGATTATTTCATAAAACAATAAGTCCAAGTATCGATATATTGATTAGTTCCAATCTTGAGCGATTTATATATCTATTATCGAAAGGAAACTTTTCCATGGTCCAAAAATTGTTTAATAAACTTGCACGTGATCGTTATTTTAATATTGATTCGAGTTTGTTAAAACAAATTCAATCGAAAATTCAAGGCGGTTGGGCAAATGAAAACCAGTGTATCGAGATGATTAAAAAAGTTTACGATGAAACTCAACAATTAATTGATCCGCATACAGCTGTAGCTCTACATGTCGCAGACAGTTTTTCAAAACATGATAATGTACCAATGCTGATATCGGCTACAGCTCACTATGGAAAATTTCCTCAGACAATATTAAATGCTGTAGGCAGTAATGAACAATCGTTATCATCATCAAATGATATATCAACATTATTGGAAAATTTACGGACATTAAAATTAACGCCGCCTATGCATCATGAATTGCTTAATTTACCAAAGAAATCTGTTATACACACCAAGATAGTGGCAGCGACGAAATCAGCTATTATTAAAGAAATTAAGACATATTTAGAACGATTTTCTAAACAACAAATCCCAGTTTTTAGGTATTAAAATAAATAAATTTCAAAATAACACCTTAGAAGTCTTAGTTCATATGTAAAATTATTTTCGGATAAACACATGAAATCTTGATTTGATGAATAAGAAAGATTCAATTGTACAGAAAGGATTATTGAGAAGTACATCTGTTTATATGAAATTGAATGATAAAAAGATTAAGAAAAATGAAGTAAACCGTATGAAGAGGAATGTTGGAACACTTTCTATTCAAAAAATAACATTTTTATGGTTCGAATTATTACCGATTTCTCGCCAATAAAAATCATTTATATAATCCTTTTAATTAGCAAATATCTCTTTTTTTTCATAATTCGATTATCAGATCATCGATATCTGTTGCGGTACATGCGTAATCCTATTGTATAGTTATATCATTCCTTTTATCATTAATAAATTATCATTTTCTTTCTATTTACATTCAAATATTCTCTTTTCAATGTCTTGAAAAGCTTCATTGATATTTACTAACATTCCTAAGTTGATCTACATATTTTAAACGTTCAATTTTACTTGCTAAAATAACACTAACAATCTGCTTGAGTATTAAATAGACTTCAATCATCACATGTAGACAATGATGATGCGAATCGTTTTGACCAATGAACTCGTATGTTTCTTAATTGCTACTATTTCAAGAAATGAAGAAGAAAAAAAAACAAGAAAACCTTGTGCGCTGCGATATCAATCAATTTTTCCTTAAGCAACAAATACAAAAGGCTCTATGATTTTTTTTTACCAATTGCTTTGTAAATAAAATTCATCTATCTTATCAACCGAACTAAACGTAGACAATTTCAATCATAAGTCAATTGACGTCAATCTTCATCATATTCATGTTCATCTTTTTTCCACAAACACATCTTTATCTTTATTTGAACAAATAAGCAACCGACAAAAAAATGTATATAATGTTCCATTCCAGATTGATATCTAGAAGAAAATTAATTCTTTTTTTCAATTCATTCTCTTATTCATACTCTATATACAATTGCTTTTAGTCCACCCACTAATATGACCCTGTTCATGTGTGTGTAAAGAATATTTTAGCAGAGAAAGAAAAAGAGAGAACGTCAAGTGATCCGACTATTCGACTCTTACATAAAGCCGATTTGTCGTTCTCATCGTAATTAATATTTGTAAAATCAAGAGCATGTGCATCATTGTACCTTTTTGATCGCACTGATTGTGTCTTTAACAGACAACCGGAAAGATCGACATGGATCGTAAGTACTTGTTCTCGCGCCTCGATTATCTTTTGTTACTACATCGATCACACGAACAATTGATTTAACCACTTTCGCAACAATTCTATAGAGACCTCTCCCATTCGCCCGTTGGCTGATAGTATTGTAGTATGTCTATTTGATTTCTGTCACTTTAGTTAACATCTGACTGCGCATATATGTGTCTCCACCCTATTTTTCCGTCACCATCATCTTCATAGTGCTCTCTAACTTCTTCTTCTCCTTCTTTTTCTTTCTCATTTTCTTAGAAGCAATTGAAATAATGTTGTTAGAAGTCGTTCGCTGATGTTCTCTCGTCAATTCTTTTCAATCAAAGGCGCATTTTCATTGGCAGTAGTTAGTCGTTTCTTTTCCTTGTAACAATGAATCAAAAAGAAAAAAAGGAAAAAATCTTTGCTAACAATGTAGCAATAACTAACATAAAGAAACCTAGAAAAAAAATCAAGAGAATGTCTTTTTCAACATATAGACACTGCTTAAAACATTTAATAGCATAACAAGAAAAGGGAAGAGAAGAGAAGTCACCCATGGAGTCCAACGACCCGACACTATCAGACAAGACCTCAACACTATTACCACCGCCCTCAACCTGGCCAGCCTTGTACAGATCATATTTTGGTATGAATCGATTATATAACTCAATATACATATGCGTGTGTGTATTGATTGTCTCGTATTGAGATCATTGAATAGAAGAAAAAGTCAGACGAAGAACGATGAAAATCAAAAAATAAAATGAAAGAAAATTTTGTTTTATTTTAGTTTTCATCTTAAAAGTTAAATTGAACAGACACACACACATTCGCATCTAGACCGATAAATTCTTATCACATGCAATGAATGAATTCCTTCTTCGTATTTTTTCTTTTTGTTTCTCGACGAAACAATGTTCTGTCTGGAATGTAGTTCAGGTCATTGTGGTAATAAGTGTGTGCTATAAGAGATGATGATCAGGCTCTTTCGTTTTTCTTCATATTCATCTTATTCTCTCAGTTATGTAAAAGGGTTCAAAAATGAGATAAAGGTCTTGTTGTCAATACACCTTGAAAAAATCTTTAAAAAAAAAAGACGCGTCGCGAAGGTTGCACACACATTTCGATGTCTTCTTCATTCATTGTCTCGACGTATGAAGACCTTTTTGTGTGTTCTTTTCCTTCATTGTTGTTGTCACATTTGCTTAACCTTTCCTTTTTTTTCGTATCCTATGGCTGACAGTATATTGTCATTCCTTTCCTTGTTATCGTTTTTTCTTCGCTTTTCGTCATCCAACTTTCGTGTTTAGTAAGTATATATTTTTTTACCTTGAAGGAAATTTCTTTTTTGTTATTATTATTAATAATGACCAATAAAAGGTCGTTTTCAAAGCCATGTCCGTTTATGGTGAATACCAAATATCCGTTCCGATACAAGGTCATATGAAGCTATACAGTTAACGAGACTCAAATGTTCTTTATGCATATATGTGTTTGATAACCCGATGTGTTGTTGTACTGTTCGAGAGAACGAGGGAAAAAAAGAAAATTCTTTTTCGCCCTTCTTTTTCTTCTATTTTGACCATCGGCTATTGAATCATTTGTCCGAGTATGAATACATTCATATAACCACAATGGATTGTAAGTAAAACAAAAATAGTTTGTAAAGGTCTTTTAAGATTAGATCGAGTGCAAGAGCTAAGTGTCACATTTTTCGAAAATCAATCGGATCATTGATAGCATATGTCACAATAGAGGAAAGACATCGATCAACGATGTGTGATATTAACTACATATTCCACCTGAAACTATTTGACTCTATTCTAGCACTCGACACATGCTCGGTTGAGTTAGATTAGGGAAATGTTATTCATCCATGTATATTCGAGTATCTATTATTGTATTGGTACAAAAAAACTTGAATAAGTTGACATGTGTTGTGAAAAGATCAGCATGAAACAGCTAATTGTACATATGCGAGATTATTCTCCTTTTCTTTTTCCATATTTCATTCGTTCGTTCTATATATAATATTTTTGCTTAAATGTGCTTGATTGGTTCTTTTTCTTCTTCTAATGATATAGTTTATTGATTGGAGAAAAATTTATAATAATAATATTTTTTTTTATGCAGCATTTGCATTTGGTTCACCGATGACATTAATGAATCATCATCATCAACAACAATATATTCCACCATCATGGTCAAATGTAGAAACTAATACACGATTTCTTTCAATTGATTCTCCACACCCACAACAGCAACAACAGCAGCAACAGCAGCAGCAGCAGCAGCAACAGCAACAGCAGCAACAGCAACAGCAACATCATCATTGTCGCCCAACATTTCCAAATGACACAAATAATAATAATCATTATAGTAGTATTTCATCGCATATTCAACCAAAATTAGAACCGAATAATATAATAACAAATGGGAATAATGAATCAATTCTTGATGATCAACATACAGATGCACATTCATCAATAATAAATGATAAACAAACAGTTGAATGTGTTGTTTGCGGAGATAAATCAAGTGGAAAACATTATGGACAATATACATGTGAAGGTTGTAAATCATTTTTTAAACGTTCAGTTAGACGTAATCTTAATTACACATGTCGCGGAAAGTAAGTTTAATATTGATATTAAATTTTAATTGTCAAAAATAAAAAGCGAAACGTTCAATAGTTACCGGTATAGTTTAAAATCCTATGAGTTCAAAAGTACTTAACGAATAAATATTTCGAGGAAAAAAAACAACAGATAGATCATCAGAATTCCTTATACATATCAAAGGTTCCCAAAAAGATGAACTGATGAAAATTTTACTTAAAATTTCCTTAATTCTAGTCGAAAATGTCCTATTGATACTCATCATCGTAATCAATGTCAATATTGTCGATTTTCTCGTTGTTTAAAAATGGGCATGAGACGTGAAGGTAAAAATATAGTTTGTTAACATTTCAAAATCGTATAACTCTCATTTTTCTTCTTTTGAAACAAACAAGCTGTTCAACGTGGTCGTGTTCCATCCGTTGCCAACACTTATGGACATTTTACGTTTCCACCTGATGCACATAATTATTTAAATAATTATATCTCACATTTAGTTCGTGCTGAACCCTACTCATTTATCTCAAATCGTTTACAATCGTCATCATCATCATCATCAGCAACACCAGCAGCGCCAGGTAGTTCATCAAATTCAAATTCTTCAATATCATCTGAAAATAATCCAAATATAATGTCGATGGATAATGCGTGCGAATTAGCAGCCAGTCTTCTTTTTGGTGCGGTTGAATGGGCACGTAATATTCCATTTTTTCGAGAATTGCCATTAAATGACCAATGTCTACTATTACAAATAACATGGAATGAATTATTTCTATTGAATGCAGGTCAATGTAACATGCCAATACAAGCAACACAATTATTTATATTAAATGGTATTCATACAAACACCATTGATACTGAAAAAGTACAAACATATTTAGATCAAACAAGAAAATTTCAAGAACAAGTAGAAAAATTTAAATTAATGCATTTAGATCATGCGGAATATTCTTGCTTAAAAGCTATTATTCTTTTCACGCCAGGTAACATAAAAAAAAGAATTGAACGTTACTTTCTCTCTCTCTTTCTCTCTCTCTGTGTAGATGCACCAGGTCTATCTGATCCAGGTCATATTGATAATTTACAAGAAAAATCTGTTCTTGCATTAGAAGAATATGTTAAAAGTCAATATCCATCTCATATGAATCGTTTTGGCAAATTACTTCTTCGTTTGCCATCGTTAAAATTAGTCAGTTCACATGTTATAAAAGAAATTTTTTTTGTTCGTTTGGTTGGTAAAACACCGATTGAATCACTCATTCGAGATATGCTATTAACAAATAGTTCATTTCCAAATGGAACAGTTTCATCAACATCAGCAGCATCAGCATCATCATCATCATCATCAACAACAGCTACAGCAGCGACGACTGCTTTTAATATTAATTCAACTCAAGTATCAAATCAATATTCAACGTTTCCACAGTAATAGAAAACTATTTTTATTTTGACTAGAGAAGGGGTTTGTTCTTTTTTTTTTGTAAAGCAAATGGATTATTCATAAAAATTATTTCAATTAGAAGACCTCTTTTTCTTCTTCTTTTTTTTTCTTTTCTCTCTTTTTGTTTTGTTTTGTCATATAAGAAATAAAATCTATATCTATAAACATATAGCTATATGGACGTATGTGTGTGTTTTAGCGATATGGCATCTGCTATTTCAATGAAATAAGTTAAACAATTGTCAAAAGGCGTTCACCCGGAAGTGATCCTTTTTTTCTTAGATTGAAATTGACAGGAAAAATCGATCTAATTATATTTGATCCGGTTTTAATATTAATAATTGATTAAATCTTTTGAAAAAAAAAATTTCTTTTTATCAGAATGTCTAAATCAAGATTAGAATTATCGAATCTGAACGAAGATTAGAAATAATATGACGGTGAATAGAAAATAAATGATAGAAATTGTATTTGGAAAAGAAATAATCAATCGATAATGTTTTATATGGTAAATACTTCTTTTTATTTAAAAATCATCATTATTCAGATGTTGATTCATCGTGGGAGTTGATTTTGTATTCGATAGTTTAACCAAACTAATCGAAAAAAAAAAGAAAGGTTTTGTCTTTTCTGTGGTGCGTAATTCAATTCATCATCGTTTGTCTCTGATTTTTTTCAATATCATTTGATCGATAGCAAGCGATGAGAAATTTAGGATACGTTTGGCAAACTTTGTATAGTCTTTTTTACTTTGTTAGCAAAACACATTAATGGATAGATAGATAAGAAATAAATCGTAGAATACGACTAATTAGCGAGATACTGTCATATCAACTTCTGAATGAAAGAGTATTGAAACGAGTACAACACAATTAAGGAAATCTATATATATATATATATATATATATATATCAATGTCTGACTAAATTTCAAGGTATTCGTAAGTAGACATGACTCATTAGACTTATCTATCGAAATTCTTATCAATCTTATTTTCATTTTCTTCAGTTCTTTCAATATCTCAACAAAAAATTGAATACATCTATCGATAAAATCAAGTAGCTACTCAGTCACTTTCTACTAATTATCCAATGAATGAATAAATGAACATAGGATTGATTATGTTCAGTTAAATTTATGAATATCAAAAATGAAGAAATATTGCAAGTGAAATTCTTCGACATATACTTTTGACATTTCATATAAACATTAGTCGCATTGAAATACATCGAAAAAATTCTGATGTTTATTTGCATTAGTTTATTTGAATTTTATTCAATAAAGAAAATTGCTATACTCAATTGCTACTGCATCATCCTTAGCATAGTGGTATTATCATTCATACCATGAGATAACTTTGTTTGCAATATAATTCATACATTTTTATATTTCAATCATTTCATTAATTTACGAACTATGTTACATGTTGTTACTAATAGCATCGTAGTTCAAGGTGCTTGACATTCAGCTTATCCTTTATAAAATAATACTAGTAGCAAGTATTTATAATGATCTATATGTATTAATCTTTACTATCGTAGACAGATACTAACCTCGTCGTACTTTATTTTTAGAAACAACTAAATTAACAATCGAGAAACGTACCAATCTCTTTTTTTGTACAATGAATAGGCCTACTTGTTATACTTAATTGAGAATCAGAACTATTGAAGCTACTTAGGTTTACTTGATCTGATTCATTTATAGGAGCATCAAGTTTTCGTGAGTTGATAAGTAGATTCTCGCAATTTTTGCCTGTTTAATCACTCTAGCATGCATTTATTGAAGCGTAGAAAAAAATACAAGAATATTTGAATTTAACTTAAACAATCGAAAAGTGATTTCGATATGAATTATGTTAAATAATTTCTTGTAACTTTGCTTCTTATTGTATTCATGTCGAAATCATCTTTGCAGCATAAAAATTGAGACTCTTCTTGAACAAGTAAGTTCACGTCACTCTTTCGTAATACTTAAGAACGATTATTGCATATAACGCATTATTGTCACAATTGATAGACAACATCTATATCTTACGCCATCTATGATAATTTACACATAATTAAAATTTCAAGTTCAGTAAATAATGCAACAAAAGCTTTTATTACGAACATTAATTTATTTCGTGAATTTTCTTCTTCAAAAGTTCAATTTGATAGAGGCATATCTTCATCACACCAATCAAAATAACTGCATTGCATTCGTTCATATCATCTTTTGTCTACTTGTATAAACTTTCCCAATTTTACCATCGAAGTTTTATCTAGATGAAGTTATACAATTTAACTTTACAACGACCCGGTGGTATAACTCATGTCATACATGGAAATTTCTCTGGTCCCAAACAACAAGAAATCGTTGTTTCACGCGGTTGTGTTCTTGAAGTTCTTAAGCCTGATCCAAGTACAGGTAAAATTCATACATTATTAACATGTAATGCATTCGGTATCGTACGTGCACTTCATCCAATTCGATTGACTGGTAGTAATCGAGGTATGTGTAATTCATTCTTATTCAGTATATATATTAAAAGAAAATTTTTTTTCCCTGAACCAATTCAGATTATATTGTGATTGGTAGCGATGCAGGTCGTATACTTATTCTTGAATATAATGGACAAAAAAATACATTAGAAAAGGCAAGAAACGTTTTTTTAAATACATTTTTTTGAGAAACTTCTCTTCAGTTAGGTACATCAAGAAACATTCGGTAAATCAGGATGTCGAAGAATTGTACCAGGACAATATTTAGCTATTGATCCAAAAGGACGAGCTGTACTTATTGGTAATTCATGAAATTCTTTTTCTGCATTGTCATAAGTAATGGATTTTGTTTAGGTGCCATTGAAAAACAAAAACTAGTCTATATACTCAATCGAGATGCCCAAGCACGTCTAACAATATCATCGCCACTTGAAGCACATAAAGCAAATACAATTACATTTCATACAGTCGGTGTTGACGTTGGATTTGAAAATCCGGTATTTGCTTGTTTAGAAGTTGATTATGAGGTTTGCCACATGACATTGAGAAATCTGTTTTTATTCAAAAATTTTCTATCAATCCTTTAGGAATGTGATAATGATGCAACCGGCCAAGCAGCCAAAGATATTAAACAATCATTGACATTTTATGAACTTGACTTAGGTCTCAATCATGTAGTACGAAAATATTCTGAACCATTAGAAAAATTTGCCAATCTACTTATAACTGTGCCAGGTGGAAGTGAAGGACCTAGTGGTGTACTTGTTTGCTCAGAGAATTATATAACATTCAAAAATTTTGGTGATCAACCAGATATTCGTTGCCCAATACCTAAACGACGAGTAAGAATTTTTGAATGAGACCGTTTTTGTATTTCTAATTACTTTTTTCTTTTAAATTTAGAACGAAATTGATGATCGAGAACGTACGATGGTTATAGTTGCAACAGCTACACATAAAACAAAAAATATGTTCTTTTTTCTTGTTCAAACTGAACAAGGTGATATATTTAAAATTACTCTTACGCATGACAAAGATATGGGAATGGTAAGTAAAAGATTTTCGCATTGTTGAACAAGTTAGTTTTGAATTTTGTTAATAGAAAAAAGGTCAGAGTAAAAAAGTAGCAGAAGATGATTCTCATTGAACGTGTTGCCATATGATTTTAATTGATTATAATATTGATCTATCCAATCTGATGCTATTTAATAAATATATTCTTATTCGTTGAGTCCGTAAGATCGATAGTGCGAAGAAAATAAAATAATCGAATGTCAAAATCAAACGTCTAATTTATATTTTAGGTAACAGAAATTCGTTTAAAATATTTCGATACTGTACCTGTTGCATCGGCCATGTGCGTTCTACGTAATGGCTTTCTTTTTATTGCTTCTGAATTTGGTAACCAGTAAGTAATTTATTTTTAATGAAACTCGACTTTTTTTTAGTTAATTCCTTTAATTCCGTAGTTATCTCTATCAAATAACTCAATTGGGTGATGCGGATGATGAACCTGAATTTAGCTCATCTGAACGACTTGAAGAAGAGGATACATTTTTTTTCTTACCACGTAAACTTAAAAACCTGATATTAGTCGATGAAATGGATAGTTTATCACCTATAACGGCTTGTCATATTGCTGATCTTGCTAATGAAGATACACCACAACTTTATGTCACATGTGGTCGTGGGCCACGCTCAACGCTTCGAACTCTTCGTCATGGTTTAGAAGTAAATGAAACAATAGGAGCATTTTATTTTTACGCTATAAAAATTTCTTTTCTAGGTCACGGAAATGGCTGTTTCAGAACTGCCTGGTAATCCAAACGCTGTATGGACTGTTAAAAGACGATCAGATGGTAAACAAAATTATCTTGTTTAGTTTAAATAAACATTATATTTGTTTTTTCTCTATCTTCTCGTTTACAGATCCGTTTGATGCATATATTGTTGTTTCATTTATTAATGCTACATTAGTTTTATCTATTGGTGAAACTGTTGAAGAAGTGACTGATTCTGGTTTTCTTGGTACAACACCAACATTATCCTGTAGTCAATTGGGTGATGATTCATTACTTCAGGTTTGTATTTGAATTATCGTTGAATATATTTTCTTGAGACTTTGATTTTTTTGTTTTCGTATAAATTAGATCTACCGTGAAGGTATTCGACATATACGAGCTGATAAACGTGTTAATGAATGGCGTGCACCAGGAAAAAGAACGATTACTCGAGCTACTGTTAATCAACGGCAAGTTGTTATTGGTTTGACTGGTGGTGAACTTGTTTATTTTGAAATGGATGCAGTAAGATTAGGAAAAGTTATGCGAAATTTCAATTAATTGTTTCTTTGCATTTCTCTTAGACCGGTCAATTGAATGAATATACCGAGAGAAAAGAAATGCCAGGTGATATTGTATGTATGGCCTTGGGTTCTGTACCTGAAGGTGAACAGCGATCACGTTTTCTTGCTGTTGGACTTTCGGATAGTACTGTTCGTATTATATCCCTTGATCCTAAAGTATGTTCATGGAGCAACAACAATAGAATGAATGAAAGATCTGTTTGTGTTTTCAATAGGATTGTCTAGAACGATTGAGTATGCAAGCACTTCCCGCCCCAGCTGAATCTTTATGTATAGTTGAAATGAAAACAACTGAGGGTGGTGTTTTTGTTGATACAACTAGTGGTCGCGAACAACAAGTCGGGCCAACTGGTACCGCATTTTTAAATATTGGTTTACAGGTAAGAAATTAATTTTAAATTAAATCTAGCACCTATGGTATTTTGTTTGTTTTAAGAACGGTGTACTTCTAAGAAGTGTTCTCGATTCTGTCTCAGGTGACATGTCCGATACTAGAACGCGTTATATTGGTTCAAAACCTGTAAAACTATTTCGAATTTTAATGCAAGGAAATGAAGCTGTAAGTAAAGATTTTGTCTAAATTTTATGCTTCTATTTTTATTATTCTCATGAAAAATATATAATCCTGCGTTCGTAATAGGTCTTAGCAATGTCAAGTCGTACATGGCTTAGTTATACATATCAAGGTCGTTTTCATCTAACACCATTATCCTATGAATCCCTTGAACATGCATCTGGCTTTGCATCTGAACAATGTCCAGAAGGTATTGTTGCTATAGCTGGCAATACTCTTCGGTAAGTTAGACGGACGAACACAAAATGAAATTTCTCTAAATTATATTCTATTATTCTGTAGAATTTTAACATTAGAAAAGCTTGGTGCTATATTTAATCAAGAAATACGTAAACTAAAATTAACACCAAGACGTTTTATAATTCATCCAGAAATGAATTGGCTCTATTTAATTGAATCCGATCATGGATCATATACAGAATTAAGAAAACAACAAAACCGTGAACAAATAGCAAAAGTGAGTTTTAGTGAAAAAGTTTTATGAATAAAAAATTTTTTTCTCTCTCCATAGGATATTGTTGATGCAGCCGATGATGAAGACAAAGAAGCCACACGAGAAGTAGCAAATGCAATGTTAGCAGAAAAACTACCCGAAGAAACATTTGGCGCTCCTAAAGCCGCTAATGGTATGTGGGCAGCCCAATTACGTGTTATGGATCCAATTACTGGTGATACTAAATTTATTTATGAATTTGAACAAAATGAATCAGCTGTTTGGTAAGAATAACTTAATTGAAAATAAAAACATGGCATTTTTATGTTTTTTTTCTTTAGTTTAAGTTTAATGCGTTTTGACACTCGACCGGCAGATACATTTTTATTAGTGGGTGTTGCACGTGATCTTGTTCTTTCACCACGTTCACATCTTGGCGGAATGATCTATTGTTTTCTTGTACTGGAAAATGGCGAACGACTTCATTTTATTCATAGAACTGTAGTGGATGAAATTCCAAGTACGAATTCAATAAGAATTGTGTTGAATAGAATAGAAGTATCGTTTTTATTTTTTTCCATTTAGCGGCCATATGTCCATTTATGGGACGAGCTTTAGTTGGTGTTGGATCTTCTTTACGTATTTATGAAATTGGCAAGAAGAAATTACTGAAAAAATGTGAAAATAAAGTGAGTAGTAAGAGATATTTTCTTCTTCATGTTTGCATCTTCTGTTAAAAGAAATTCAATATGTTTCTATTCCAATGAAATATTGAAACATTACAGAAGAAAATCAATAGAACTGATTTTAGCTCGTTAATTGTTTCAATACATTATAACGTGTATAAATCATTTACATTTTATATTTATCATACTACTAAATATTCGAACTACATGTTCAATAAGTTATACATATTCTGAAGAACGATTTTTCTACTTGTAACATATTGTTGTAGAGAAAAAGCTTTCACGATTCTTCTGTTCAATATTATTAATTTGATAATTGAATTCATTTTCTATTATTTAGAACATTCCGAATCAAGTAGTTACGATACATGCACTGGGTAATCGTATATTTATAACTGATGTACAAGAAAGTTTACACATACTTCGTTATAAAACAATGGAAAATCAACTAGTTATATTTGCTGATGACACATGTCCACGTTTTACTGTTGCATGTTGTTTATTAGATTATAGTACTGTATGTTTAGCCGATAAATTCGGTAATATTTCAATTGTAAGTGTTATTATTTTTGTTCAAAATATTTAGTTTTATACTTCTAATTTTTAGTTACGTGTTCCTGTTGATGCTAATGATGATGTTGAAATTGATCCGACAGGAAGTAAAGGCTTATGGGATCGAGGTTTATTAAATGGAGCATCCAATAAAGTATTAATTTTTCTAATGTAAATGTTTTATTGTAAAGAAAATTTTATTTTAGTGCGATTTACTTTCTCATTTCTATGTGGGAGAAATGGTTACATCAGTTCAACGTGCAACATTAATCCCAGGTGGATCGGAGTCTCTTGTCTATACAACATTATCAGGTTCAATAGGTGTTCTTATACCATTCGCATCGAATGAGGTAAGATCCAGCAGAAAAAGAAAAAGAAAATGATCTTCGTATAAAATTAGTTCTTTTTCTTTCTTTGATGTTTGATGTTGTCATATCATCTAGAAAAGAAAATGATATGTTCGTTGTGTTTCGATAGCTCAATCGTTCGAGCACTAGTCCGGAAAACCAATAATTGTGTCATATGGGTTCGAGTCCCGAATAAAGCATATCGTATTGCTTTGTCTGAGTGATATGAAAACAAAGAAAGACAAAGAATCAGTCTTCTACATTACTCCTTTAGAATATTTCAATTAAAAAAATAAATGTGTGAAATGATGATCAAAAATTAGTCGTTTACAATTCGGATAATCGATGACGACAAATTTTATACTAATGACTGATCACACATCGAATTTGTTTTTTGTTTTCTATCAAAATAATTTCGAAAATATCATTCTCGCTTTCGTTTATATATAGGATTATGATTTTTTTCAACATCTTGAAATGCATATGCGTGCTGAATATCAAACATTAGTTGGCCGAGACCATCTTGCTTTTCGATCATATTATTATCCAGTTAAGGTAAGAAGAGAACAGCATGATTGCACACTATTTCTTACGTAATAAGTGCACTCGAGCAGTACGAAATTAGAAAGATTTTGTCTACATAAAACAAAATTGAAATCTCAAGTTATGGATCAATACTTTAATTGAAACAAAAATTGTTCGGATCTATTTTTATTAAAATATTTCTTATTCTAGAAGAAAAAACTAACTTATATTCAAATGAGAAGATGATAATTTTAACAATAAAATTTTTTTTTATCTAATTTTGTTTTTAGAATGTTCTTGATGGCGACCTTTGCGAACAATATAACCACCTTGATATAAATAAACAAAAAATGATTGCAGAAGGTCTTGATCGAACCACAAGCGAAGTTGCTAAAAAACTTGAAGATATTCGTACACGCTTTGCTTTCTAGTCAACAACAATCGTCGGCTGAAAAAATGAACAAAAACAAAATATATTGTCTCTATGTTTTCTTCTCATTCTGTGTTTATGTTTGTATTCTTGAATGTTGTTCATATAGATAATGGTTGTTTGAATATTTGATTTAAAACAAAAACAAAAAAACGCAAAACTATGTTAACTGACTGAAACCATATCTTAATAAAGAAAGGAAATAATGAATGAATAAATAAACTATGCATTCACATCAAAAAAGTAGCCAACACGATAACCAAAATTAACCACTGATGGTGACATACCAATATAATTTAATCCATAGGCAAATAGACCACTAAGACCGGCATTCACTAATGCCGGTCTTTGATACATAGTAAGATAGTTAACTCGATCGTGAATAGATTGATAGTATTGTCGTCGATAGTAATGATGATTTGCTGCCGTAACATAATTATTCATGTTTCTTGCAACATTAAGAAAGTGATGACGTCTTGATGGATGCATATCTATTCTGTCTACGCGTATGTTGTCGTAAGGATTGCGTTTTGCTAAATGAATGAATGCTTCTATAAGTCAGCAGCAGCTATTTTTTAATGCATATTATGGTGTCATGTTCGATAATAAGATTAATTAGATGAAATTGCATATGTGGCTAATAGGCAAAAAAGCGCCTATAAATCGAGACGCTTGATATGTATTTGTTATTGCTTCAGTCATCCGTATCGGACGAATTTGCACGATAGGAGTGTTGCTCATGTTAAACCTTGTAGCTCTAATTAATAGTACCCGGGGAAATAATTGATGTGTTATGCATTAAAATACAGGAAAATATCTGTAAGAATTAAGAAAACAGTAGGCAGAGCGACAGAGACGAGCATTTGGTTTTGTCTATACAATAGTGTACAGTTACTTTTTCTCTATCGATCGTCGAGAAATTATAATGTAATCTGGATCTTTTTCAGTTGATGACAAAAATTCGATGAAAATAAGAATTGAATACTAATATTTCTATACATATATTTTTTGTTGCCGATGCAGAACGACGACAAGTGATTAATGTGCTATTAAAACGAAATTGATGATAGTTTCTTATCAAATCGATACTCTACTTTATTGCTTCATTCAAAATTTTTACTATCAATGCCTCAAAGCAATATTATTATAATTCTATTCAATTAATATTCTGGTGTATTGTGTATGTGGAGAAGCCCTAGTTCAATGTTTGTATTTTGAAGTATTGGTAGTGTGCTTTTTCAAGATATAAAAGAATAGAGACAATGATGAATAGGTACGAGAGAGAACAAAAAGAATAAATTTATACAAAGGAATTCATGACTTCTATGTAAACAAAATCTTTACAGTCGTCAGGTTGAATTCTCCTCTTTACAGAAGAATCTTATATTGATCAAGGAGAGAACAGTGCTTTTTTTCTTTTCTAAATTGAAGTATCTTATCTTTATAACGAAAATCAATGCACACGAATTCTTCATTCTATTGGATCATTGAATAGGACAAAAGTAACCAGATCAAAAACAAAATATTGTTGTCAACATCAATAAAATTAACGTTCATCAAAATGTTAGACACGTTATGCTATCCGTAATTTTCGAAACAAGAAAAAAGCAACAACTAACGATATCGATTTTATACAGAATAGCATTGCAATAAATCGGTTCTTCTCTATGACATTATCCTATGTAAACTGATCTTTCCCTTTTAGCTTTTATTGGCAGACTACGAATTTTTATATTCTATCAATCATGTTATTATACAGATTTTTGACATTGTCTTGAAACATTGTGTAAAGTTCTTTTATGATTATTGATCGACTATCACGATAGAAATGAAGCTATTTTAGTTTTATCGACGACAAGAAACCTAACAGATGAACGAAAAGACAACGTTTCTTTTTTTATTTCGTAAGTATTGTAAATGATAGAATGTTATAGTTTTAATCAAACAATAAAAATACACGGAACCGAATATAACGAATTCGACAATCATAAAACTAGAGTAAAAAGATTTTATCTTTTTTAATCCGATCTGATATGACACTCATCTAACATGAAAAATTTAGTATAGAAATGGATCTAATATGTTTTTGATTATTCGAATTTTGTAACGGTAAAATATCAAGATAGGGTAAATAGGATCGAATAAAGTAATATATTCCGTGTTCGATTTCTCTTTTCTGTCTTTTGCCACTTTTTTCTTTCTCTTTTTTCCTCGTTTAGCGATAAAACTACTGCTGCATTTTTGTCTCATTCTATGTAGCACCGTTGCTCTCTGATGTTGTATTCCTGCTTATTTTATAGATGTGAGCAGCGAGCAGAGACAAAGCAATGTTAAAGAAGCGTAATCGTTAGTTATATTAGGTTAGTAACGGTGGATGAACGGCAAGGGAAGAAGATGAAGAAAAAAGTGAAGAGAGAAACAGAAGAAAAAAGAAATTTTATATTTTCCATCTAGTTTTTTCCTCACATATCTTTCCCTTTTGACACCAGATTCTTAAAAAGAGGTAAGACGCATTCTATGTTAATCTCGATAAGAAATTCTGCTTTCTATAACGGTGTAGATTTTAAAGTAAAAATAAAAGTGTAACAACTGACGCTCATAAAATCACAAACTAGAGAGATGAAAACAATTATTAATTTGAATACATTAGTTATAGAATAGATCAAAATTTTGATTCGCCTTTGTTAATAATATTTTCATTAATTTCCATCGAAGAAAACAATAGACGGAAGTAGCCTTGCCCGTCGGATTCCTTTGTTCTTTTGTTCCTCTATAGTAACTGGCAACAGCGGCCACTTTATTGCTCACTGTTGACGAAAATCATTGAATATTTTATTAGACAAGTTCACGTCTAGTTATTCCTTTTGCTATCTCTCTCTCTCTCTCTCTCTATCTTAGGTACTCAAAACTTCATCAGCTGGTCAAGTGCGAATACAAATCTATGTGACGAAAAAAGACGATTAATTAGCAATCGATCATGATTATGCTCAAATTCCGGTACGTATTACAATCTTCGAGAAATAGAATGATTTCTTTCTTACGAAATTTTCATGTATTTTATTAATTAAAATTAGCTCATACATACGTATATATGCATCGAAGCCATAGCATAAGATTTAGCAACACTTTATTAATTCATTCATTTTTTATTGAATAGTAAAATGTATGAGATGTTTACATGCGTATTACACATTGCACAATTCTATGTGAGTGATTATTCATGGCACTTAACTGATGTCTCTCGTTTTTTTCCTCTTTCGCTGTACTATGTATAGGAAAGAATTTTGTGAGAAAATCTCAACAGAGAAAAATAAATAGAACAAACATAAATCCTTGTGAAATAATCTATTGCAATTAATTAAATTCTACTTGAACATGTCAAAAAATGCCAGTCGTAAAGGCAGACATGATTTAAGGATATATTTTTTCGTAGAAAACAGAACAGGAACATTGTTTTGAATAAATAATTTTTTTCACAAGAACTATTCTTTTTCTTCTTCTGTTCTTTTGTCTAGAATTGTCAACATTTTCAGATGGTTGCTCATATTTACTAGTTAGTATTTTTATTCTTGTAAGAAAATGAATTTATTATTCTGTTTTAGCTTTGTTTTTTGTCGTCTATATATCCGTAACTCAATTATCTAAAGCTAGCTTATATGGTATATTTAATATATTTACAGTCGATTTTAATGATGATTCATATAAAACTTTTCATTATAAGAATATCAATGATACGGATGAAAATCATCTTCTACTAAAAGATTTTTCTCGATATGAATCCGAATTATTCAAAGTCCAATTGAAAATATTTTTTGTCCAAACATCTGAGAATGAAGATATTCTATCACGTCATGCTTGTTCAATTGAATCAGCTTCACGTTTGAATCCAAATGGTCTTATATTTGTTTTTATGCGTAGTCAATATGTACACTTAAGAAAAGGTTCATTCAACCGTTTGCGTACATATACAAATATACGTTTTGTTCATTTTAATGAACATGATATTTATTCAGGCACAACATTATCTCGATTGAATGAAACTAAGCGTACACAACTTATTCGTTATTTTGCAATATCACATATGAGTGATTTTATTCGTACAGCACTTCTATATAAATACGGTGGAATCTATTTTGATCTTGATGTGATTCCATTAAAGAGATTTTCTTTATTTTCAAATACTGTTGCATTGGAATCAATTGATAGCGTTAATGTGGCTGTTTTAGCTTTTGAAAAACAACATCTAGCATTAGATATACAAATGGATATTCAATTAACATTAGTCAATCAGCCATTCAATGCGTTTTGTTGGAATTGTGTTGGACCAGCAGCATTGTCAGATGCATTAAAACGTGTTTGTGATGAGAAAAAATTAAGTATACATTCTAAAGATAAATGTCACCAGATCGATATTCAACCATCTTTTGTTTTCTATCCAATACCTTATCAAGTAAACATTTTTCTTTTTTCTATAACAAAAAAAAAAAAACTAACTATAATTTTGATCGTTTTTTTCTATTAGAAAGTTCTACAGTTTTTTCGTCGGTCAAAATCTGATGATGATATTGATTATTTAGTAAAAAATTCAAGTATTTATTCCGTACATTATTTTCATCATATGACAATGAATTTAGCTATTGAGCGACACTCACCATTTGCTCGTATTGCACAAATCTATTGTCCAAATATATATGAACAATTAATTGATCGAAAAGAATCTATGTTAGCAAGAACTAAAACATCAAAATATTTATTTACAAATTTAAATATTCTTTTATTTTGTTTATCGATATCATTCTTATTTATTTTGATACTTTTATTGGCAGGCAGTTTTCTATCTTATCTACCGTCAATACGTATTGTTATGCTTGAATGGCAACATAAAATTAGTATTTCAATTTGAGAAATGTTTATTCTATAAGGGTCATTGAAAATATGAAATGAATCTATGTCAGATGTTTAATATTTGCTGTAATTGGCTATTTTTATTTTTATTTTTATTGTAATAAAATTAATGAGTTTTGAACGCGCCGTAGATATATTTGCTACACAAGTATACTTGGTGCAGTTGTGAAAGAGAATCATCAGTTTTCATTTTCAGGATACTGAAATGACACCACGTGTAACTAATCATTTATTCTAATTTTTACTTGAATCAAATGAATTGATATAGTAGTTATATCGCAGAATTAACCTTGACAAAATAAATCATTGTATAAAACACGGAAAATTATGTGTTCAATTTGATTATTGAAAGTTTGCCATTTATTATCAGAATCTTCGCATTTAAAAGTCTGCTCCTTGGCATAGGTAGAAATAATAATTATAAAACTCCAGTTCGATGAAGAAAAATAAGCAACTTAATAAATTTGTACTTATCTTCTATATCCTCATCGACAGTTATATAAGATGTTTACATATATCTGAGCTGTTTGGTTCTCTTCATTTATTACTTTAATTTATTATTGAGAAATTAATGTAGATAGTATATATAACTATTTTGGTAACTAATCATCAAAGTGCGCCAATGCCTGATAATATTGCGTATATCATTTTGGCTCAACAATTTATTTTGTACAATTTTTATTTGTTTCGGATTTTTTGTCAGCTACCGTCAAGAATTTCAACAGATGATAAGTATGATTGGTAGGTATATCTATTGAATTCGATTTATAGCTTATTCATGGCAAGACTATTTTTCAACATATTCAAAGTCTGAGGTCACACCTTTAATGAAAATTAAATAGACAAAAGTTTTATACTTCTGATATCAAAGTTCATTATAATGATACAAACTGAAGAACGAGATGTTGAAAACTACGATAGCCATTAAGATTATTTCATAAATCGCAAGTCACAGTCGTAGTATACTGTTGCTTACGTTTAATTTGGTACACAGATAAAATATCGTTTGAGAGGTGATCGACTCATATGCAATAGTTACATAGAATACCAATGTATGATTGTTCAATAATAAGAAAACAAGAATAAAAACATATTATCCAGTTTCATCAAATGAATATCAATTATATAATGACTGAATATTATTGATCTCATTTCAAACACAATCAAAACTTTAGCAAGTACATCTGAAACACAAAGATATTATTTTCATAAATGTTGTTGTTTCATCTATAGTTATTTTATAACGTTCTGAACTTTTCGCAAAATTTTAAAGAAAAATATTTCGATTTAACTTTCTTCTTATTGAAAAGTCTCATTAATCTTCGAATAGACTAAAATATTCAGTGGAAATGGATTCTATGTTTTCTGCAACAGCAAAATTCTAGAATGAAAAAGAACGATAAAGAGACATACTACATTTTAACTAAATTTGCAGTGTACTAACATAAGACATTTTTATGATGAAAGACGAAGTCCTTAGTTTTTCTTTTCATGCTTTTTTAAAAATATTTTGCAAGAATTTTATAATCTGTTAATATTATTGTACCTCGACCAAAAATATGCTTGAGGATCAACCGTGCTGAACTTCTCCAGTATCAATAGGTGGTCCCCTCCGGAACATCGAAAAAATTGATTCTCGAAATTCCATTCGAAACGTTATTCTAAAATAGGTCTCAACGTATAGGGTTTTGCTATTATTCCTATCAGCAGATACAGCTATTGTGAAAATATATAATTCACATGTTCAAATAGAGCATCACATTTGACGAAACGAATAAACCAAAATATGTGAAACTTCAGTAAAATACTAGTCTTGCTCTGAGACCTGTTCTGAAATAAAGTTTCGAGTGGGAATTAGAAAATCAATTTTTTCGATATTCCTGAGGTGAGACCACGGTAATTTTTAAAACCAAACCTCAAAAATGAAATATTTTCATAAGCATAAGCTAACTGCTCAAACTGTTTTCACAATATTCAGAACTCTTTGAGTACTATATAATATACATAATTTCAATGCTAAAGCGATTGGACAGTTGGGGATGTTCCCTCGTCAGTAATAAGAATGTTTGAATCAGATGTTGTCTTTTCACGAGCTCAACATTTAATCGTATGAATATCTTTTTCTATTCTCCTCTGGAGCTGTCAGACTCCGTAATCCTTATTAATAATTTTCTTCAATGTAGAAATTTTTGTTTTTCAATCAATAAAAGATCATGGATTCAAAAAATATGGACGAAGATTCTCTTATCAAAAACTCGTAACAGGAAAATATCTCGCATAACATAATTTTGACAAAATCATGTATGTCAAACTTGAAACTTGAATTCAATTGAAAATTGAAATTTGCAACTTTCAACTTTTAAACCAATGGCATTCTGAAGAATCATGACTCGCTATGAGTTGAAAGTTAAAAGTTGGAATTTTCTATTTTCAACTGAATTCAAGTTTCAAGTTTGACATATATGCCAATATACACCCACACCCTCAAGAATCAATACAATTTCTGTGAGGCATGCAGCGCAGACAACGGTTATTGCACAATTTTCTTTCCAACTTAAAAAATGTGTCACCTATACATGTTACCAAAGAAAATGCGTTTTACTTCCTTTCTCTTACTATGATCACAGTCATTGTTGCTATTAACAAGTTTTTCCAGTTATAACTGTTTTTTTTCCAACTAAAATCTTATTATGTCGAACATAAATGAAAGTTATTTCATCGAAGATCAAACCTCTTCACAAATCAATTTTCTTAGCATGATAGACGATACCGACACCAAAGATACTGTCATAATATCCAGTAGAAACATCCATAATAATAACATGGTCTTACATGGCGATCGAAACGTTTTTGGTACTTCATCAAATACACCAACTGCTGATCTAACAGCTGCCAATAAATTCAGATGTTTATCTCGTAAGTTCAAATCAAAATGAGTTTTCAACACTTCGAACATATTCAATTCGCATACATCGTTTCATGCTTCTTAGTTTGTACTTTTTAAATCCCAATTCTAATGAAATTTTACTGCAGACTCAAACTAAATTTACTCATTGTATTCAACAGTTAGTGTACGAATGATAGGAATAACATGATTAACGAAGGAAATAGTCGAACGTTTCTTTATCAAACTGAAGAGCTGGAAAAGATCTTTCAATTATTCAGTTAGATCATGTCAGGGGGATGAGAAGACTAGTGCAAAGACGTTGGGCTGATTTAATGCAATCTAGCTTAGAGCACTTTTTAATTGTTTTGAGGTTATGTGTTCGGAAACGTCTATGTGAGTTTTCTCCCAAGTAGTTACTATAATCACCGTCCAGCGGCTCATAGAATCATCCATATGCATGAATACACTCTTTCCTTCAGCCCGGATTGTACACAACATACTGTTATTTCTTTTATAAAAGACTTTAAACAACATTTTGAAAATTTCTTATTATCAAGCGGTCGATTTTTTGAGCTAGTTCCTATGTGATGAAAACCGGAAGAAAATCGGCCGTTTACCGACTCCCATTACCGCTAAAAACTATCCGGTATTTTCGATATGGATTGCCCATGTGGTACCGCTTTATGATTGATTTGTAGAAATATTATATTTGCATACTGTTGTTGCCGATAGATGAAAACCGAATAAAACTAAATGATACATGTTTATCAGATATACAGATTGAAGAATTTCAATATCTGAGTTTGGAACTCGTACTGTATTTCTCAGACAAATTTTATTTATTATCATTTAAAAGAATTGTTTTTTGTTTACCAACTAAAGCTCTGAAGCGTTTTACCAACTTGACAACGAAAATGTCACATCATCATGATGCGAACATTTTTTGGCTCGATACTAAATTAGATCCAGACGATGAACGCACAAAATTATTGTTACTTCAACTTAATGACCATGTTGAACTGTTCAATGATATTTATTTGTGTCTTAGTAGACTTTATACATATCACGAAATGACCCTATTCATTGTATCAGGAACATGTGCTGTGCAATGTCTTCAATCGATACATTCCTTATCAAAGATTGATTCTATTCTTATTTTCTGTGCGTCACCTGAAAAGTATGCTTATCTGATCAGCGATGAATATCCAAAAGTATTAGCGTGCGTTAATACTGAAGAAGAACTTGTTCGACGTGTTCATTCTTGGATTGATGCTAAATATCAGACAGATTGTTACATATGGCGTAACGATGACAAATCTGGCAAGCAATTATCTCGTTTAACAGCTCTTTTCCTGGCTAATTATATCTTAACGAAGTATGTAGAATTTGAATTATGTGACGAAAGCAAACAAGAAATGTTGGAATTATGTCGTACTCATTACAGTAGAAACCAATTAGAATTAAAAAATATTAAAGAATTCGAATTAACCTACACAGCATCCGATGCGATTGGATGGTATACACGTGATTCATTCGTTCATAAGATGGTCAATCGAGCTCTCCGATCGTTCGATGAAATAAAATTACGTTGTATGACCTTTCTTATTCGAGATATACGACAACAACTAAAATATTGCTATCAAAATTTGCAACCGACAAGTAATCTAACAGTTTATCGTGGTATGTCCATGTCAATGAAAGATATTCAACGAATGCGAGACACTCCTCTGGGTTCATTAATTTTGATGAACGGGTTTTTGTCAACAACTCGAACGCTCAATATTGCTCTAGCGTATGCGAGCAAAAATTGTGATCTAGTGAATGATTCACGAGGTCACGTGTTGTTCGAGATAAATATTGACGTCGTAAATTCACCTGCTATTTATGCAGATGTGTCCAGTATCAGTACATTTCAACATGAAGACGAAATTCTATTCGATATGGGTACTTTATTTCAAATAGAAAGCATTGATCATGATGAAGACTCGAAACTATGGAAAGTGCAATTGATAACAGCCGCACGAGAAGCCTGTAAGTCCGTTGAAACATTATTGTCGTCAATTTGGGAAGGATTTGAGAAACAGATCGATGGTTGTGTCGCCATAGCAACTATTAGAAGACTACTTTCTTATGATCAACCACAAGAACCATTGAAAAAACAATATGAGACGGGGTCTGTGTTCTCATGGCTTCGATTCAGCAGTTATTCTACACTGTTACAACAAGATGGCAGACGCAAAAATTATATTAAAGATTATACCACACGGATATTAAAGCATATTACAAGTCGTGTTCAAAACAACAGAAGTAAGTTTAATATGATCAACAGTATGATCACCGATTGTCTTTGCTAGCAAATTAATCGAAAGATTGGTTTGATCGAAACATATGAATTTGCCTTCTCGCTCAAAATTTTTACAATCTTATTTAGTATTTCGTGAGAACTATCCGTACAAGCAATGAATCTGATTCATAGAATAATATTCTGCTATTTATAGGCCAAGCAGATCCTCTAATAGTAGTTATAAGCTTTGCCACAAGGAAGAAATTATTAAAATAAAGGAAGTGGCTATGTACACAAGCGTCGATATAGTCAATCAACTATGCATCTTCGAATATCTGTGATCAACTGATTGTTTACGAGTAAAACAAGCCTCGTCTCTATACGCTATCATTGCATATCCATAATCACACCATCACACCCACACACACCAAAATTATTCAATGTGATAATTTTCACTGTATAGTGGGATGTTACTAGCATCTTGCGTAAAGAATGCTGAGAAGTCATATTTCTCTGAGCATATAAGAGATGTTTAACATTAACTAGTCATACTGCTATGAATTTGGCTTGAATTTTTGTCAGACTAATTCAGAATTTCCACTAGATAGTGAGATAAGGAATGATAATGGTGTGCAAGATACAAGTTGATCAGCATGATAACAAGAGAGAATTCGAAAATATTACAGCTAGACTGTAATGAAGCAGGATGTATCTTACAGATTCAGTATGCCGATGAAAAATTGAAGGTTGAGTGTCAAAAATAAACTGGAAAAACTATAGTCAGCTTCAACCGAAACGTTACTAAACTCTACAACAACTATTAAGTATTACAAAATCAGCACGACTCACCAAAATTTTAGGACTTTTCAGTTCTTATGAAGAAAGCTATATGTGAAAAAATAAGAATAGAAAGTTATTTTCGTTGATATATTATCATATTTATGTGAACTAAATTCGAAAATTTAATGCATTTTAAAATATCTGATTTCGATAATATGTAAGCTGTTTTTTCAAATAATCTAGTTCAATATTTTCTCTGTACAGCATTTTTTGATGATTTGATAATACTATTTTTTATCATTTAGCATCAGCTCATCATCGGCAGCTCACTGGTACAAACGGGTTGAATCCATGCAATACTTCTCCAGATGAAACTGACATATGTAACTCTCTAGAGCCTATACTATTTTTTCATCTTGAGACAGGTTTGATGAGAAATTATAGGAACGCTCTCTCAACGAAATTTTCTTTGCACCACCGTCGATTTATCACAAATGACATTACAACAGATGAAGTCGAAACTATTCTCGATGAGTTTCACTCACTCTTTTATATTGGTTCAGAATTTCTTTCGTGCGTGAAGGATAACTCGCGGATACACCTTTATTCAATAGACGTGTCACCTAAAGCACAGGATAACGTGGACTCAATGGAAAAGTCAATCGAGAAATTGACACGCAGACTTCGTCATGATCTTGCAATTTTCTACCGAAAAGAAGCAGAGCGTTTTTTGAACGAACAAGATGATCGTAATACGGCTAAAAAATTGTTTGCTAAATCAACTAAGTGTTATGAACTTATTGCGAACGAAACACAAGAAAAATTAAAACAGCTTGTTCTCAAGAATAAGTCATAGTTAAGGTAAGACGATATCTTTTTTTCCAAGATTGTTGCAAAACACTAAGTAAAAACCGATTTTTTTGTAATTAAAACCTATCAAATAAATTATAAACAAACTAATTTCTGTTTCATTTCTTTATGCAACGAATTATGGGATTCTTTCAAGCTATAGGCAATGAATTGTGACAGTTTAGATATTATATAAATATCGTAATTTATATGGATATCAACCTACTGGATTCCTAGTGTTCCAAATTTGATTTGTTTTCTCGTGCAATTTTCGAAATATAGTAGCATTTGTTTCTTAAGTTGTAAATTCAGAGTATTATATCGATGGTTTTGAGCAATTTTTCGGTACTATAGTTTTTGAAATTAAAATTCACCGGAATCGCTCTCGAAAAAAGTGTCATAGCGAACATTTTCTTGGTACCATTTTTAAGTTCTATAGAAAAAGCTTAGAGCTTAATCTGCGTAAATGTTCAAGTTTTAGACAAACAATATTTCGAGATATATAATGAATTCACTTTAACTCTTGAATACGAAGATAACTTGGATCAGTACTCGACTAACTATTTTTGTATACGAGTACTAGATTCACATTTTAGACACTCTGATTAAAACTACGGTATGACAGGGGTATCAAAAAATCATTGATGTCACAAGAATTCCTTCGGTATGATGAAAGAGCTTTGATTGAAAACATTAAAATGATGCATATATAATTTTAAATTATTATTCATCGTTGTACAACATCAATAATTTTATTATGTTGCATAGTATCTTGTTGATCGGCATGGCTTTACAAATAAAATGCGTATTCTTAATCAACTCTCACTTTTGAAATTCCCTGAGAGGCCCTGTCGAGCGTTCTAGTGAATCGAGTAAAAGTCTAGAATATCTAAAATGAAATCTCTGTCAGCAACTAAAGGGAAAGTAGCTGATTTCAAGAGTTGAAATCAAGTTGAACTCACCTGAAATCAGTTACTTCCCTAATGCAGGAACCTGAAGAAGCCGTAAAAACTACAAAAAATCTTTGTGAGGTTTTAAGGGAATCTCTCAAGGCTCACCAGAGCTTTCAAAAAAGTAAGATGTGATTAAGCGACACTTAGATATCTTTCTTGTATACACTTTTATTCAATAGAAATTACGTCAGAATCTATCTTACCATTCAAGGATAAGCATAGTAAGAAATTTGAAACTCATTATCACCGTAGAATAAATGTCTACTTTAATAATACTTGAGGAAAAGCAGATATAATTGAAATTTAATCGAATATGGTATGTACTGTACTGTCAGTTGCATATTGCTGAAAATCAATGTGACGCTTTCTTATAAGCGCTTGAGTGCTTTCATATCCAATTTCTTTTTAATTTCTTCAATAACTAACAATAAAACTTGATATCTATTACTGTTTACTGTAGTTGATATTATAGATATTTCATGTTGATGTTTATCATAAATTAAAGCAAGTATACGATGGCAATTGAGGCAAGTATTTTAATATGCATCATCAATTTCTTAAAAAGATCATCTTTACTGCACCATAGGGATTACACATCGGTAACGCTAATCCCTCAAATCTACTTAATGAGGAACCTCGTCTTGTGATATACGATCCCGGACATGTAATAAATAATCCTGTTCAAAATCTTTACCCTTTTGATTCCCTATTTATAATTCATAATAACTTGGAAAAATGCTTGCTTGAATTCGCTCAAATACGTGATAAACGGTGGATTATTCTTCTTCTATTACCTAGTTTTACCCCTGCTGAGGTAGTTCAATTCGTTAATAGCCATGTTGTCAATCAGCAACGCTTACATTCGTTCTATTTAATATTCAACAACGGTGTTCGATTCAATAGCCAATTCCGTATGCATTTTCCTGCAAGCCTTCAATGGTGCCGATCATTCACACATAGACTATATAATGACATTCGATCGGCATGTGCAACTGTTTGTGACCTACAAATCACTTTTTGTGATCAACGGGTAAATGAAATTGAAGATGATATTGACGAGCACTCCCAAAGCATTGTGAACATGTATAACATCCAGAAAGTCAGACTCTACGAACTGCAAGCTACTTATACGTTGGCAATGTCATTATCGTATGAATAATACTCCAGCTTATTTGAAACAGAAAGCAGGGAGCAAAACTTTTAATTTAGCATACGAAATGCTATACTGAAGAAAACCCCCTAGTCAACTCCCTCCAGACGAATCCACAGGGAGTCCTCCGGGGAGGTAAGGAAAAGATGAAAAAATATCTACCGCGACTATCAAAAACCTACGTAAAGTATCCGAAAGCATCTTCAAAACTTTCTGCGGGATTTCTAACACTTGACTGAGGATTCCTGTAGAAATCCCAGGGAATAGACAAGGAATCCCTAGGGACTTTGAAGAGACTACCTAGTCAGTTTTTAGAAATCCCTCAGAAAGTTTGGAAGATGCTTTCGCATACCTTACATAGGATTTTGATAGTCACGATAGACATTTTTTCATCTTTTCCTTAACTCCGCCGGGGACTCATGACAGGGACTCTTCAAAAATTCGGAAACTGCGGGAAACTTCCTGAGGATTCTTCTGAAGAGAGTTGACTAGGGCCTTCAAATTCGAAATGTTTCCAATCATAGGCTTTCTCTTTGCGCGAAAGTTCAACTCTATGCTGTGCTCATTAAAAATTGTTGTTATTTTTAAATCAAGATATGCGTATGCATAGGATCTTTTTCTTCTCACAGTTTGTATCCACACATTTTCTTTTCGAAGTTTCAGAAAAGTTAAACTAATTTTTATTTTTCGTTTATTTTTCATTACATCCACCTGCAATGTTTTATTAACAACGCAGACAAATCAGGAACCGTCTTCTATTTTCAGGTCACTGTTGTTTTCAAAACTATTCCCATGGCATAAATCTTGGTGAGACGAAAACAAAGGTATATTTTGGTACCAGGTTCCAACCTTTATTCTGTCGAGTTATAAGCGTTTTACTACAAGTTAAACTATGAACGTAAGATCTATCAAAATCTGAATGATCAGCTTACACACTGAGTTGTTTTTATTTATGCATAGGATAGGTAGCCACTCGTAAGTTGTAGTCAGAGAAAGTAAAACACATCTTTACTGAAATATTTGTATTTCAAAAAAAACCTTTCTGTTATGTTGAACTTTTAATATTATATCAATAGTTAAGTGATAGTACGTTTCTTCTGGTTAAAAATTTATCAAGGTAATACAGTCTATTGAAAGAAATTTCGACATTCATTATCCAAAAATCCACGAAAACGCTCATAACTTGACAAGGAAGGAATGACTGCAAAATGAAACCGAAATACTTTTTTCTAATGCACACTTGGATTAATCAAACAGCAGACGTTTTAAATAAAAAGTGGATTGGAAAATAGAAGATGCTTACTCCTAATTCTAAGGTCCACAATTCCTAACATGAATAAAAAACGTAATCTCGATGACATTTTTTAAGCTTTCTAAGTTCTAAGTTGTTCTTTCTTTATGTTACTTTTATTAATACATTAACTTGCTCTTTTTACACAGTAAACTATTAAATATATTAATATAATACGTTAAAATTTTCTTTTATTTACAAGGTGTACAAAATACCGTATCTTGGAACATCTTTCAGTTTTCAATGTAGACAAAAACCTGTTTGTGGTGAACATAAGATATTAGCGCACTTCACTCAAGTTTATATAGTGTGGAAATAGCAATCCACCATTGTATTGGAATATTCTTCATTTCATGTTTATTATGCACTAACAGAAAATAAAGTCCCGAAATAGAAAGTGGTGCTATCCTGCCACGCCATAACATGCACGCGACGATCACAGATCGACATATAGTGCACATCCCAGTTAGGCAAGCGTTGAAAAAAACGCGTATAGAATCGCGAGAGTAAAAGTACAACCATGAAATAATATTGCCATTCTAGTGTTTTGACAAAATTCATTGGTTATTCTATTTTATTTTTCTCAAATTAAGAGTTCCTCCATTTTTGTGATTTATTTGCCAATTTGAATACTTTCACGATATCTTCGATTTGATTTATTACTATTCAAAATTTACTGAAAACAATATATCATACTTGACAAAATCGATCACCGTAGTCCTCGAATATCATTCGTTAAGATGTTCGAATTGTAAAAGTTTAGTTCTATTTGTTATAAAATATAATTCATATTTTATTATGGAAATAGAAAAATTTTATTTTATTTCTAATTCAGGTAAAACACAATTTAAAAAATCATGAGGTCGTTCAGAATGCACCCAATGACCAGCATTAGGAATTCGAATAAGACGATATAAAGGAAATAAACTTCGTATTTTGGGCAGTGATTCATCACTAAAATTTAAAATTTTAAGAAAAACAATTTTCTAACGAATAAGAAACGTTTCTCCATACTTTATATACGGTGATTTTCCTCCAGCAATAAATAATGTATCAACGTCGACTGAAGTATTATCATATTCAGTTGGAAAATGCATTATATCATTCATATGTTCTTCAAGAACTTCTAAATTTGCTCGCCAGATAAATCGTCCACTTGGTTCATCATAAGCAATCAACATCAAAAGAAAATCACGAAGGCTCTTAGTCTATAAAGCACACAACATTTTGCTACTGATCTCTTTTAAATTAAAACTAACCTTTTGCAATGATTCAGATGACTTTTGAAGGATGGCATCCATCGCACGTCTTGCTGCAACAATATCTGTTTCAGATTGTATTCGATGTATATTATCAAGTAGAATTCTAGTATAAGACGGAATTTCTCCAATTGATGCACTTATTGTTGGTGCTATATCAACTACGATTAGTTTTCTTAACAATTTCGGCTACATCTAACAAGACAAACCAAACAAATCAACGTACTTGCTTCAAATGCTTACTTTTTCTAACGCCACAATCATCGCTGCTTTGCCACCCATGCTATGGCCCATTAAAATTGTTTTTGGCATCTGATGTTTTTCGATTGTTCTAATTAAATCTGATGCCATATCACAATAGTTCATAGAATCCGTATATGGAGAATCACCATGATTACGCATATCAACTGTTACTACCTGAATATTTACAGAGTGAAAAATATTTTAACATAGGAAATTACTTTTATTTTTGCTCGTTCACTGAACGCTTTTGCTAATGATCTCCAATTAGTACGAAATCCGAAGAGACCATGTCTAGAATAAAATACAAGTTATCTGGTTAAAAAAAAACTAATATATGCATACGTAATAATCAGGCATCGTTCAGGGTCGGCCATTTCGTTAGGTGGGTTATATACATCTTCAAATAATGTAACTCCTTTAGCTGATCTAAATTTATTCAATAGATGAATTATGCTGTTTTTTTTGCTTAAATTAAACCTACGATACATGTTGAAATCGTTGAAAACTGAATAAAATCGTTCGATTTAAAGAAATCAAACCTGAACCAATTTTCAAATACTGATTCATCTGCAATCAGAATATGGATATGGGTCTGCCGAATTTTTTCTTTATCTTGTGTTTTTATTGAAATAAAAAGTGAACGCATCAAATCCAAGACAACAGAAAAAAAAGGAAAAATAATAACCAAGAGCAAACGAAAGACAACGTCGTTTTCTTTATGTTGCTTTCGCACGAGTTGCTGCACGTTTTCCAACTTGAGCTTGAAAACCAGTTTTGATACTAGAAACAAAATAACGTGACCGGCAATTATTACATAGAAGTACTGATAGACGTTCTTCTTTTTGTAATGATGTATCAGGTGAACGGCATGTTTTACAAATAACGTATTCTTCTAGAATATCCAATGAAAAAAAAACGAGATTAATTTTGTTTTTTTGTTAATGCAATCAATTTATCTTACTGATATACGATCGAAGTACATTTTCAATTTGTTTCTGTTGAAAACGACCTTTGATAGTTAATGCATTATTAGCATCAATAGAGCCACTATAAAAATAAATAAAAATTAGATTAGAAAAAAAGATTGACTGTACTTACTTTGTACCCAATTCAGCAAGTAAGTATTGATGTAAATGTTTTTCTTGTCGTTTAAGGCTAGAAATAAAATTCGTTCTTTTTTCAAAGTTTAATTTTTACTCGAAATGTAACGTACGATTTGCATATTTCACCAAAATTAGAGAATGATGTACGTTTAGTACCAATACGAGCTACTTGTGGTGGTTTCAGAGTCAATTTAATCTTTTCGCCATCGTTTACATTGGGATTTTTCTCACGAATGGTATTGAATACTCGAGATAATAACTAGAAAATGAAAAAATAGTCTTGAACATAGAAATTACTTGTTGTTTATATCAGCCGAGACAAAAAACTCGAAGATAATAGTTAATTTAAACTGAGATTTCATTGTTTTTTCTGAACAATATTTCTCTGGATTTATTTATTAGTGCAACATGAATCTTAAGAATATTGACATTTTAAAGATGTATTTTTTATCAGTATGATGGAATTTTTTCAAGGATTCTAATCTTGGAATAAGTTTCTTACGAATTTCTATCGTTGATTTTACTTACATCTTCATATGTATATTCGCCTTGTAAAGATGTTGCATTGGCAGTTGCTTCATCTCCCAGTGTACCAATCGTAGCTTCTCTCTAGAAAAACAAAACAGTAAAATAAATTTTGTTTGCATTTATCATAGAAGCTGCCGCTAACTTACCTGAGTCTCGCCTTCCCCTGTTGCATCACGATTTATTTGTTTCTTTTTCTTCTTTTTACGAAGTGCTAGTACATCATCATCGTCGTCATCTTCGCCAGCAGCACCTGCTCCTGCTTGCTCAGCGTTAACATTATCTTGGTTCTAGAAAAAAATGCATCGACTGAAGAAGTCAATAATTTCTTAGATTTTTTAAAATTTTACTTTAGATGATTCTGTTGCAAAAGCTACATTTTTAGTTTTCTTTTCTTTTGTAGCTGCTGCTGTTGTTTGTTCATTTGCAGCATTTTCATCAACTTCTTTTTCAGTACCTGTTGCATCATCTCTTGGTTTCTTCTTCTTCTTCTTTTTACTCAAATCGAATATAGACTAAACAGAAAAAACAATGATCCTCAGAGTCTAACAATTATCCCAAGAAACTCACGTCATCGGGTGCATCACCTCCATCGGCCATGTTTTTAATGTTTATCAATGTATTTGCTTGGTTTTTGTCAATTTCGCAATCTATATATAAAACTGATTTCTGATGCAATATAGAAAAAGCAACTTTCTTATTGGTTTACTAGGAAAAAACCATTCATATTTATTACTGACCTCTATAATATTAAGGATAAAATAAAATCAAAAATAATTTTTTTCTAATAAAAAAATATTTTATTAATTAGAAATGGCAAGCATTCTTAATTTTCCTTCGCATCTCAAAGATAAGTATCTAGCGACGCGTGCTATTAAAATATGAAAAACTAAATTAAATTTTCAAATAATTTTTATTAAAATCATCGAAAGAAAATTAATCTATTCATTAATATCAATTATAGCAATACTTATATTGTTTATTTTCAATTGTTGACATATTGTTTTTTTTTGATCGTTCTTTCTCCAATTTGTTTGTTTGCTTCTTCTTGTCTACTTCATTCTTAAACATAAAATCAGTTTATCAACAAGATATTTCTCCCAGTTTTCATTTTTTTTTCTATACAACACTGTATTCTATTAGCTGTTGTTTTGTACATTTTATTAAGTATTTTTTTTCAAGTCAAGTATATCGAAACGCACAGGTATATTTATTGAAAAAATGAAATTTTCGTATATTTTTGTTCTGTTTAGTTACAATTTTATTTCATGTGATCATTTCTTTGTATCTCCTCTTCCATACACCGTGTTGATGGTGCTTGCATAAATTATACTTTGAAATAATAATATTTAAAATAAAAACACAAGAATTTCTTTTCACTTTGGAATGGCTAAACTTGTTGATTCATGTTGTGTGCCATCGTCAATGGCAGTACAATTGACAAAACCTGATAAAAATAATAATACAACAGCTAATATTGATGATGGTTAGACGATAGAAAAATATGCATAAATATTCATTTTTCTGTTTTACAGGTATTATTTTACCGTCTGAACATTGTGATGTGATTGAGGATGGAACTGATGAGAAATCTGAAAGTGTAAGTTTTGGCAATAATGAACCATACTATCTTCAAGGATTATAAGAAGTTTTGAACGAGCAAACCAGTATTGCCTTGTCTCGTTCAAATATAAATCAGTATGACAAGAAAATTTTAATTATTTCATTTTGAACTGTGTTCCTAATTGGATTAAAATTACTCGCAGGTTCAACAGTCACTTTAGAAAGCGTAAATAAAGCTCGATTCATTATGTTCAATAGGAATTCATCTAAGAAATATTCCTACATAATATCAAACGAGTATCTCTATGTCAAGTGTATATAGTCAACAATGTTTTCAAGGGCATTGCCTAAAGGAGAAATTATTTCGGTTCATCGGTTCTATTTGTTTTGTCCTGCAGCTCTTTAGGCAATGCTAACTCGAGAAGTGCACCAATAATGCATGCGAGACTTCCTTGTGTATATTACTAATATTGAATAGACTTCTCAATATTGTGATCATCTCGATTTGATTCAACTTTGATTGATGCTGCCAAACAAAAATTTGAGAATGAATTCTTTTATATATTTAGACTGGTGACAGCGAGGATCGTCGTCATTCCTCAGGTGGTGGTGATGATGATGATGGACAAATTAATAATAATACGGTTACAACGGAGATAACAACCGTTGCTTCGTCGTCGTCATCATCATTATCATTGAATGATGAAAACGATGCATCAATTAATAAAGAATCAACTATGAATAATAATAATAATAATAATACAAATACATCTACTAATAATGCTACTACAACCGTTCCATATAAAGATTTTTCAGGAGTTGATACCGAATCATTTATAGCAACAACATTACGTAATAATCCAAAGGATCGTACATTACTTTTAACACTTGAAACAGTTTTTCAACAATTTATTCAAGATGATGAACAAAAATCATATCAATTTCAAGCAATGAACTCTTGTAAACTATACATTCTTGTGATTTGTTCAGCAATTCAATTGAAATTTCTCTTTTCTTAATAGATGAACGAATGATTGTTCATCGTGTTGCCGCATTTTTCGGTCTTGACCATAATGTTGATAAAAATGGTCAAGCTGTTGTTGTTACTAAAACTCCGAATACTCGAGTGTATGTAATTTGAATGTATTTATTGTAAAAAAAACAATTGAATTATTCTCTGTTATTCTAGCCCTAATTTTTCATTTCAAAAATGCATTCCAGAAGATGAATCAGCCGATATTACAAATAGTGGTGCTTTAACAACAGAAAATCCAGTATTATTAACAAATCCAAATGAAATTCCAACTCGTCGTATTCTACGTCGTCATGAGAAAAATCCCAATCATGAACATTCGCAACGAAATGGTCTTAATGATGATTATTTAAATCAGCAGATATCTTCAACAAGTAAAAACCAACCATTATCAAAACCATATTCAGAACGTGTAAATAATTATGCTGAAACACGTGCTAGAATATTTAATGAAACTGCAGATATATCAAATGCATCCATAACAAATCAAAATATGAAAGCAAATCAAAAACAACATTTAAATTTTATTCGGCCATCTTATCGAAAACAGCAGCAACAGCAGCAGCAACAACAACAACACCAGAACAGTTCACAACAACATCGTTCTTATACATATCAACATTCACAACTAACAACTAATAATCATATGCAACAGTATCCAACTGGAAAAGCAATTGATCCATCTAGTCATATGCTTAATACTTCGACACCTAGAAGTAAATAATTCCTATGTGAAAGAAAAATCAAACTGCATAAAACACGAAAAGTTAGAGAAAAAAATAATAAGATTGTGACTTTGTCATAATGATATAAAAAGATATCGATAATGAATTCTCAGATAAATATTGTCACAATGGTCTCTATGTAAGATTCTCATCATAGTTTAGATAATTTAAATGTCAGAATAATGTTTTGCACTATAATGACATTCATCATTGGGTATATTGTATAATTTAGCTCCATCGATCTATTCAGTCCAACAATCATCATCGGGAAATCTGAGTATACCTCAGCCACCATCTATCTATGCTTCAATGATAGGATCAAACCCTAGTGTAGCATCACTACGTCAACCAGCTGCTAGTTCTTTTTATACTCAAACCCAACCGCCATCTCTTGATTATGATTATAAACAACAAGCGAGCGGAGCGCATATCTATAATTATGTACCAATGATACCTTCATCAACATCTAGTTTTATTCATCACCAACAGCAACAGCAACAACAACAAACACAACAATTACATGCACAACCACCACCGGGTGCCACAGCAGGAGCAGCTGGCCCAAATCAAGTTCCATCGCAACATGGTGCCGGTATCCCATTGCCTATACTAGTTCATCAACAGCCAACAGGACAAATACAATATCTATTTCCTGCTCATCCTTTACAACAACAACAGCAACAATCGCAAATCCCACCACAAACAAATTCTTATTCAATCACACCTGATGGACAATATGTTCAAGTAAATATTTAAAATCATATTTATCTTGTATATAAAAAGAAAATGCAATTGCCTTTCTTCTTTCCTAAAGCTTTATCGCCCAGATACTTTATCCATGTCGGGTCCACCCACAGTACAACCTCCGACCGTTGTTGACACTAATCATACTCATCACCATCCCTATTCTCAAAATCAACCTCATCATCATCATGCTATTGCTCAACAACAACAACAAATTCCACCGTCGCAGTCAAATCTTGCTGCTCAGCCACCACCCTTTGTTCGAATATATCCAACAGGCACACCAGGTAATGTTTCACATCCCTTTGCTCAAGCAACTTATCAACAACCTCCACCTTCACAAACAACATTTGTTCAATCAGGTTAACTTTAAAAAAACAAAAAACGTCGCTCTCAATTTCATTTTATACAATACTTCTCATTTAGGCACTATTCCTACACCGTCTTTTATGATTCCTCCTCCTCAAACGGCTGGTAATGTTCAAACTTATCCAACATATGATAATAGTGTACCATATAATACATATGGCCCAACAACAACATCATCTGGAAAACCTAATGTTAATAATAATGGAACATCAGTACAATATGTAACAAATCATTTATCAGCATTAAATTTACAAAATCAACACGATGATTATCAAGCACGTGTCATGAATAATCAGCAACAGCAACGTTTTACTCATTCAAATGGTTCAATAGCAAATAATCAACAACGAAATTTTATGGGACGACCATTAGTACAATCACCCAATGGTTCAACAACAACACCTCGTATGACTATTTATTCAACATCAAATCAACAATATCGTCAACCCCGTCCATTGAATATTTCAAATACTGATAAACAAATAACATCAATCGAGAATGATCCGAAATCTTTAACACAACAACAAAATAACTGCGATAATACTTCGCTGGCCGGTCCAGCTCAAGGTAAAATTTAAGTCAAATTCTTTTTCTATATTATAAATCGTCCTTTTTTTAAAATCTACTATTTAGAGTAATGAAACAACGGATCTTTCAACACGCACACACGCACGCATATAAACGAATCGATAAAGTCTTTCTTCTCTCAAAACAACAGCAGACGGCCCGGCCACAATTCACTAGTCAATCATGTCTCTTTCTTTTCTTCTGCATATCTCAGGGTCCGATAGCTGTGTGATGTGTGTGTATTTATGTGCCTTTTATTCGCTACTCTGTGAGAATAGTCTCGGATCTCGATTGCATATGTATGTGTGTGCACGCGCGCGCGCGTGTGTGTGTGTGTGTGTAGTTTGTTGACAAATGGGCAATGGCATAGACCGATTACTTATATCTTCCTCTTTTTTTTTTCTCTTTTTCTATCTCTTTCGTTTCATCATCGCTCGTTCTTTCTCTTCTCTTCTAGTTTTTTTTTCTTTTCTTTTTGTTGTTCTACAACGACGATCAATACATACGAACGGCAGAAAAAAAGAAGAAAAACAAAAGACAAAAAAAAAACAACAAGTCATACATCAATCTTCTTGTATACTAAGTGTAATTTGTTTGTCTACTTTTTACATATCTACGAAAGATTCAAAAAGAAAAAAAACAAATCATGATAGAAACAAAATGAACTTTTTTTTTATCAACGGATAAACTTCTCTCATCGATCTTATGTCTAACAGAATTAGAAAAAGAATAATTTATTATACGAAATGTCATTTATTATTGTTGTTCTTGATAGAAACAGTATACTATAAATTTGTTAATATGGATAAACATTAAAAAAGAGATATTGTCGAACTGTTCTTCTGTCTTAATGACACGCAAGACAAACACGTAGGCCAATAACATTCTGTTTGTACTGTTTTGGCCGTCTCATATAATTGTTTGATAATCATATAAGCAGATTTAGGCATTTTCTTATCAGTAATTATTAATAAGAAAGTTCCAATGAAACTAGGATGTTGAAACGAAAATTTAGTAAATATAAAAAGATGAATCATGAGAATTATCTTTTGTTTGGCAGGAAACAAATTCAGATACATACATACACAATAGTATCATTTTTATATGAAATCAATACCGTGCGATTTAATCCTTTTGATTAATATACGAACAAGTAATGTATATACCTAAACTAATCCTTATATCGATGTTGCAAAGCTAACTATATATATTTATTATTGATTGCGTATTTATTGAATTATCACTATCATTTATCTCTTTTGACATAAGCGAGAAGAAAAAATATTAATGGAAGTCTTCGTATTTTTCTGCAAAAAACACGTACTTCTGTCGGCTAGTATCTGGCTGCGTTATTTTCTTGCTTTTTCCGACAGGATCTTGCAACACAAAGAAAGCCGATGCCGTTCTCTCAACGCTATTTGGACCGAAAGGTATTTATCCTAGTATCAACATAACTTGATATTTCCATAGTGACAAGCAACAAAAAAAATTTTTTTTTTCAAATGAATAAAAATTGCTATTTCGATTTTATTCGTTTATGATTTTCATCTCATTGCCACCAGGTTGACAATAAAATACAGCCAGTTAATATGGGTGGTGAAATGTCACTTGTTTTACCTCATCTCTATTTGGGCTCAATGAAAGATCGAACAAACAGTACATTGATGGTTAAAAATAAAGTTAAACGTATTCTATGTATTATTGATGTGCCAGATATGGTTATTGATAGAGACGAATATAAACCAACACATCTATTAAATATTCCAGCAGCAGACGCACAACAACAAGATCTTGCTCAATATTTTGAGAAATGTATTGAATTTATTCATCAAGCAAGAATAGAACATGAAAATATTCTAGTTCATTGGTAAAACATAGAAACATGCATGAAAATTGAATTTAAGATAAATGATGAATTTTTTCTTATTTATAGTCAAGCAGGCATTTCGAGAAGTGCAACAGTTGTTGTTGCCTATGTTATGACCATTGGGGATTATGATGTTGAAAAAGCTCTTCAAATTGTGAAAGGTGCCAGAGGTTATATTCATCCAAATCCAGGGTTTCTATTTCAATTGAAAAGATATTATACGAATGACGTCAAAAGGGTATGCTTTTCTAGACGACAATGACATATTGACCCTTATTATTATTTATGTTAGAATTGGTATCGTTTAACGCGACGTTACCCTACTTATGTATTTAATGATGACGAAATTTTTGTTAAAGAGTCCTTAGATGCTTATTGGCAACAATTTGAACCGGCTTTTGTTGCCGAACCAGTTTATTGGACAATGTAAAGCCTTTTCTCTCTCTCTCCTATGCTTTCAACCAATATTTTTTTCCGATGAGAATTAGTTAAGTTTTAAATTTCTTTTAGGGACAGAAAAGACTCGAAAAAAAATTTGGCAGTCCATTGCGAACCGAGGATGATTTGCACATGTTTGAAGAAAACGAACGTGCTTATGAGCGAATGATCAATGGAGATATATCATTACAACAAGTATCAAATGATGAATTGGACATTAATGCGATTGAAAAAAAGGCACTTCCGAGTATTTTCTTCACTTTCCGTTTTTTCTTCTTTTTTTCTTCTTCATTGGCACATAAATGTATGTATATATGCATGTTATCCTATCATAGTCGTCGAACAAATAATCGATAATAATCAAGAACAAAAATTGAGACGAATAATATCAGTCGATGAAGAAAAACCATCTGCGTCGATCGTCATCATTAATGAGCCCCAAGCATTATCGCATAATCAATCAATAGATAAAGCACCTGTTGTGTCATCTTCGACAACAAAGCGTTATCATGATTCTAAAAGAAAATTCACTACTTCGAAAGCTATTCGTCGTTCCAATACAATGCGATCGAAATGAACATCAAGATTTCAAATCTTTTCACAACAGAATCGTATTGATTAAGATAATTAAATATTGATAATTAATTGTAATATTCTTAATAAAATAAAACAAAAAGTTTCATATTGAAAATATGTAAAGAGCATAAAATAAAATAAATTATATAATTTGAATTGAGAACAGTTTCGAAAGAAGAAAGATTGATAATGATATTCATAGAAGATTCTCGTTCGTCGTTTTTTATTCTTCTCTTACTTTAGTTTTTTCCTTCATATACTATTTTTTTGAAGCTCCTGCTTCTATTCTTTCGTTTTAGAGAGTTTATGTCAATATAAGATACCTTCATGATACTGAATTGTCGTCAGTGTTGTGACACATAAAGTAAAAGTCGTTCGTTTAGTTCGAATAAAACAAAAAAGAGCAAACGAGCTAGGCAAAGGATAAAAAACCTCCACATCGAGTATCAAACAGACAAATTTATCATGTATTCGTTGCGTCAACAACAAATAAAACAATTAATCTACCTTTTTTGCATTTTCATCGCTCCAACGCTATGTATTTCTACGAAAGAAATTCTTCAAACTATTCGGTGTAATGTTCTACATCAAAACTGTACATTTCCGCCGAGTAATTCTTCATCAGATTCGATTTCATCTATTGTTTCTGTTCGAATTTCCACATCACAAACAACTCGTCAAAGTCCAATTGCACTAACAACCCCCCAACGGCCAACGATACGAACAAATCGTCAAAGTCTCACCTCAAGATTAACTTTACCAACAACTAGACTATCGTCAACAACAACAAAACAAAATCGAACATCAAGTTTCGATGCATTTAGTGACAATTTAAAACGTGCTGCTTTAATATTAGCTGGCATTGCCATAGGGCTTGGTATTCTTCGGATTTGTCTAATGTTATGTAAATCACGTTCTCCGAGTAATTCATCATCGAATCGTCATACAGCTACTGTTCGACCACAAGTAGCCACTATAGAGCATCATCAATTTAAACCAGATTTACCACCAGCGTACGCCGAAGCAATACGTGGTAGAGACAATGAGGGCGGTAAATTACCATCATATGAAGAATTATCATATGAACAACGACAAGAACCACAAATCAATAATAATATTGAATTTATTTCAACACAAGTGTAACATTTTATTTTCAAAATTTGATACCAAGTGTTTTTTCTTTCGTTTTTTCTTTCGTACAAACAAATTATTTATTTATTTTTATTGAATTGTGATTTTGTACAGAGGAAAATTATGATAATATTACACTTTAAATTTTACTAACAGCTATCATTTTTACTGAGTAAGAAGCTAGTGGGTGTTTGAAATCACTAGTTTGATCATCACAAATTCATTTTGCTAAGAGGCAAAACAATAGCTGTGTTAGATAATTCATTTATTGACTTAACTGTGCATGCATAATAAAGCATTATCTTAAGAAGGTGTGTCTTATATAGTTTTAAGAAAATTTCGATATCACAATAGTAGAATTTCTTTTAGTATAATTAGTACATAATCATTAAAAAAAATCATTTCGTTCGTAGGCAGTTAAGACATTTTATAAATTAGAACCCATAGTTGCTTTATGGACTATCTCTCGTCACTTCCTATTCTTGTTTCAATCTATCTGTAGTCATGTGCAATATTCATAGGCTTACCTCTCTCTCTCTCTCTCTCTCTCTCTCTCTCGTTCTCGTTCTCGTTCTTATTCTTACCTTCAAAATAGACTTGAATCAGTTTTAAAATAACAAGAAAGAAAAAAGTAAATTTAATCGTATAAGATGTTATATAATGTTACTATCTTTGCTGATTTCTCAGTGCTCATATGTACATATCAGATGAATATATATAATTATTCTAAAGCGTGTTGATACTCATGTCTATGTTTTTGTTATTTAATTAAGATTCTTTGCAAAAACAATAAAAACACAAGTTTATTGACATCTCGAAGGTGTATGTCATATTATTTTATTCTCCTATTTATAAGTTTATGATGAAGAAATAAATGATTAGAAAAAAACTTCAAACACTCACATTTGATAATACGATGTATAAAAATCGGTAGATATTCATTGACATGAGTGTGTTTAAAAAAAGGTATCATATTAAGTTATTACCAGAGTATACTTACACGAAGAACATGTAAATCTATCTCAAGGATTGATGAAAAAAAAAATGTGTGAAAATTAACTTGCTCTTTCACTGCAGACCTAAACAGGAGAATCTCAATCGTTGTAGGTAGTGGCGGCGGCTGAAATTTAGATGTGAGGGGGCGCAGCCCCAAGCTCTGAAATTTTAATATCAGAAAAAATCTAATTCACTTGGAAATTTCCAAAAACAATCTGAGGGGACTTCGCTCCTCTAGTCCCCGCCGTGGCGCCGCCACTAGTTGTTGAAAGTAAAAAATTCAATTTATATATTAATAACAGAATAAATAAGATTCACAATCTACTATCAGTACCATTTAAAGAAGTCCAACAAGCTATCATCTACAGATCGGTCAATTAGGAGAATAAAGAAAAGGAGCTAGTTAGGATTGGAACTTTCCAATCTTTCTAAAAACATGTTTAGAATTATTATCTAATTAAAACTTATAGTTTATTCTAAGTCAGAGTAAACGTTTGAAACAGATCAGAAACGACGTTTTTATAGAATATTTCATGTGTTGTAATAAATGATGAGTATTTATTGTATGAAAAAACACCCTAATTCGAAAAAGCTAGGCCCATATAAATAGAAAATATTCGTTATTTTTTGTGCCTTTTGATTTCTCTAATCGATTATTCGATAGAAAATTAAAGTCTTTAGAATATTAAAAATGCAGAGTACGGACGATGGACAAAGAAACAGCTTAGCACAAACACTATTTTTCATTTATTTGGAATATTTCTGCACGGCTAATCATAAGTCAAAACGATAAATCCAATAATTCATTTAGAATAACGTATACAATTCTCTTTCTAAATGAACTCATTTAATCGTTTTCAATGGCATCTAACTATTCGATAATGAGCAAACATATTTACCATCACCTTTCATTTCAGCGTCTTGTACAATCGACTGCTTTCCATGATACACGATAAAACAATAAAAAATCTCCCAAGATATTACTAGATCGAACATAAAATTTTGCTTATAACTGTACAGTTTTGATTTTCTCCGATGCTTTTGAAGTGGACCAATCTCGGTCAGGTATTCTTTATCAAAACGTTTTACATCTACTCAGGTCGATCATTCCAACCATTTGAAATGGCGTCTTATACGACCCGAAACGACTATAAAGCGACGTGATAAAGCATTATAATTTCCACTGCATTTCTCCGGCATAGTTAATTGCAATATGGCGACTTTTTTTTGCATACACTGTGCAACAAAAATGTCTCGTATCTGACAAGACGGGGTAACCACTTCAGTCTGGTCTCAATGCGTACAAGCTGCTAAATACGTCTTTACTTTAGACATTTCCCATGTCGATTAAAACAGATCATCACAAACAACCGTAACGTTCTCATAAGCGGGCGCTAATGCACCATATTCTATCAAGGAATCAACCATATTACTGTTCGTGTTATTAAGGGGCAATGGGGTGTCCGTAATGAATGGTATTTTTATCGTTTACATGTCGGTTCGTCCCATCAAGTTTGGATCAAATAGAAATTGTGGCGTCTTGTTTTTTGCCGTAGCTGAATCCCAGGTCGAACAGTCCGGCCTGGAAACGGCCGGTTTCGGGTAGTTCCGTTGATTTTCTGAAAGTAGTATTCCGGTTAGAAATTTTTCGAACTTTTCTGGTGATTTCCGATCAATTCCTGCCTGAAAAGTCCGGCCGTATTTTTGACCGGAATACTGCTTCCATGTTCCAGCTATTTTCCGTGTTTTCCTGCGCGATATGGTGCCTTTTCCGCATATTTCCTGGAGTATCCTACGGGATCTGGTGGCCGGAATGTTCGACCTGGGATATATAACTTTAGTCAGTCACTAACAAATAACGAATACTAGCGTATTTAAATAGGGCTGCATGAAGAATGTTTTTAAATAGTACTTTTTTCAAACAATCGAAGTTCGACTATCGAACTTGTATGGTGGTCCTTTGTAACTACTTTTGTTCATTATTGAGTGTCCCACTGGTTCCGAGAGTTCAAGACAAGGGGAAATACAGCCGTAATACGTTGTATATCAAACACCAAAAATATTAACTGAAATATCCATTTACGAATATGTAAGATATTAAATTTTCATGTTGCACCAAATAAAAGTACATTATATTATTTAATAAACATCTACTTGTTGGCATATTTGTAATATTTGATCGGAATATTAATATGGATATTTTATTTAGTGCATTTATTTAGAATCAATTTCCTGAGGTATTCTGACGGAATCTGTAAGTAGATAAAGAAAATTGATGCCATAAGAACTTTTAATCTACTTTCCTTTCAGATATTATCTCTAGGATTATCCGCCACTGTTATAATAGATATATGTTGCTATACATTTTTCGACACAATTAACTTTAAAAGTAAAAGAATGGCTCAATTTCAATCAACTAAAACTCCATCTATACCACGAGAGAAACAAATGCATGAATCTATTGCATGAATTTAAATAAAAGAATGCGACCGTTTTTATATTTCCTTTGCATTTGTTCGTCAGGTGATTTTATTCTAATCTTTTTTGAAAGTCAGATATGATTTTTTTTTCATTCTCATTTGATATTTGAATTATAGTTGTCTAAAAATAATTAGTATCAATAGTTTAAGTTTCGTACTCAAAGTATTGACGCTGGATGATTTTCTGTAGTCATATTGGCTTGAAAAATAAAAGTCGTAAATTCTAACACGAATTGATTTTCAAACCCTTTCATATAGAAATACTTAGGACGTGGTTCTCCGTGCATCTGTGCGACATTTCCGTGCAATAAACGTCATCCGGAATTCAAAATCTCGAACGCATACACTCAGACAGACGTTTTTATGATTTTGTCTATTGCTGTATAGTATAGCTTATATACGGTATGATATAGACGATGGGAATGTTGCATATTTGTTTAATTTACTCTCATATTAGCAACATTCCCGGTGGTGCCGTCAGGGGCCGCGGAAGCAGTGGAAGTGTTGCCCCCGGGGGGGGGGGGGGGGGGGGGGGGGGGTGCGGGATTTCAATTAATAGAGGCAGCGCACCCACACTCACACCCTCAAGATATTATCTATACGCATAGGTAGCCATATGGCCTCACACTCTTATATCGCACATATTCTTATAGTCGATTAGCCTGCGGCCTTATAGCATTAGTATCCCCTTAATTCGTTAATCGCCTTCTGGCTATACACCCTTCAGGACCAATGAACTTTCCCGTATCATAACTTCTGAAAGCCTATGGGTTCTCCATATTATAGCCAATAGGCCTTCTTATTATAGTCTTATTTGACTTTTAACCATTGACCATTGACCGGCACAGAGAAACACGCAGGCATTGAACATTATATATATGCCCTAGACTGCAAGGATAGGGTCTAGAAACCGTAGTTTACCTGTGTATGTCTGTCTGTAACAATGACACAAACGGCCATTTCTATGGCACTGTTAGGATTTCGTTTCTCTTTCTTTTGTTCATTTATCCAACCGTGGTATATGTGCTAATGTACTCGCGCGAATTTTATTAGGAGGAATGCATAAGCAAACAACGAATATATAATATATAATACGTATAGAAATGAAAAGGAAAACACCAATAAAGATCAAAGAGAGAGAGAGAGAGCATGTCGGTGTGCGACATCACCCTAACAGGCACGAAGAACCCTTTCGAAGGCACAAACCATGGGCGGATGCATGAAATGGTCACGTAAAACAGTCCGCTTTGGATATGTGTTCAGCAGAGGAGCGAGCTGATTACCCCACGGAAATTTGGGCTAACCATCGTGAAATTTCTAAACCATGCGTTTTGTCGCTAGGTAAGACTGAACCTATTCCCCGCCTTAAGGACCTTTGGGTCCCATTCTGTCTGCCTTTCATCTTCACTCTTAGTGCTTTTACGTGAAAACTTAACTTTTGTCTAATTCTTACTACAGTTTCACTTTTCCCCACCCCCTTTACAGGTCTGTTTGAAAATATCATCACCAGATGTTGGCACAAACAACCGATTTTCTATCCTGTTCATGCATTTCGCCTCCTCAGCACTGCCAGCCTAGGGCTCAGTGAATCGACTTTCGATGTCGACGAACGTTACTTGTATATAGAGCTGAAAAATAGTCTGTTTCCGGTTAGGATGAGTCTATTTATATCTCTCTGTAATCTATCGTAGAACCTTTCAGAAAATTCTCAATCATTCGTGACTTCTTGCATGACGTAGGACCACTGGAAATTCCTGGAATATTCTAGAACGTTCCAGTAAATGCTAGGTCATTTAAGAGACTATAGAAACTCTAGATGAATGTAGAATATTCTGGAATAGTCCACATATTTTTAGAAGTTTCTAAAAATAGAATAGACCTAGTTTGACCTTTAGCTTCCAAGCTGTCTGTAGAGTTCTTGGCTAAACTTCTAGAAAGTTCCACAACATTCTAGAGACTTCTATGAAAGTTCCTATAATTAATTTTCGAACGTTCTTGAAAATCCTAGAAACCTTAACCTTTAACCTTTAATTTATGGCGTTTACCCTTTGGCCCGACACAGAGAAACACACATACACTGAACATTATATCTATAGATTGTTAGCGTCCATGATGGATCACATGGATGCTAAACGATGGTTTAGATGCACGTTCTAGTCTAATTGGCTTAGGACAACTGCCTGGATAGCAGGAGATATGGATTCGATTCCCATGAAGGTCACCTTTTTCATCGCCCTGCCACATAACATCAGTGATATTGCTTGTCTCTTTCGTTCTATACATATTAGAGCCTAACATAGATGATCGTGCAAAGAAATGAAAAAAGGTTCTAAAAACGATTCACCGGCCGTGGTGATACAGAGTTCCAAAACGAGTTTCGACTTGACGTTCAGTCTCATCATTTGGTATATGCTGCAAACGATTACAGTAGAATTCCATGTAATTCAAATATCACATATCTATGTGTATCGATTGGAGTAAATATATTGATAATGTTTCTGGCAGATAAATCTGTGAATGGGTAATGATCATTAGTAACCAAACGTTGCATCATAACAAGAGAAATAAAAATTATAGAATTCTAAGGATCGATACGATTGGTTTCGTCTTTCTTCAAGGGATTCGACAGATATTTTTAGAATTTAATTCGAACATGTCGAAACTCCAGGTTAATGAATTACTTAAGACACATGTGTAACATTTGTGCAAATCTATTATATGAATGCAAACAAATATTATAAAATTCAGAGAGTAACATGGCCGTTTTCGTGCTTGTTAATGGGACTCATCACGCACGATTACAGACTGTCATCACATATATATTCAAGGTGGGTGTGGGTGTGGCTTTTAAAGCAGACTATCACGCGTTTCGATTTTGATCAAGGATCTTATCAAATCCTATGGGATCCGACTCCCCAACAGAACCCGATGGAATTTCTGGATACGGACCTATTGTCGGTTCTGACGGAAAAAGTAATTTTCTTATTCACGATCAAATCAGCATTTTGAATCATCAGAGCGAAAGGGTGATTCGTTAGAGTTCGATTCCGTTAAAATCCAACATCGGATCCGACTGTAGGCCCGTGCCCAGGAATCCCATAAGATTTCGTCGGTTTTATTGCAACACATATGGTATTCTGTATATTCACTGTCTGGTCCTTGTCGGAATCCGAAAGGATCCTACTGTCGAAATGATTCTCCTGGTTAGGTAGCTGTGAATTCGTAATTATTCAAATGATCTGACGATCACAAATAAATTACTTAATCTGTATCTTATCGAGATTGTGAAGAATCTGTTTTTAACAGAAGCAATATGAAGTTTTTAAGCATGCTTTCGGCTAGGTTTTTTGGAAGGAAAGTTCGTTTAATGTGAGATATAAGTAAATGTAGTATGGGTTGCGAGTCAGCTACGCTGTTTTAAGTCCGGATAGAAGGTCTCTTTAAATGACTGATACGTCGTTATTTGCTGTGTGAGATGAAGAAATTGCGAAAATTCTTGTGCACTTGGAGGGTACCTGAATTGAGACATAGGAATTTGTTTCATGGCCTCATTCTCAGAAATATAGTAATTGGTGTGTATTCATGCAGGTGTTTTACATTAGGCTGCTATAGATGGAGCCGTTGTGACAATGATAGCAGATCTCGTTTTTGTTTTATGTTTGTTTCCGTTACGATCAACTATTGCAATGTAGATTTATTTTATAAAGAGACAACTTTTTTTAGGTAAGAAAGCGAAATGTTAAATAGTAGCAGTTAATCGAAGGCCAGGTTTGCTTGAAGATTATTTGGTTGTTTTTTGTCTCAGATTTGGTATTGTTCTTTAGCTGCTTCTCACACGGAGTAGTTCTGACCAGCGTTGCGATTCAAATAAGTTCTGACGAATAGAGCAATATTGGTGACGTCGGTTCCATGAAAAGTACGAATCCACAATTCATGAATATGACGTTGATATTGCTGAGTCGTTTTTCATGTCTTTGATGAATGATGAGATGTTTCTGTCGTGAATTTGATCGGTAGTTGATCTTTTGGCTGTTTTGGGTATGGGGCGTGAATGTGAGCCATCATTTAACATATGCCCACACCCATGAGCTATATTTCACACCTTTTGATTGTTGCTTTTTTTGTCTTCTAATAGAGAATAGTCTATTGTAGGTATTCATCTCGAATGAGAACATTTAGACCATTTTTTTCTTCACAAAATCAAAGCCTTTGAAATATATGTTTAGAATGTCAATTTCGTTACTATTATTATGTTGAGTCATTCGAAAACTCAACAATCTACTCGTCATGATGCTATTATATTATTTTTATGACGCAAGATTGTTTTCAGATGACGTCATGATAGTTTCGGATTAAAGTACACTTTATATATATATATATATATATTTTTTTTTTTTTTTGTTAAAGTACTGCCTGAGTGGGAAACAAAAACATGCATCATTCTAGACATGAATATCAAATTTCTCAACAATTTTGCAATAAAAAAAAGTTTCATTTGTACTGGGGAATTAGATTTTATTATATTATTTAAAAAAATAATTAACACGTTCCCTGTGAGAATAGATCTAATAAAAAAATACCATTGAGTCTTTAGAACAGATCACAGCAAAGAGAAGAAAAGTTAACAGTTACTATACAAAAAATACACAAACTCTAGAATAAAAAAAAATACAAAAATAATTGTAATCTAAAGTACATCTTTTTTTTCATTTAAATTATTACTAATTTATGATTGATTGATTGAATGTGTGACGTAGTGTTTGGCGCTGCTGGTCCAGTTGTGGAATTATTTTTGATTTTTCTTGGATTTAGTTTTTGTGCTACTTGTAGTAGTATCTGCTGATGATGGTTCTTCTTCTTCTTCTTCGTCGTCGTCGTCGTCGTGAGCATCATCACTTTGATTGGTTTCTGTTGATAGTGACGTTGTTGAATCATAAACACCATAAGTTTTTGCCCAAAAGTCGAGATCTTCTGTAGTATCTCGTTCATCTTTTAGATGTGATTTAAGTTCTTTGTAGATTTCACGGTGTTGCGTTGAGTTTTCAGATGAATAAACTACTTTGATGAATTTCATTAAGGTGTCTCCAATTAACTTTAATCTTTCTTCTTCCAATATTCGACATTTTTCATAAATTCGTTTTGCTTCAACACGATAATTTTTCTTTTCTTGTTCATATGCATCCTCAGTTCGTGCGATGTCCTTTTCGATTTCCTCCAATTTTCGTTCATGCTTTTTTCTGCTATTGTTTGCTTTTTCAGTTTTACTTTCCTTTACTCCATGAGTATAGCTAAGATTTTCACATAGAATTTTCGCCTCCAACAGAGCAGTGTCTTCCTTCGTTTTTTGTTCCTTCAAGTTGTCGAGTGTATCTGATAATTTCAGTAAAACTGAACGTGCTGCTTCGAAAGAGTCGACCATGTAATCTGTTCGATTATGTTTACGGCTCGAGCCTGAATGCTCATTTGAATAGATTCTGTTTAATTCAGTACGGCATTCGTCGATAACTACTTGAATTGCATCATGACGAGCTTGCAAGTATTCAGCTTCTAATGGCAGTGCCGAAATAATTTTTAATTGAGCTCCTCTAGCTGTATGGTACGATGAAAGTGTTGATTGACCTTTCACTTTTGATTTCGACTTTTTCGCACATGATTTAAGGCTGTCAATATGTTTTTGAAGGCAATCGTTATAGTCTAACATGAATTTTAGCATGTCCTCGGTGATGTGATAACCTCCATTGATACATTTAATAATCGATAGATAATTGTCATCATCGTAAAAATTCGAATGAATATATTCATTTGAGCCGTAACCGTTATCGTTGTTCGTAGTGGTAACACGGCTACGAATGGTGTCTTTGATTCCACTGAGATTCGACCGTTTTATTGAGTCGGTGTGGCGTAATATAGCAGATTTTAGTCGTGAAGTCATTGTTTTGTTTTCAATAATCTGAAAAGAAATAAAATCTACTTGTCAACGGGTTGTAAAATTAGAATGAATAATCGTTGTCAAAATAAAAGTCAGTTTTTATATGCTCGCTTTTGTGCTTCGCATATGAAAAAAGTGAAGCTTTGAAAAAAGTGAATCATCCAAAACAAACTGATTGTTGCACCTGCCGAATCAGTTGAAAAAACAGTTACTGCAATCGATGATTTTTATCTTTGCTTCCGCATTTTTTTCATTCTATATATACGTCGGACGATTGCATAGCATTGCATAAGCGTAATTTCGCAATACTTTTACTCCTACCGGCAGTTGTGGGATTTTTCTTTTAGCAATAAGCCTTTCAGAGAGAGAGAGAGAGAGAGAGCGATGCACTCATACATGGTTGCCATCAATAGTAATATACCTGTTGAGTTGGCAGTGATACATGAAAATTTACATTCATCTCATGGATCAAATATTTGCTTGCTCTGAATCGTAATTAGTAACGTAAATGACTCATTGTTATATCAATTGAAAAATTTGTTTCTTGTGATTTTTTTTCCGTTTTCAAAATAACTCGTTACTAAGAAAAGCAACAATCGAAACGTAATTTATTCATCTAGAAGGATTCATTTTGTCTTGGGAACTTTTATTTCATCATAGCAATATAAATTATAAATTGGAAAATAAAATTCGTAGATTTATTGATGAGCTGGAGGATTCCAATCCGAGAGGAAATTTCGAGGAATAATCCTATATTTAAGTTTGTCTTTTATTCAAGCTGCTATTTATTTATGTACTAATACTCCTTCACAAATGTAAATCAAAGAAAAATGTGGCCGTTTCACTTGTTTACATAAAACGAAAATCATGATCAATGACATCCACTTACTGCAAGCGTTCGAACCCAAAAAAATCAAACGTACGGCTTAACATGATGATAAACTGATATAATTTCTAACCAGTTTTATTCGTCTAATCTGACTTTATTAATGAAAGGATAGAGCATTCAGTCACAGTGAACAATTGTATAATATGGTGCTCAAAAACATCGAGAGGGACCAATGAAAATTTTCAAATAAAATTCTTTCATAAAATAAGTATTTACGACAAGTAATGAATGACTTTATTAACGAATAATTATCTTGCAGGCATCGTGAAAAACTTTCGTAATTTATTGTAACCGAGGTAGAAAATAATATTATTTCAAATTTTGAAAGTCAAGTTTTTAAATGATGGAAAAACACAAATAAAAATCTATTAATCTATGTCGCATTTTTCATTATATAAAATAAAAGATATGCATTTGAATTTGAATCTAATTTATCTGAATTGAAATATTTTATTTTTTCATCATCACATTCGAACCATTGCAGCTGTTCATTATCTCGACAAAATGTTGTATAATGTCCATCATTTAATGAACCCTGATGGCTAATCACGGAATAAAGTGTATAAAGTGCTTGTTGAGAAGACGACGAAGGACAGCTTTGCTGTAAACTAAGATTATCTGCAGGATAGAGGACAAGTGTATCATTTTTAATCCAATTGAACTCATGATTTAATTGAAATCTAGATAAAAGAAAACAATGTATAGATTTATCTTGATTTTTATTCGTACCGTTTAAGTTGAATGATTAATATTTTCGGTAGTTTATAAATTTCTAATCGTTTTTTTCCATTACAAAGACGTTGACATTCGGAGCCTACAAAAAAAATTATGTTTTTATAGTAGAATTTATTTAATTTTAAACGACATACAAAACCATCTTGAATCGTCAGCTAAATATTCATCTTCATAGAGATGCTGAAGACAATCTTCCAATGTACATCGACTTGTCAATGGTATCGGAAGAGTAAGACACACAAATGTTTCAAAGTTAATCGAAAAATGCTCACAATCTATGCATGTTGTCGTTGATTTATAAGTACCCTTACGAAAAAAGATTCTATGACACGATCTGATTTTTAATGACAGTACCTACGTGAAATAAGTCGACAATGATGGAAGTCGATTTTATCTATGAAAATAAAATTTGAGATTTTTTCTATTGTCGAAAATTCATAGTCTTACTCTAATTAAATCTTCATGTAAATAATCAAGTAAAAATAACAGAAATTCATGTGCATCCTGCTGCTGATTTTCGAAATAAATATCTTGCATATGACCAATGATTTGTTTGAACGGCACCGGTATAATAACAGCATATTTCTTACAAAATAATAAATATATTAAATTCAAATATTCATTAACTATGATTTCATTTGAAACTGAAATATTTTTCATATCTTCATTTAATAAGAAGTAACTTGTTAATGGTGAAGTAAATAATAAGGATTGCAAAACAGAATTCATAAAACATGTTCCACCAAGGTTTTTTAATCCACATACGATTCCTGCTTGGTCAGATCCATGAGATATTGCTCGATAGTCTTTTGCAATTTGCACTCGAAATGCATCGTCCAGTAGAATGGATTTACTTCGTTTTTCTGTACTAATTTAAAATGAATAAATTAGAAAATAGGGTTTACTATTGGTATTCGAAAATTAACTTTGAACCGAATGTAGTTAAAAATAAATGTCTTGAAAAAGTTCGGGTGTTGTCCTTGACAATATTACATACTATAAATTTCCTACTCTCAAGAGTGTAATGTTTCATACAAAAAAAATTCATTAAACTCATATAAATATGTGTAAGTCACGCTCACTTTTCTTCTATTTCAAGTATGTAATCCAGAGAATAATTATTATCCCAAAAGTTGTGTTCATGAACGACATAACAAATAGCAAATGAAATGCTCATAGGTAAGATCGATGATGTGGAATCTTTTGTTGACAACATTAATAATAATTCATCGTTTGTTATAGTTAGTTTAAACTGAAATAAATTTGTATTACTATCATAATAGAAGATTGAATGGTACGCGTGTATTACAGAAGCAGTCTTCCATTGATCGATTGAATATTTCACAGAAACTTCTTTGTGAAATCCACGATTATTCACTCGAATGCCTCCATACGCTGTAATACCTCGAGTAAAAATATACTCAAGTACAACTTGTTTTTCATAAACTTGTTGGAGAAGATTTCTTGAACGTTCGAAATCTTTAGGCATGCATAAAGAATATTCTTGATTCAAACCTTGTTTTTCAGACGAAACACTCATAATTGGTATTACCACATGATATTATGATATCCAATAGAAATAGATTTATTTCCCTTAATCTGATGGCTATCTAAAATGAAATTTTATTGCAATTGTGAATAGATATTAGCCTTTTTGTGTAAAAATTTCAAACAATTATCGTTCTCATTTTTTTCTTCTTCATTTTTATTGATATGAGTCATACAAAAATATATGAAAGAAAAAAAGAAAAGAAATGATAGTCGTTATGACGCCAAACCAATAATAAATTTTGAATTCAGTGAGTCGCTCGCTAATGATAAACAAGTGAGTTGATTTCGTTTTTTTCATAGGAAGCAAAAAAAGACGAATGTTTTTATTTGTCAAGATTACTGCCAGGTGTAGACAAGCGAACTGATAATAACACAAAAAATGTAAGCTGATAAGAAAATAATTAGTTTTTCATAACAGAATTTCATAGCTGCACTTCACAACATGCGAAACAAATTTAACACCATCGAAAATCCGATGCAAAACGATATTGTACTCAATAAGCAACCAAGATTAAAATTTGTTTTACTTCTATCTTAGCACTTATAGTCACTTAATGAGTGTGAACATATTTTTTTCTTGCTCTGCTCTTCGGCGCCCTCTTAAATAAGTGTTCGTTGCTTGTCATCACTTTTCATCCAATTGAAATGATGAATTACCTTTTTTGTCTATTCTGTCGTTCCTTTCTTTCCACTCTCTCTCCTTTTTTCTGCATGCACCTATTCGATCGTTCATTAACGGGAAGAAAAAAAGAAATTTCTGTAAGTTTTTAAAATTAATTTCAACTTCTATAAATTTTGTGAAGTTTTGTTTTTTGTTATTGTAATTTTAAAAACGATATTCATTCCACGACATATAATTGTTTAGATAGACCTGTCTACTTCTTTTCAACGGCCGATTTGTTCCCTTCTCTCGATGCATGGACGGCGTCTTTTTGTACATATACATTAAATCGGGGGAAAGCATCGTTCATTTTTCTCTCTACCCATTCTTCATTCTCCTTGTACATCATTAAAATGATCAGATATATATTTTTCAATTTTCTACTTTTAAGATGTACTGTATAAAATTACAATTGATTTATTTATCATTTTATTCTTTGAATTTTTATTTGTAATTTTCAATGAAAGTTATTATAAATTTTGGTGAAAAAAAAGTCGTCGTACCATGTGGTTTGGACGGCGATATATCTGTACGAGAATTAATTAACATAGCAACAGCAAAATATCGTAAATTGGTAAGAGAATATTCCCTGTCGAAAACAAATGTTATAGAGTAGACACACAAGCGTATGTCGATCATAATAAATGTTCTTGTTTAGTCATACGATACTGGGTCAATTTTGAACAGTGATCAAGTTCAATTACGATTGAATAATGGTGCTGTTGTAGACCCGGATGATCGAGTTTGTGATGTTGTTGATGACCGTGAAGAGGTATGAGCGTACAGCAAAATTAGATTTTTTATTTTTTTTAAATTTTAGTTATTTGCTATTATTGACTTTCAACAAACAAATCAACCATCGTACACAACAACAATAAATAGTAATGGTGATTTATCGTCAAGTGTAACTAGTTCAAGTCTATCATCAAATCTCTCGGAACATGATCGTTTAATGATGCCGAATTCAACTAATCGTCATGAAGTGATTGTGACCGATGCTGATCTTCGAAGTATGCTTAATCTTAATAGATTCTTATCAGCGCTAACAATAAAAGAAAGGGCGAAATATGAACTTGTAAATCATGTTCATGTCAAGAGACACGAAATCGAACAATGATGAAGAAATTCGACTGCGTACATCTCCTTATCACTTATGTGTGTATGTGCGTGACGATTGATAGATGAGATATATAGGCCATATTACATATTAAGGTAGTCGTAAAAAACACTATGTCCCTGAGAACGAATTAAACTACACTTACATGAGGTCAATGTTAGAAACGAAAAGAAAATCGTACGAGAAAATGAAACGCTTATAAAAAAATGAAAATTTTGCACATCACTGTTAGACATTTATATCGATGATTGATTGTTTCTGCATGTGACCCTTCTTTGTGTAAACATTGTTGAACTTGCTTGTTTCTTTCTTCTCCTTATGCAGAAAGAAAAATGGTGAGAATTTTAAAATTTCTCAGCAAGTAGTTTCAAATTACTGCAACTAATGTACTGAACACATGATGCATATATTTGATCATCTTAAATATGAATAGTAGCTAGCCTGCGTCATTTTTTTTTCATTATGTACAGTATTATAAATCCAAGTAGCTATTGAATTTCCTATAGAATATATTTTTTTTGCGGTTTCCGGTTAATCAAGTTTCTTTATTGTTAATAAGTGTCTGCAAGAATAAATATAAAGTGTTTTTATAGACCTTGAATGGAGTCTATTTTTCTTCTTATTTTGAGATAATCAGGAGAAGGATCATATTACCACGAGAGGAAGTTAAATGGTATCATAAAAAAATCCTACGTACTTCACCAGTATATTTTTTTTTACTGTGAGCCAACTGATTTTTTTTCCTGTTTAAATCTATATTTATATATGACATGTAATAAGTATTTGTAAACATGTGCGTGATTCGTATAGAGAAAGAAAAACTTTCTGTTTTTTTACAGCTCGATCTTTACGTGTAAAAAACGATCCAAATTCGAACTCGCAACAGGTAAAATAAAATAGAAAAACAGCGGTGTCGACTTCAGCAAACATTCTTGACATATTTCTTTTGATAGTCAATATCACAATCATCGTTTAATAGCAAAATGACATATCGAAAAACATATTCACCGCCAACACAAGATGCAATTAAAATTCAATCATCCGATGATATTACAGGAGTGCATAATTTTTATATTGATGAAACAACGGGTGATAAAATATTCTCTATTGTACTGCCAAAAGAAAACAGTCCGCTAGGCATACATGTTGTACCGTGTAATGGCGATGAACAACAAGTTCGTGGACTTGTTTTACAAAATATTGAAGCTGATGGACGTATTAAACGACAAGGAATATTACAGTTAAACGATCGAATTATTGCAATCAATCGAACGAATATTGAACAATGCTCATTCGATAAGTAAGGAATGTGAGAAAAAGATTTCAATTTAATTTTTTTTCTATTCAAATAGAGCTCAGCTAATATTTCGAACGGCATTACTTGAGCCTGAACTGGAATTGAAAGTCGTTCGTAGTATGAAAAAACCACCAATACCACCGAAACCAACATCATTCCGGTCCAATAGTAAAACACGTCCGACATTATCCGAAATAAACCCCAACAATGATTTAACATTTATCGATAACGATTCAAACATGCATTCATTAAACACAAGACGCTTAGGAAAAATAATTAAGCTTTCAATTATTAAAGGTAAAAACAAATCGTTACCAGCCGTGCGCTCTATGAGGAGTCAATTTTTGAATAAGAGAGCATATTGACGTTGACTTATTCGATATCGAAGAACTTTAATATCTCTTCAGTGATCTATGGCTTCTCTTGACGTTCAACACGTTGATGGGTTTGCAATTTCTTATATATCATTCGATAGGCTACGAAACCTTATAGATTCCTTTTTTTTCTCAAATATTGATTGTTTCAGGAAATGATGGTCTCGGTTTCAAATTAGCATCGCGTGATAATCCAACGGGTGCTGCTAATCCAATCTATGTTAAAACAATATTCCCAAAAGGTGCTGCCATTGATGATGGACGTTTACAACGTGGTGATCGTTTATTAACAGTTAATTCGATTGATGTTACGCAAATGTCGTTACCAGAAACAGTTGGTTTATTGCGCGAAACGCGTATTGGTGATAAAGTTGAATTAGTTATATCAAGACAGCGTGATGGCTCATTGCCACAAGATCTAGTAAGTGATGGAGCACCAACCGCGGATATAAAAAATGAAATAAAACCACAAATAACGACATACGATATTCCATTGAATGATACATCATCAGCTGGTCTCGGAATTACTCTGAAAGGAAAAACATCGATTGTCGATGGACAATCTATGGATATGGGAATTTTTATTAAAAGTATATTAACTGGCGGTGCTGCATCTCGAGTAATTGGATCAAAATTTTCGAATTCTCTATTGAATTTCTTCTCTTTAGGATAATCGTCTACGACCTAATGATCAAATTCTTGTTATCAATGATTCATCATTAATAAATCTATCAAATTTAGAAGCAGCTGCCATATTACATGAAGCTGTACGACGTGAAATTCATCCTGGATATATTAAAGTAACTATTTCACGTTTACCAATGACAACCGATGATCAATATACGAATGCTGCAAGACATATTAAAGAAATTGATTTATCTCCTCTGCCATCGTCATCAATAATTCCAGTGAATAATGATGAAAATGAATTAGATCTTACAACATTTGTTCCACCTCCTCTTATACGAAAGCCTCCAACACAACAATCAAGTAGAAGAAAAAAAGACGATTTTCTTTTGTAAATTAAATCAATAAATTTTCTTTGCACAGCTCGCCATTCATCTCGATTAGAATCAACACGACTCGCAGATTCTGATCTACGCGCATCAAGTCCTCGATCTCAATCATCGACAGCTCGCTCAACAATCAATCCATCGCCATCGAGAGCTAAACAAATATTTATTCAACCGCAAAATGAACAACGTAAGTTTTACTAGATTACATCATAATACATTATTTTTTATGTTTTTTAGAAGCTACAGATGATGTCGATAGTGGCAGGTAAGATTACATAGCAATCGGACATTTATCCCTCCGGAAAAACAAACAATACATTCTACTTTTCAATGAAAAAATATTTTCTTGTCTAATTTAGTAAAAATCCATTTGATCGGGAAACACCATTTCGTCAGAGTGTCTCAGAAAAACGTCGTTTAACGCATCAACCCAATAAACAAATTGTTCAATGGAAACAACGATCTTTTCATGAAAGTCGAACGAACAATGAACGAAGTAAGTGGCGTGACATTTCCCAGTTGCATTTTAGCTTTATGTATACACACATTTGCCATCACTCTCTATTTATTGATTCAAGCCTTTTATTTACCATTGTATTACTTGCAGAGTCATATCCACTGATGAATGCTACGTCAATCGAAATTCTTACACCTGTCATTGATATATCCGATGATGATGATGATGACTTCAGTCAGATAGATCATAATTGTCGATATTCCGTATCGAAAAGATCAGGTTTCTTTTCAATTAAATTGTTTATTTGCATGTTTTACCTACATGAAGACGAAAAAACGACCGCCATGTACTCTATTGCATGTTACTGGGACCCGAAAAAAAAGTTCCCCAAGTATTTCTCCTGAGCATGTTTATTCGTTTCTTTAAAGATATTTTGATCTAGTAGATTAATTCATTTTGTTTATTATTTAATAGAACAACCAATACGAACTTTACCCAGTTCATCATCGCCAAATAATAATAATCATTCGTCACCTGTCCTTATTCGCTCATCATCATTTGAAAGTATTCATACGACAAATGAAGGACATGAATCATCAAGTGTAATACATGTTAATGATGAAGAACGAAAGCGTCAAGCTAAATTACGTAGTCGAGCATGTAATGATTCATTTCGACAGGCTGTTGATAAATCTTATTCTCATAGTCAAAATGTCAATGATGATGGTAAAATTTGGATTTTTTAAAATAATAATCATAAAAACTTTTTAATTTAGACATACTGAATGATAATAAAGTGAATAAATCAGAGAAACATCGATTTCGTTTTTCGAATATTTTTAATACCAAGTAAGTTAAATCTCGAGAAAGTGAGAAAACAATATATCAATCTTTCTTTCTAGAACAAAACGAAAGGATCTTCAAGATGAAACAAATAACTCTCTAGTTATTCAAAATCAAGCATCCACAACTACTCATGAAATTCATCCAACATTTTATCCACCACCACCTCCAGCATTTAGTTCAAGACAAGATTCAGCATCATCATCATCTTCATCATCTGCAAACAAGCCAACTAAAATTCATAATGTAAATCGAAAAGTTTGAAAAATTCTTTTGTTACTTATGTTATGCACCCATGTAAAAATAAAAAGGCATTTCACGAATTGATTTTCAAAATTAACGAGATTTCGTTAGATTTTTCGCGAATTTTCATGCGTTATTGACTTTTTAACAGGTACTAACGCGTTAAATATCATGAAAAGTCGCATATGTGCTCACATGTGAGCTAATTTAACACATTTTCTCGAATCTTTTTTTTAAACAAACTATAAGGTATTTCATTTCGTTAAATTGAAATATTTTCACGTATGAGCTAATTAGAGATTTTACCAAACGGTTGGAATAAAATTTCAAGCTTACGTTTATCAACAACTCTGTTTGACATTTATTTTGATCAAGTCTAGCGCGTGATGAATGTGAAAAACGACAGCATATAAGTGTAGTGAATATAGCAACATCTATAATGGGAAGGAAAAAAATGTACTAGCCCATGTCCAAGAGAACGGCGTAAAGACGGCGCTGTTTTCCGTCAACTCGGAAAACGACGAGTATAGTGTTAAAAATAGTATGCGTTTTCATAGCTGTTTCAGAACTTTTAAGATACTCGTTAAGACGGTCGGAAGGATTCTCCTGGGATGCTAATAAGTTTCACTGCTCCATATTTGATATTTAAGTTCACAGATTTATAATTTGATTATACGAACAAATGCAGTTATCTTACAGAAAATTTATACATTCAGTCGCTTTTGTACGTGACGCATCAGTAGCACAGCGATCAGCTGAATAAACGAAATGAAAACTACTTTAGTAAAATGAACAAGTAAGTTTTAAAAAATGTTCCCTTTAATGATTAAGAGAGTTTTTACGGGTATGTACGATAGATTAAGCGTTTTTATGAAAATTAAGGTAAACCTCTAGTTTATTCGCTAGTACAAGTATATAGATTAATGCACTTACGAATTATCACGTGAAAAGTCGTTAAATGTCTTTTACTATTTTAAGAACGATCATCCTTCATCTGTATTTTCATACCCATCAACATCCAATGAGCAACAACAACAGCAAGGCTATCAGCCATATCGCTTTGATTCGAATCAATTATCTTCACATAGTCAACAACAAGTTGATCATATACCAACCATGCGTTACGAGTCTAAATTAATGCATGAATATCAATCAAAAAACATGCCCGGCAAATCATCATTATCCATCAACACTCAAAAATCTGTACACCCACCTATTCCAAGACAATTTCTAAATTCAAATCTGAATGGTTCACAATCATTGAAACAACACCAGCCATCGTCTCATCCATCTATATTACCATTACAAACAACTCAATCGCCATATCCATCGACATTTACTGTTCAACCAGCACATTTTACATCGTACAGTCACAATATGGATATTCCCATAAATACATCTCAACAACAAAATAGACGAATAGGTTATACAGCGACACCTATTTATCCGACGACACGAAGTTATTTTCATCTCGAAAATCCGGCTAATGTTTAACGAAAACGGTGATGGTTTATTAAACAATCGCATTATCGGTGAAAACTTTATCTTTTCTTTTTCTTTTTCTTTTTCTTTTTCTTTTTCTTTTTCTTTTTCTTTTTAATGTTTCATTATGACACGGAACAAAAACATAAAATTTTGGGGAAAATAACTAAAGCAAAGCTTTGCTTTTTTGAAAAAACTTTGCTGCTTATACTTCTAACCTATTTATTACTTTTTGTTTGTTTGTGTCAGATACTTTATTTGTTTGCTGTTTATGTTTGTAAATATGTGCTCTACTTTATGTTCTTGAACAAACTAATTTTGTTGCGCGCACTCAAGTTTTTTTCCCGACTTCTTCTCTTTATTCTTATAGTATGTATACACACACACACACACACACACACACACACACGCAAATACACATCGTATCTTATTATACAGAGAATAAAAACGATGATGTACGTTTAACATTATGATTTTGTATAATAAAGATAAGATTTTCTTCTAATTATGAATATTAATGCCATCAAGAAAATAGACTTCGTACTTAGTTAAATCAAATATAAATATCTTGAAAGCAGTTCTAGACCTTACCGGATAAACTTATCATATAAGTTCCTACCTTAATTCTAGAACTAGAATACAAAACGTGTCTTTTACATTGCTACGTTGTCATTCAGGATAAAACTAAATCGAACAGGTTGAAATAAAACGGTCGAATCTCATTTTAAAATCTTTAATAGAAAAATTTATAAAATGCACCTTGCTGGCAAAAGTTTAATATTCAATTTGGTTCAGTGATTCGAATAAAATATGTACTCGTTAACATATTTTAACAAGTGCTATTAGCATATAAGTTGAAGAATAAAAAGAGCAAATTATCGTTTGCATATAAAAATGCAGGCTTTATATTGATTCTTCACTTTTTCATTGTCAAATATATTTGTCTATAGGATTAGTGTAGAAAGAAGAAAAAAAAAGGAAATCAACAATTCTTTTGTTCATCATCAATGTGACACGTACAGATTTTTAACTGATGTCGTTGTCGCGTCATATTGACATTGAGTAAATAGCTTGTAGCAGCACGAACTGAATTGTTGATGATCATTGTAGGTGAATTTGATTGAAAAATAAAACTAGCCGCTTTTTATCTTTTGTCTAGATGACACGATGGTTTAATCGAGAGTATCATCAATCTCTATGAATAATAATAATGTATTTATTGCACGATCTTTTTCTTTCTTGAAACGTATATTCACTAGTTCAAACAGTAGCTTTTTGTAAATCATACGATTCTCTTTCAATAACATTCATTGTCGAGACAGGCAGCGTACTATAGGTTTGATCTTACAAACAATTCACATATACGCACACATAGGTAGATACTTAAAAAAAGGTCAACGGAAAGCCTCAAATAGTAATGATAGTTTGTACAATGAATTACAAAATGATTTAACTACTTAATAATACCAACGGAAAACAAAATACGTAGGTATTTTTTTTTGTTTTATTCTCTGTAAGTAAACATCGAGGTAGATCATTCATGTGTGAACTAAAACCTTTACTCGAACAGAAGAGAAAAAAAAACAGTATCAATGACTAATTAGACGAAAAGTATTAGACCTTGACTCAGCGGTTTTTTTTTTCTTGTTGAGGATCATTTTGCTGGCAAAGTTTATTTTCTCTTCAGGTTAGAGAAGCAAAACAAAACATACGTCGTCAAATTAAGATATTTATCTACCATAGGATGCGCGTGAGTGACATTCATTTTCTAGTAATAATGACAACTATACGTTTGTTATGACTTGTGTGTGTTCGATAATCATTAAGAAGCAATTTTGTTTTGATCAGGTGAATAGTTTGTTTACTCAAAACAAAATTGCGTACAAGAAGAAAACGTAGTTCGATGTTTGCAACAAGACCATAGTAAGTATATGTAAAAGGGACACATTGTATTAGAGTAGAGTAGAGCTATTGCATATAAAACTTTTAAGGCTGATGAGGAAATCGACTTTCAATGATTCCATGTAAAATAGCTCGGAATATGCAATTACCCCATACGAGACAGTTGCATATTATCTGTAGGGGACTACTAGTAAAAGAGCGATTCAACCACTTTCGATAATCTTGTTTTGGTAATTTTTACACAAGTTTGTAGAGAAGACATTCAGCTACCCACAAATAAAAATTTTTAAAAAAGATTCGTAAAACTGACCGAGTTATGATAGTTACAAAGAAAGAAGAGCGATTTTTCATATGCAACAGTCCTACTCTAATCTAGTACCTGTAAACAGTATGAAGGAGAAGAAAAAAAAGTTGTTTATGCACATGCATTCGCAAGCATTTGTGGGCTCCTTTTTTCTTTTCGTTCGTTTTCATTTCTTTTCTGTTTATTCAAAAGATAAAAACCTTAGATTATTTAAAATATATTTCATCCTAATACAGACAAACAAATGGTAATAATCTTAATCGACGTATTGGACTGCTTTCTTTTTACATTTCATATCAAAATATTATTTGTCATTTTTGTTTGTTGCATGTATCCAAAAATGATAACTTACCTATATAACATCTAGTAGTTTTATTCTTCCTCCGATGATTACAGCAAGTGTTGTATTACATATATCGACGAGTACAATACATAACAGACAACCTTGATATTACGAGTACTATTCTCGTTCGTTATTTTATCTAGACTATAATAAGATCACTTAGTAGTAGACATGAATTGATTGAGGCCAGGAGACATTTTCTTTTTCAATATTCACATAATATTGATAGTGAAGTATTCAGTTTAATAAACAGTTACGATTTTTTTCCACCCTAATTCACAGAGTATGTTTACCATTTGAATATGATTTCCTTCAGTTGATAATGACGACATTATAAGTATCCATCTGTTACTTTCATTTTATTTATGTAAATGATCTATTTCCATCTGTTGATCAATTTTTTAAACTCGGTCAACGTTATATTAAGATGAAAACCTTTGACTCATTTGTTTTATTTTTAGAAGAAGAAAAAATAAAGCAGTTCATCATTATCCCGGTTACTATGATAAATTATCAGCGATCACCTTTATCAAGTTTAATAAATGCCTGTCTCTTGTATATTATAATTTATCCGACATTGATCTATAGTCAAATGACTGCAATTATTACATATGAATACTATTCCGCATCGTCAAAGTATCTAAATTTAACACAAGAAAATCTAACCAATGGCATTGTTTCATCTAAAGGCAGTCAAATGTTAGTTCCGAAAGGACCAGCATTTATATTAATGGACTCACAAGGGAAATATGATGGTTGTCTACAACGCGTTAATATTTTTAACTATTCAAAAGGTATTGCTATTATACAACGAGGTGGCAATTGCACATTCAGTGTTAAAATATCACGTGCAAAACAATATGGTGCTGCAGGTAATAATTTATTATACAGACTGGCGTTAAGTCTATTAGTTTAATCATGCACACGTAGTATTCAATGTAAAAAGTAATTTCCGATTTCAATTCATCAGATTTTTATAAAGCATACATGCAACAGCAGCTCACGCTATCAAATTGCGATTAGAACAACTGAATTATTTTACATGCCATTAGTAGTTATTTCAAACATAATGAAGGAAGAAAAATAGAAGATAATATTTTGCTTTTAGTAAAATTTCTCGGCTAATCGATATCAATATGATTACATAAGATTTTGTTGGCACATCGCTATAGAGTTTCGCATTGTATTTTTTAAGATGATGTTTGCTTAAGCGTTCGACTTAGATGGGTTCGTATAAATAAATTATATTGTCAAGTGTGATTAAGCTATGCTCCGATAGAACGGCAAGGTCTCGTTAAATTTATGTACTTTTGTCGTTGAATAAGAAAATTGTTCTTTTTTCGGAATCTTTTACTCAAAAAAGTCTTACGAAATTAAGAACAAGTTTTGTTATGTTAGGAAAGTGAAGGTTGACATATAATTTTACAAATATGATTCATTTGATCGGGCTGCATATTTGTAAACTCCTTGAAAAATTAATAAATATACGTAGGGATGTGTCTAGTTTTTTTTCGGCTTAGTTTCAATTTCTATTATAGCTTTACGAAAGATATTGCAGTTCGTAATTGCAAATTTATGAAATCTAGGGTAGAATGCATAGTGATAAAAAAAAACGAGTTTACCTGTTTTCTCTCTCTATTAATGCTCACATAGATAGTAAAAGGTAATTCTTGGTAAACAAAATATTTCAACCGAAGCATAACTATTTGACTTGTTATTATTCCTGTATTTTATCACAACAAAAACTTTGTTTTTTAGCTGTTATTGTTTACGATCCTCAAGCGACTGGTCAAGAAACCTATGATATTGTGCAAAATACTTCAGATATATTGTGTTTATATGTTCAACAATCAGTTGGCTCAACGTTATTTCAACTAGCAAACGATGGTAGAGCACGTTTATATATAGCATTACAACCAATCAATGGTAAATTCGACGATTTAAATCTGGATGATATATGGAACAGTTCACAAGGAGCCGTTGTATTTATTATTATAGCAATAAGCATACTTATTTGTTCGTGTTTTTCATGGCTTATTTTTTATTGCTTTCAACGAAATCGTGTGCGAACGACGAAAGATCGTTTAGATAATCGTCTAGAAAATGCCGCTAAAAAGGCCCTAACGAGAATACAATTAGTAACTATACATGGAAATCATCATTCAGAAGAATCATGCGTTATATGCTTAGATACAATCAAAGACGGTGATACTGTACGAGAATTAAGTAAGGAGAAAAATAAGCGTTAAAAAACAATATTAGTTTTTCTTTTAGCGTGTCTGCATAGATTTCATCAGAACTGTGTTGATCCATGGTTGATTAATCATCGGCATTGTCCATTATGTAATCTTGATATACTTGCTGCATATCGTGTATCAATACCAGGAGCAAGTACTGATCTCAGTTCAAATCAATCCGAAAATCTAACACCAACATATACTAATACGATAACGAGCGCAACTGTATTGCCAATTACTACTGAACAAGACAGTCATCGTCAAGATGACGCGTCACAATCACAACAAGTTCTTGTTCATACACAGCCGCAACCTATTCCATCGATATCAGCTACAATAAAAGATCGTATGCATGGCGAAGAAAATCCATCGTTTCGATCAGATGACGATCACTATTAGCATTCCGGAGTTTTATTTTTGTAACTTTTTTGTTTTAGTTTTGTATTTCTTCATGACAAAAAAAAAATATTTTTTTCAGTGATGATGTTAAATAAATAGCTTAGCAACTAAACTATTTCGTGTAATTTAAATCGAAATGAATTCACGAGAAACAGCAGATTTAACACGATTAATAAGACTTCATCCATTACTCAAAGATGAACAACGAGATCGCATTAAAATTATGATTTCAGGAAAACAATTTATTGTACAAAATCGACAAGTAAGAATTCCTCAACTCCCAGTTTAGTCCTTGGACTTGTAATCCAATTGCGACGCTTTGTTCGAAATTTCTTTATTGCTCGTGAATAGAAGAAACCCAGGAGCTGCTAATAGGGCAAGTGTAGTACCCTGAAAAATAATTGTTGGCAAGAGAATATCTGAATACAAGATTGACACAGCATATAAACACCATTTTTACTAGTAGAATTTTATGTTTAGTTGAAAAAATTTCCAGAAACATTATTGGGTAATGAAGATAAACGACGCGTATTCTACGATGATAAATCAAATCTGTATAGATTTAATCGACATCCATCGGTATTTGAATCAATACTTTATTATTATTTGAATCCTGGAGTTTTGATTCGGTAGATAAAATTTGATTTATTTCATCTTCGATTTTTGTTTTGTCTGAACAGACCACCTCATATTGAACCTGAAATTTTCTATGAAGAACTACGTTTTTGGAATATAAATGAAAATCTCATCGAGGCATTTATCGAAGAAGACATGGTAGATACTTTTATTATTATTATGAATATTTTGCTTAAACTATTATTTTTAAAAGTAAGACACCTTTAGATGATATTCGTATTTTGCCAGTACAAAAATGGCGTCGGATTATTTGGAGAACTCTTGCATACCCGGAAAGCTTTCATTTTCCATACGATAAATTAGTCATAGGAACATATATGTTCATCACATTAGTATCGTGCATTCCATTTATGAGCGAGTAAGTTCTACTGTTTTATCACTGAATAAGAACTTTGAGAATTTGCTTAGAATTATACCAACTGTCACTGAATTGAATAAACTTCGGAATGTACTTGGCATCAAACAAATATATTTGCCATTGTATATGCGTTCATTTTATACCATTGAAATTATATGTATAACAATAGTTTCAATTGAATTAAATTTACGAATTATATCAGCACCGAAACTGCCTCTTATTCTCTATGATATATTTAATTTTCTAGATTTGGTAGAAGTTTTAACTAAATCAATCAGTAGAATTAAAAAACAATTTCTCTTTGCTAGATAATTCTTTTGTCAGGTGCAATTTGTTTGATTGGTTATCATTTACATAATATTCGTTATATAAATAATTTTCTTTCATTTTACCATTGGCTACTTGTATTGAAATCTTTTCGTCCCTATCGATTAGCACGGCATATGTTAAATTTAAGATTATTATATAAAGCAATTGCTATGTGTTTAAATGAAGTCTGCGCCTTGATTATTTCCGGTGAAATTATTCATTGAATAGAAATAGATCACATGAATGAAGAATTTCTGTTTTAGTCATATTCTTCATGGTATTGTTTGGTACGTTGATTTATATTCTCGATAATTCAGAACCGGAATCGAACACAAGAAATATTCTTGGTAAGAATAATATTGAATGGCGTTGAGTGGAGAATCCTTGAGTAAAACTCATTTAATTTCCGATTATGTACCGTATCATACAAGTCCATAGACTACACACAGTATAAACCATCTATCTGATTCGCATTACACTGAATTATCCGACTGGCGTTTACCAGGCAATTATTCTTTTCTTTTTATGCAAGAAGACCTCATTTCTCGATACGAATAAACAACATGTAATCTCATTCTAGATGGATTTTGGCTTGCATTTATTACATTAACCACGTTAGGTTATGGTGATGTATATCCGCGTTCGGTAAGGCAACGTGGACACCAAAAAAAAAATACCTTTCATTATATTTATTATTATTATTATTTTTTCTATTAGTTCGAAGCACGAATAGCAGCTGGTGTATGCGCTTTAATAGGAATAATTGTATTCAGGTGTGATCCATGAAAAAGATAGTGCTTGTCATTGTTCGCTTTTCTAGTATGCCAACAACGATTATCTTCATTAAATATACAACATTAATACAAAATAAATGGAAAAGAAATCGAAGCATTCGTTATGTTACTTCAATCTAATGAGTATTTTTTGTTTTTACGATAATTTACAAATGAAAGTAGTAACTAATCGTTTATGCATAAAATAAACATTAAAAAAACATTCATTTCGAGTCTTTCGTATTTTCTTTCCTTCTCTCGTTCTCATTTATTTGTAATAATAAATCAAAATGTACATTTCATAACATACGCAAGTCTACACGATACGGATTGACGACAGATTCGATGTAAGCGAAAATCAATCATTTGATCGAATCATATTGCAAAACGTTTTTTTGTTGTATGCACTATTTAACGATTCTTTTGTGTATGCGTTTTAAAAGCCATACGAAGAAGAAAAAAAAGAAATATACACAGGTGAAGCATGACCATTGATGTGCGCAGATAGTGTATGTTTATTGTAGATATATGTGTCCAACGCACACGTTCATCCGTTATTGAGGTAGTCAAAGATTGTTTGAATATACGGGGCGCAACTCGTACAGTAAGATATATCGGTCATCATTTACCCATTTTTAATTTTTATTAATATTACGTAAAATCATTTCTACATAGTTTTAGATAGAAGTAATAACAATAGTTTTCTTACTAAACTAAACGAATTATGAGTCAATTACAAACGTATACTAGTGTAAATGATGGCGCTTCGGCTCGACGTTATTCAGGTTATCCACTTAATTCAACATTAGTTAGTTCATATACTCCGGATACTATCCGAAGTATTATTAGTCATGCTGCAGCTGGTCAACCTTATTGTATGTTGAAGTTTTTCTTTCGAGTTTTTTACATTGACTTTTTTTAGCAACGGCTGTATGGCTTCGTATTAATCGTGTTGGCATTCAAATAAACGCACAAGATGCTCAAATAGCTCGAACACGTGTGCCCGTCTTTATTCCAATTGGGCTTGTCCATGATATTTACATGTTACCAAATATAAATAATGTTGTTTGTATTGTTTATGATGAGCTTCAATCGAATATGAAAGGCGTTCTATTGTATGTTGTTCATCCGTCGGATGCGCAACTATTGCGCGATGATTTTCGTATTGTTAAACAAGCAAATAATAATCAGCAACTTCCACCAGCTCCGTATTCAAGTCCATTTGATAATCGTTTTTCAAAAACAGGGGAGATTTTTCCGCCGGGAACTAATCGTAATTTTCCACCGATAACTTCAAATAAATCTCCATTGTCAAATGAACTCTATCGAAATACTGTAACTATTCGACACGCATCACCGAAACGTGTTGTATATGTTCGAGACAATGACGCGCTATCAAATCGTAATATAACACCGACAACAACTGAAACGGGTTATGCACCATCGAAAAGTTCGAATAATAATGGAAAAGAAGATAGTAGTCATCGACGTAATAAAAGCCCAAAACGAAATCCAGTAGGAAATTCATCAGGTAAACGTTCGAGTGATAGTGGAACTAAACGACGAAAGCATCGATCACGTTCACCTGAAAGACAGGGCAAAACAAAATTACCTGTTACTAATAGTAGTCATGAATTATCACAAGAACAAATCCGTCAACAACAAGAAATTTTACTTCAACAACAACAACAACAATGGGCTCTTCAGCAACAACAAATGGCAGCGTGGCAAGCTTCTCAACAAGCGTCTATGGTTCCTATTGGCATTTATAATCGGTATGAAATACATTTCTATTGAACACAAAATCTCAATTTAAATTCTTTTTTCTCTTAAGTTATGTTCCAAAAACTATTCCATTGCCAACAGGTGAAACACTCAAAACAACATTACCAGCAACGGGTAGTAATGGTGCCACATTGAATGGCGTAGCTGTTGCATATATTGAACCACAACAAACACAAACGACTACCAAAGATTCTAATGTTATCGCGTCTCGCTCATCAACCAATCAGAATACGACTCCAGCAGTAGCTCCTACGACGCAACCGCCTCGTCCACATCAACGACGTGCACCCGTTAATGATCAAACAACAAATGCAATATCTAAACCTGACACAAATGCGCATGCATCATCACAATCTTCTCGATCACGTTCAAAACATTTGCCATCCAAAGATAATACGAAGTCAGTTGATAAGGATGATGAAACGAAACAATATTTAAAAATGCTAATCGATGAAATGCAAGCAATGAAAATTGAAATGAACAAAATGCGACAATCAACTGTCGGTGGAACAAAGGGACGTTCAGATTCGTTACAGGGAGATTTAAGAGAGATTCGCTCACATATTGATCATATTCGTTCACGAATGGCTGCAACACCGAAGATTCCTGAAAACATAAATTAATTTTTCCTTTTCGTATTTGTTATTATTTGTGTTTGAATAGAAATAATTCTTTACATTTAAATTTAATAAATTAATTTTATTATCTATGACGTAACTTATGAACGGAATTTTCATCGCGAATGTGTGTGCATAACACAATTCTGCCTTGATCGAAAGAAAAACTATTTTGACTCGTACAAACGATAGAACAATATAAATTAACGTCAAGTTGATGATCAAGGATTCAAGATAAATTTTAAGAATCAAACGAGTGAAGAGTGTATAGAAAGAACCTTAACGAACGCATTAACTTGATTCATGCATATATTTAATTTCGTTTTTTTTCGTTTAAATAAGAAATGACAGACCGGAAAGATCTGATAATGTTATCATTAGTTCGTCGATAAAGAAAGTGTGTGTGGGCATGATTGCAATTGACAACCTACAGCTGCATTCATACGCTTCTAAAATATTTCATTCAATACATTAAAAAGAAAGACTTATAGGAGAATTAAGAAAAATACGAAAAACAATTTTTCTCATTGAAATTTCTTCTGATCAATTTTAGAATCAACTCGCTTCGTAGCGGAGCTGTATTTTTGGAGAGAATCATCTATGCAAATATTGACGTTTTTCTATAGAAGTTGAATATCTTGAGAAATTCATATCGTGAAAAATGATTGTTCAAAAATGCTGAAATTTTTTCTGTGAACTAGTATCATATGAGGTCTTCATGTCTACAATCGAATGTCTTTGCCCGAGTAGACCATCATCAGCTCATATTTTAAAGACGTTAGTTTCTCGATGAGAGTAATTATTTCAAGTATACGTGCTCACCTTCACTTTGAAAATGTTGACAAAAGATATCGGAAGGCATAAAGTAAAAAGCGGCCTATCATGTGAAAGGGCGCTCTTAAAGCTTTCTTCAGTTAGAGGAAAATTCGAAATCATATCGAGATTAATTTTATATTTCCTAGTCTCTCTATTTATTTGTACTATTCAACAAGTCGAACGTTTGATTGCAAGAATTTCACGTTTTACATCTAGAAAAACAAAACATTAATATTCATGTCAATATGTAATAAGAATTCTTTCCTACTCGCATCAATAACTCGAACAACTCGAATATTGAATAAACCAGTTTTGTTAATAAATTCTTCGAATTGGCGTACACCACCTTGAACACCGAAATAATATATTTTAGCCGCGAGATATCTATTCAAGTTCGATAATAAAGCTGTATTCAAATTCTGAAAAACTTACATAACACCTTGAGCTTTTAGACAATGATCAAATAATTGAACTAATTTTCTATAATTTCCAATATTGTATATTGTTTCTGAAGTAAGAATAATATCATAACTTAAAAACAGAAATAAATTCATATGTATATCTGTTTGTTTTTTCTCTGACACACACCCACACTCACTGTTTAGATGGTATCACATTGACTAAATCACCCCAATCACCGAAAAACATACGATTGTTATAATTTGCCTCTTCGCTCTTCAATTGTTTTCCTGTTTGTTCGACTACTTCACGATTCTATCGAAATATAAAATCAAGCTGATTTAATTTTTGCAAAAACTAACGTACAAAATCTTGAAAGTCAACATGAAATCTGCGATGTTTATTTAATTCCAAGCCCGGTAGACCACTACCACAACCAAGCTATATAAATGCAAGACAAAAATTAAACATTTTCCTTCTCATTCATTTTTCTCTTACTTCTATAACTGTTGTCATCTCTTGAAAATTGCTAACAATAGATGATAAATAGGCAACTAAATCATGCGAACATTCCCACGTTTTGAAACCACCTAAAACGAATTTTTCTAAATTTGTTATTATAAAATTTTAGCTGTTTTTAACCTTCATATACATTGGGCACAAGATCTGATGTATAGGAATCAAATTTGTTTCGACCATGTTCTGCATCTTCATCTAAATCATTTCATAGACTTTTATTAATAAAAAAAATAATATTTACTAGAAGAAATTCCTCCTCTGCCTATTTTTCTTAAGTCGCATTACATCTTAGAAAAGCAACGTGCTAAGTTAGCATGGACCACACTGTATGAGACCCTATACGGTGGCCACTGACTCCACTTTCAGCGTGATATGATATCTTTAGAAATCACAGAAATTGAGTTCAGATTCGTGTTTAGCTTGGAAAACTGGGCAAGAAGAGTTATTTTTGAATCGATTTGCCTTTGTATCTAACGGGATTACAATCGTACGCAACCTCATGAATCTCTATAAGAGATACAGGCATCAGTATTTTCCTAATAAGTTACCAATATTAATAGCTATTCAGTTCGGGTTTTTTACCTTTCGATAGTATTATTGCCTAGCTACAAAACCAGGCATTTGGAAACCGCAAAACTACTGGTCATCTGAGACATATCTCGGTAATTTGGTTTCTGGATGCAGTTTTTGTGCATTTGAGACCTTTTTCAGGCGATGTTTTGTTAGAAAGCTATGATTTTGCTGAAAACTAATATCAGATTCGGAATCAGCGTTAAAAACTAAGTTGATATATATGTGTTGTGAATAATTCTGAGAACATATTTTTTTTTGAAAAAATCCTTGTACCCCCCCCCCCCTCAGGGATGGTCTGGTCAATAATGACAATTTTTTCGATAACTCAGCCATTTCTTGACGGATCCTTCTCATCTTCGAATTCGACTGAGATATTGACGAGACCATTCTGTGTACAAAATTTCATAACAATTGAATGAGGCTTTCAAAAGTTATCGTGTTAACGGATGGTCGGACACACAGACCAAATCTAGTGTACTCGCTCTTTGACTGCACAAAAAGAACAATTTTATATTGTCCAGAGCTATTATTTAGAAATTAATTATCATTTTCTAAGAAACTTGACATTTATTTATTTTCTTTAAAAACTATACTTTGTAAATCATTTAGATAAAAACAACCAAATTCTTGATTTGATACGTTAATATCGTCTTGTTTCTCATTTGAACATTCACGTTTACTATTTTCATCAATATCAAAATTAAATTTAAACATATCTAAAAATACGAGAAATATTTCTTTGTCATTTTATCGTTTCGTTTTTGTTTGTTGATCATTATCATCGATTGATTTTCTTTTATGAGAAAATAAATTGACATTCTGAATAGGGCGATTAGCATCAAGTAATCTTTCATGATTACGATATTTTGGATCATTTTGATGTTCACTTAAAAAATGATCGATACGAACTTTTAATTGTTGTGCAACAACGGGTTGTGTTAGTTCAGTAAATGCTTCAAGTGTAAATGGATCTCGTTGTGAACGACACCAACGTATATCTTCTGCGATGCATTTTTCTAATGTTGTTCGATCAATAAGATGACCACTGGGAAGTAGCATTGGTATTAGCATTAGATCACATGTTAATGAATCAAGAAAATCTGAAGGAATTTCATCCAATGGAGAAGCATTTCGATTATTGGTGGATGGCGATTCTTTTGAAGGAGGTGAAATAATTTGTTGGAGTTTATTTTTTAATTCAATAGGAATAGAATTTGATAAGACACCCCAGATTTGAAGATATTTTAAAGCACACGTAGATAGACGCCATTTACGTTTAATCGTGATTTTAATTGTACTACAATTAATTAAATGTAAATTTGATGAGAACCGATATCTGATTGTATGATCTGTTGGCTGTTGTTCATTGTCTTGATCATGAATTTCAATGCGTCGTGTAGTTTCATCTTCATTTAAAATTTGAGCAATTCTATGAAACGATATGTGATTTGTATTAACAATATTTGATTTATTTGAAGAGTTGATTAGCCAAGATGTTTTTTCATCGATTATCTGATGATTAACACTGAATTCAATTAATGTTGAACGATGATGTCCAATTGTTGGGCTCATATAAATATGTTTTATATCAATATTAAAAGGAAATCGAATATAAATATCGATTGGTAGACGTTGTAATGGATCAGCTAGGAAGCCATTACTAATGATAAAAAAAAATATTCGAACAATATAAAAAGAGAAAACAACAGATAGAGGTTTGTTCACAGTAGCACATACACATGTCTTTAAAACAAAATGACGTGTTACTATAATCAAATGAAATCTTTGCTTATTCTTTTTATTTTGTTCGTAAATTTATCAACGAAATACTTTTGTGAAAAATCTTTTGCTAGATTTTCAGCATGATAACCATCAAGTTGCATTTGAGAACATTCAAAAATAGGACAAAATTGAACAGTACAAAAATTGATGAGCATTTTTCGAATCAATTTCGATATGATTTTTTTATATTCTGTTTTCAATCGGCTTTTATTTCTTTTCGCATTCGCCGAAACAATCAGTATGTTTGTCTAGAGATGTCACTTGTTTACTGTTTGAGATATAGTTGAATTTTTTTTTTTAAGAAAAACTTCTCATGTTTTGAGTTATGCAAAGCTCCTTTATTTTGTTTAGTGTACTTCAAAAATTCACAAGAACCTTTTTCCCCCTTGAGTAAATTTCTCCACTGTTTTCTGAGTGAAACATCTTGTATCGAACGTACTTAGAAAGAAATCGTTGACTCATTTTTATTGTTGCTCAGGGGTTGAAGATTATTCTCGTTAGAAGACATGTACCCACATACGATGCATACTTGCAGAAAGTCGCAAAAGGAAAAAGAGAATATCTTTACAACACAGGTCATAAGATCCGAAATGTAAAAGTTCAGATCTTATGCGTTAAAATATAGCTCTTAAAAGAAAAGTCAATGCTTATTGATTGCCTTTGATTATGTATTTTGTTGTATTCATTGTGCCGGTACAGAGAATCATAAATGTTGAAGTACGCTCTTGGAGATTTAGGGCCCCAATGTTGACTCATAAAAGACGACAATACAACAGCAGATATAGTCATTTACAAGTATATTTGCACTCTTTTCTTTTAATGTTCTTAGCAAGCAAGTATTTCTCTTTTATAAAAGAAGGGGTATGTTTCTACGAGTACATCTGTTATTCTAATATTTTTGTATCAACCTTCTATTTATCTTGTCTGTTCTCGAGTGAATCTTGTTCCGTGATGAGATTCACATACAAAACTTTTCGTAATATTTCTTTTTTCTTTTAGCAACAAACAACAAGTTTAGTATGCCCTTCTCAAACAAGCCAACACCAGCTTTAGAATGTTAAAGTTTCAATATGACATCTGTCTTCGACAGAATCAATCAACAATTAGGGAAATACAAAAGGCACAAATCATGGAAAACACTTTTTCAGAGCGGCAAAGGGCCAAATGTAGCTCTTTCTACTTTGAAAGCTTATGCACCGGTCATCAGTTATTTTATCATGGCATTTTGTGATTTTAATGAATTTGTGCTTCCGTATGAGACACCACAAAATGCCCTGCAGATTGCAGCTAATGAGCATGCAAAAGAAGATTACACTCATTACAAACTTTTTATCGAAGACTGGGAGAATCTTAGTGGGGATAAGCTGGTATCTACGTATGATGATTTAATACCATGTTTACCACTGGAAGGAAGATCATCAGGCTTGTATTACTGCAATATTTCCTACGATGAGATCAGAAAGCACACTAAGTTGTTCAACCAAAATGCTCTAATTTCTCTGGAATGATGCAACCAACAGATACAATCGTAAACTACTTCAAAATTTCACACGCTTAGTGCATACATGTGAAGAAGATCATGTGGTGTGTTTTGCATTGATTGAGACTGTAGAAGAAACTGGTTTGGAACTACGGTATTTTGGGAATTATCATCTTGCTTTGGAAACAGATCATTCGGTGAACTAAGAGCAAACAACCACATGTGACTCGTTAAATGAACTAAAATGTGAATATGAGGGTGATGAAACGTTCAAAAAACTCCCTCTAACTGAACTCCAATATAACCAATGTATGCAAGTTATGGATGCTGTAGCCAGCTATTTCACTGAATGGCTTGATGGAATCTACAATATGATGATCAAATGCAACTAAATCCATCGTTTCTTATTTTCGAATATGATGTTTTATCATTTAGAATGATGATATTTATTTTAATTGCAATTTAAATTCAAAGAGTCATAGCTAAAATGACGCTAATTTGAAATCCTTCTAATATCTATTTGTCTCTCGTAGTTTCATAGAAAGATGATTATTCATTATATAGGCAGATAAGCTACTCTGCATTCTAACAATAGGCCTATAGTTTTGTTTATTTGTTAGAATAAATCTTCGCTAATTTGCATTCCCTTTTCTCTTATGAAATATACATTTTCATCGGAATCCTCTCTGCAGTTTAGATCTAATCGTTTGACTCTTGTTTGTACCTGATCAATGCATAGGTAGGTATTTGAGTCGTAGAGAGATGTATTGTAGAGTGGTTTTTTTTACTGTTGGGTGAATAAAATAGTTCTTGCATGTACGCAGATGATTTCTCACGTGTGTAATAGATTTTTTGCAGCTTTATTAGATACTCAGTGTGAATAATGTTAAAATTAGATAGATCGTCAAAACAAATCGTATATTCGAACACCTCTTTTTTTTAAAGATATCAAGAGTGAAAAGCTTCTTCTCAGCACTCATAATGAAACGAATCATGAACTTATCATAGTTCGAACAAAAATGTGCAATATTTTGAACAATTTGATTTTTTCTGAAATCAATGACAGAAATCACACGATTTTTCATGTCTTATCTAGCTTAACTTATATGCAATAGTTTCTGATTTATTTTCTGAAATGGAAACACTGTAAGATTTACCCGATGATCATTTCTAGTAAAGAAAACAAAAATCACTAGAAAAGTTATTAAAGACCCATACCCGTGAATCTTATCAATTATCACTACTTTAGTGTGTGTGAAGACACTTTCAAATGTTACATTATTAGTATTAAAAAAAGGATTGATGACATTCCTTATCAGTTACATTGACCAAACCTTTTTTTTTCTTCTTTTTCCTGTGCAATTCATGAGCCTGTCATGCCAACCATCCTAGGCTAGTAGATACTGAATCGGAACTAAACACCTAATATCTTACTCTTGTTTTAGAAAGTGTAGAGTATGAACATTTGTTCTCCACCGAAGTTAACTGATATACTAAGTGAACTGTTCATCTCTAGCAACAAAGACTGATATTATAGAGCGCGCTAAAAATGCTAGTGGGTGTGTATCAGTTGTTGTTTTCGCTGGTATTCAGCAACATTCACCCATCTAAAATATTAGAAACGTTGTGGTTGAACTAAAGACGAGTGGCAGCGACGGAATCATTGCTATTGGTGGTGAGTCACCTATTGGTGCAGCTAAATTGGTTATGCATCTTTTCAAGGAAGAAGCCGGTCGATTGCTCAAGTTAGCCAGCATTCCAACAACACTCTCGGCTGCATAATACACCATTATCTCTGGCTATACTGGTAAGTCATTTTCGTTTGGTATAAAACCAGAAATATTGCGTGTGATACTCTCTCAATTAGTTGTCAACAAGACGAACATGTTCACCCCTGATTTCCATCGATAGGACTTATCGAGTAAACAGAAATCCGAATTATTCATTTTTTTTCAAGAAAATATTAGCAGACACCTACAAAAGAAGTTAAAAAATGCTAACAAGTCTACAGCCAAAAAGCAAAGGAAAGGTTATTTGAAAAACTCTCATCTAAATATTTTTTAGTTTTCATCATAGACGAGGAAATTTTTTTTTATCTTTATTATATTGTATAAGATGGGAGACAGACTGAAAACGGTTTGTAGTTAACATACAGAGCAAGGCAAACACATAATGTCGAATCGCTAATTTTTCAACTTGACAGCAACTATGATTGAACAAAAGATGAACAAAACGAAATACCATCGTATTACTTTTAGATGAAAATGGAAAGAAGACAGGACAGAAAAGCAGCGATGTTGGTTCATCAGCTGTTATACTAGATGCCAACTTGCCATTGTTTACACCGAATCGTCTGTGATTGTCTAATAAGCAGTGGAGTGTTATTTAGTCATGCAATAATATTTTTATAACTAGCGGAAATTCGAGCTCTGGACCATTGTGTCAAGCAACAATATAGGCCCAGTGCTCCATTACCAGTTCGAGTTTTGGCTCGAGAAGCAGCCAGTAGTGTCAAACTTGAAACTTAAATTCAGTTGAAAATAGAAAATTTCAACTTTCAACTCATAACGATATACGCACGAGTCACGATTATTCAGAATGCTATTGGTTTAAAAGTTGAAAATAAGAAGAGAGTTTTGAAACAAATATGAATAGAATTGGTCATCGAGTCCTTTCGTTCGGTGATGGCTTGTTTCTGAATAAATTGGGGCAAGAAAAATGAAAATTTCTCCTCATCTCATTATATGTATTCTTGCTTTTAAGTTGAGTAACAACCGAAACTAAAGTCCTAATTTGTCCGTAACTGTATATTGAGTTCAAAACTACCTAACGTGATTAACATACAAATAATTGTGTGTTATATTCTTTTCTTTAGCTTTGTAATCCCTCATGGAATCTGCTCATGTTTAACACTTGCTAGTGCCGTTGCTATTCAAGACAAGCATTTGCCAGATATCGAAGTCAAGCAGCTCGAATCTCTCTTGCCGTTTGTAACGAAGATCATGCCTAAACAACAGATTGACGATCCATGCGAACAAGCGCTGAGAGTCTCTGAAGTCATTGCTCAACTAATTGCGGATTTGGATCTTACTAGTCCATTGCGTGAATTTCAAGTGCCCGCATCCAGTTTTGAAGGGATTATTGAACGGGCACGCCCCGATGGCAAGATTGATATGAGATACAATGATTTTGTTACACTTCTTGATCATTCCTTTTAGGATAAAAATAAACCTTAAAGAATAAATGTTTTAGCCATTACTTCACATCCACACCCTTCTGATTACTCAGAAATGTATGCCTTGACATTTTAACCCATGATGTCCAGAAAGTCTTTCGTCGGACGGTATTTCATATAGAAGAGACATCAAAACTGTTTGTCACTTATATTATTGCCACTGATATCAAGATAATAAGATTCTTGTAAGAAATAATGAACAGAAAAGTGAAAATAGTTTCGTTTTCATCCTTGAATAATTAATCGTGCTGGTACTTTCTGTGTTGATGGATAGATTTGAATGTTGGTGAAAAGTCGAAAAAGTTGTCCAATTTGTTGTTTAGTGGAATCGGTTACCATTCTCGACAGTGATTCTTCGATAAACATATTGAGATAAAAATGTTGCAATTTTGGTACACATCGATGAAGCATATCAGCAAGTGAATTTATATTCAAAGAGTATACCGTGGATGCAGCTCCTAGAATGACGAGATTAGTCAAGTTGGGTACCAACGAGAGTAAGATTTCGATTATATCGCAACATGAAAACATGGTTTGGTTCAAGTAAAGATAGAATCGGCGAAGACATACATGAGGAGCAATATCGAATCGAGTGGTAGGTCTAGTAAAATGTTGCGTTAGTTCGACTTTCAATCTTGTGAGTGACGGACAAGACTGAAGTATTTGTGTGAAAACTCGTGGATTCTCTAAGCAAACACTCAATGTATGTAGTGATGGAATACAAGTCCAATGCTGTTGTACTCGGTAAGAAATCAAATTGAGTTGACATGTATACAAGTTTGGATATGCATTCGTGAAGACAAAATGTGGTAATGACACTGAATAATAAAAATGGTCTATTGGTCGTTGTGAAATGTACAAATATTTGAGATGAGAAAAGGCTCGAATCACGTGGCATTGTGCTCGATTCGGTTCAATATATAATGTTAGTGAGCGAACAGCTGAAAATGGTGATAAATCCATCAAATCAACATGATGCATACTGAACTTTGTTATGCGTGAGGCAAAGAAACGAAAAGGTAGCGAATGCAATTCTCGTTCGAACGTCGTTTCACCGTGCAGATTTGTCAGAGAAGCAATAATCATTCGAAATCGAAGATTGAGACTATAAAAACCACGATACAAATCTTGAATGGATACATATTCGAAAATTTCAACGAAAATTTCATCTGGTAACGATTCCAAGATCATAATAGCGCAAGGTGACGATATTATTGATAGATCATCTATTCGATTCATTGAAATTAATCTAAAACAATATCCAATGATCAGAAGAAACCAAGTCTATAGAAAATGAAATTCAATATTATTTGCTTAGTTGATCAATCAACACTAATTTCATCTCTGGTTCGTCATATTCAACTATGGAAAGACAATCATATTTTATTTCTTTGATAGTTTTAATTAGCATCGAGGTTTATAAACAAGAGCCATACCATGAATCATTATACAGAGTTACGTACTCAACAACCAATCGCAATGGCATTCAATTGTTCTCATATTACTTGTTTTTCTGAAGCCATATGTGCCGACCAGCGACATCTCGTCGATTTGGGTGTGCGTGTGGATGAAGACACCACCAAAAAAAGCATTCTTCATCAGAGTTGATCTAGTTTAAGCTCTATTTCAATGCTTTCATTTGCTTATTAATTCTTTTTTTTGCTTAATTATCTTGTATGAATACCGCCTCATGCCATTATCATGAAAAAGACGAACCATCAAATATAAGAAGCTAACTGTGCATCTATTTGTGATACCAAATATTTCAAATCGGAGAGGCTCTGAAAACTTTAGATGTCATTCTCAAGTTTGTTGTAAATATAATGAATAACTCGATAATTTGTTTTTCAGATAAATGTAGGTGACTTCTTTTGATCTGATGAAGGTATTCGATGCCCAATATTAATAGATGTATAACTGACGTTTGACTTGGATCGAAAGCATCCTGCTATGCAACAAAGTTTTATTTTTTTGAAAACAAAAGTTTTTCAAGAGATATCATGCTGGTGGTTTTAGATCCTATCCCAATTAGATAACTAATTTAATTTGTTTCTGATACTAGTTTCACTTTTCATAATTAAAGACAACCCAGGTCGAGAAATCCCACACCGAGTTCGATAGGTTCCCACTGTTGGATTGCTCGATCTGGGAATGGCAATCATGTCTCTAATGGAGAAACTGGTCTTCTAGTTGCTAGGATTACGAATGATTTAGATTGATTATTATCATCGCGTCAACTGTGGTTCTCCTTGAGATTTTATTGTTGTCGGTTGCTTTTCATAATTCTTGGAGATATAAGATCTGTGGTATTCTCTTCTTTAAGCAACTAAAGATACAATCAATCACAATAGATGTATGAAGATTGAAGTAAACCCTCACACTCCGCACACTCTACCTTCTATTATCACTTTTGCTTTTCGCTTGATTGAATTTCTCTTTTTGTGTATACTTTTCTAATTTGGAGCATTGATGGCTATTTATAGATAACTTCTATGAATTCGAATATAAATATAAATAAAAAAAAGCGAGTACCTCTGTTGATATGATCTGAAGCAAAAAATAAAATTTTATATGAAGTCGAATGCATGTCTTTGCATTTAAGATAGAAACAAAAAGTTGAAACGATTTAGAAACTTGTAAATTTTACTCAAGTTATCTTTTGTTTTTCTTTTTGTTTTGAAAAAAATGACACTTTCCTTTATGAACTGAACAGCTAACCCTATTGAAGCAGCATAAAAATACGAAAGATCAGTTTTCGATAAATTATAAATTTATAAATCTCAAGGGTGCACGAAAGGTCCTAAAGAGATATACCTCGGTGAGAGAAGAGCTGAAGGAACTTTGGGGGAAATAATCCGAGTGCAGCTATACAACAGCTAGAGCCCATCGGGTCTACAAATTCTTGGACCCGGTACACCAAAAGCGCTTGGACCTATACTAGTAGGAACACTAAAACTTTGAAACTACTCTTATAGAATTATTCAAATTGAAGTAAACTTCCTTCCATATTAGAAGGCCGCCCAACTTGTATCACGCAAAACCGTCAGAAGTTTCAAAAATGGTGTTCTCATAGGAAACAGATTACTTTCTTAGAGGGGATTTTCTATTATGCGAGGGGGTTTAGCGCTCCTCAACTTTAATCTTTAAATTTAAAGCTAAAACTAACATGTCTTCAAGTTTAACTTTCTAATGAGTCAAAATTTAAAGTATATTTTTTAGAAAATCTTTCTTTTGTTAAAATTATTTTTTAATGAAAAACAAAAATTCCTTTCGTGAAAACATTTATTCCAACTTCAAATCTTTGGACTACAAGTTTTAATCATGCGTCTTTCAATTTGACAGTAAAATTAAGCTGGTATTATTAACAAAAACCTAGTTTATTCGTCAAACTAGACCTGGAGCAATACGTACTCTTAAACTTGTAGTCAAATTTTATAATTAACTCTGGTGGTCGCTCCGAAGATACGGCATACTTCTGTCCTTTTTTATGTGAGTAGTACATTTTACACGTTCTTTCAACTGTCCGATACACTGTTTTTAACAATTAATTTATAATGGACTCTGACTTCTAGCGACTCATTATTAGTTCGCAGCTTTGAATGGGATAAGGAACAAATGTATTAAAGCGTTTATATTGTTTCTTATGTTAGACAACTTCTCCATTAACAACATCGACTTCGCTTTCACTCAGTTATATGCATAGAAATTTTCTTTTGATCTTACCCAATAAGTAAAAATATTTTTAATCTGGTCCCGACGGACTCTATCGGCAGGACGGAAAATCCAACAGGATAAAACACCATTGGACAAAAATAAAAATTTTGTCTTACCTTGTTTTGTTCTGCACTTAATTTGATCTTTTTAAACAATTTTCATATTACACATATTTGTATTAGACTAGTACATAGATTTTACACGTTTTTGTTTTGCAGGTTCGATAACAAATTTAGTTTTCAACGAAGATATGCAACGTCAATGAACAACATCATCAGTATTTTTTTCGACAATCTTCGCCTATGTTGCTGTCAAAATTTCAGGTTTGTAGAAACTAGCTGGTTGTGATTCGAGAAAGGCAGTGGGGTCAGCTTTTAGCTCATCGAAGTCTTCCTAGTGTTTGTTGCTCAGATAATTCTGAAGCGGTAGAAACACATGATAATCGGTTGATGCAACGCCTGGCAACCATGGCGAGTGCGCAAGAATCTCCCATCCAAGCTGTTCGAGTGTTTGCTGAGTCGTCAATGACGACTCGTCATTCAAAATTAGAGAAATAATATAGAAGTCTATTGAAACAGTATCCGTGAAACGTGCAAAACTGATGACCCAACCCAGTACAAGCGTGAAATATAGTAAATGCTAACCGAATGTAAGGCTGTTTTTCATCTTTGAGAACTTCTTTTTTTTTGTTCAAGTATTTTCCATATCATTTGCTTCTTCCTTGTTTGTGGCGCCAACTGTCACTCCCATGCATATATGTGTCACTTTGTGTTTTCTATCGAAGCTATAGCCATTTTTATGCATTTGTTTATTTTTCTGTCTTCTCCCTCTTTCTTTCCATCGTTTAAAAGGTATACACAGAACGAGCAACTTGTTCTTGTTGCTTGTTGTGTAATAGTTGTGCAACACCAACATCATATGTTCAGTGTTTATAATGAAAGAGTGTACTCAGTAAAACAAAGTGTATGATACCCTAATAAAATAGATTTTACACTTTTTTCGAGAAAATTTTCATGCGTTTATTATACAAAAACCTTGTCTTTTGAACGAGAGCAAAATAGTCGAGGCGTTGTGTCGTGTTCACATATGGCACGAAAGTTACCGTTACTAATTAAAGCAATGATAATTTCCGTTCTCTATGTTCACATGACTTACAGTCTCGCTTGTTGGTCATCTAATAATATGATTGCGAAACGAATTGTAAAACAAAACAAAAACATTAGAAAAAATATTGTGATTTGTTTGTTAAATTCTTGTTTATCTATATATGTGAATGAATAATATTATTTTATGCTTGCTTTTTCCTTATAAACTAAATCCTTTTCCTTTTTGTAAATTTAAAATGTTCGTGTGCTTAGCAACATGAGAAAATAATTAAAAATGATTTTTTTTAAATAGAGCTTTTCTTGAATGCTGGCTTCGCAGCAGTCCTATATATCCTGTATTTCCTATATTTTAAAAATTTATCCTATAATAGACTATACTTTGAGCTTTTTTCCTATATTCCTATTTTTTTTGAAAAAATTGAAGATTCTTCTAAAAAAATTCAAAAAACTCCCGATAAGTGTTCAACACATCATTTAAATATTGTCAGTAACAATTTGTATGGCGCTTATTTCCTATTGGTTCATCTAGATAATGTATATAGTATACTCTTTGCATTAGTTGTCTTTGTATCAGTGTTTTATCCAGAATTTCTGGGTATGCTAGATCTCAGCGTCAGTGCATGACACCTAGATGGAACTTATGAGGGATCATATTGGAGCTAAGTAATGAGGTTTTGTGGTCAAAAGTTTGTGATTGTAGTTTGCGAAAACAAAATAATTTTTTTGCTTGCCCAACCGGCATATGTTTTTAACCTTTTTTGGTATTCCGCCTTTCAGAATTTCATAGTAAGTTACATCAAACTTCATCGACAGATTTCAAATTTCATCGAAAAATAAGCATCCATTCAGGAGTTATAACGGTTTGAAATTTTGCTAAAATCTTGGCAGTATTTGAAAAAAATGCACAACGTTATAACTCCTGAATGGATGCTTATTTTTCGATGAAATTTGAAATCTGTCGATGAAATTTGATGTAGCTTACTATGAAATTCTAAAAGACTGAATACCAAAAAGGTGTGGGTGTGGGCGTGAGTATTTTGTTCAGAAACTCGCCCACACCCTAAAGTGCATGCATGTCCAATAGTGAAAATAGATCGAACATAAATTAGTTTTTTTATGTTTTAAGAAAATCTTGCTGCTCCATTACTTTTCAAAACTCAATAATATTTTTATTTAGCTGATTAGATATACGTGCAAAAACAGCACATTATCATCTTCAATGCTGTTGCAGTGATTTTTCGGTGTCTAAATCTTTTTCTGGAATAAATTTGTCATCCTATATTTTTCCTATATAGTTGAGGGCGATCCTATATATTTTAGACCTATCCTATACAGGAATTCCTATATTTTTTGAGAGAGCCGCTGCGATGCCAGACTATAAGTTATATGATGAAATTTTAATTTTATTTTGATCACAATTAACTGTGAAAATGTTGGACATCATTTTTTTCTGCATTCTCTACGTAAAAAGTAAGCTGAATTGAAATAAGTGGCAATGAAAATTATAATCTACACCAATGGATAGTTATCAATACTGTAGAATTCTCATCACCAATCTAATGGTAACTATTATATAGAACGACCAATTTTACTTATATTACATATTTATTTATCATGTTTTCTATCGTCCTATATAAACGTGATATCCGTGTGTATTCGTTCGGATGATTAGCCAAACCCATATTTGAATAGATAGTTAAATAATATCTTTGCAACGATAAAAAATCGGTCAAAAACAAAAATAAATTGCGTATGTACTATATTTTGACGAGAGCGATTCATCATGTGATAGATGATTTAGAGACAGATATTAAACAACAAAATCGACTCTATAAAAATGTAAAACGCACTAAAGAAATTTAGCTTCTCAACAAAATAGTATAACGGTACCCATTTAATCTGGAATATGAATATTTTGTCTTTGAAAAGTAATTATAGTATTGACAATCTAAAAACAAAAACGATTCAACCTAAAAGACAAAGATTTATTTATTAGTTTTCAGTCAAAAATCGAATGTTTTGAAAAGTTATATATGACTAGAACCACTTGCGAGCTTGCATTTTCAAATGGTAAAAAACTCTTCGATCAAGAGAGCAAGCTACAAACAAGATATACACAACCGGCATTGAAATATTGAAACAATACAGCACAGACACCGGAAAAAAATAGTAAGTAAAGCAAATCTTAGATGCAATGCTTGTCGATAAAGTCTAGAAAACGTCGTGCATATAGGTCTGGCCGAACAATGAGTGTTTCATCAGCATCGGAAGTCGATAATCGTCGTTTCGTTAGAATAACACCCTTCTTTCTTCTATTATAATGTGTTAAAATGTCTGCAAAGCCAATATTATATGATTCTCGTCGTGTTGATACTAAAAGACTTCGTTCGAATTTCAGCATAAAGAAAAATGAAAACACTTACATTCTGGACTTCTCATGTGGAAGGGTTCATCAAAAACATTGTCATGGTCCATCCGTGTTGGACTTTCTATCAAATAAATAAAAATGATTTTTTTCATTTTTATTCAGATAAAAAAAGCCATGCCTGATCCATCCGAAGAATTATAGAGAGAAAAATCAGATGTATTCATATCAACAACCGACGCTCGTTTGTGACGTTCTAAAGAGATAAATTAAAATTCATTGGAGAATTAAGTCAAAAAAATATTTTTACCGATGGCATCTTGATCCAGATCATGAATGCCAATTAATAATGAATAATCGATTTTACGTTGATCCACAAGAAACTAATAGAAGGAAATTATCGTTACTAGTACAAAAAAACGACGTTTTCTACCTGAACGTCACGCTCAAGTCGTTCCATAAAAATTAGTTTTTGCTCCGGACCTACATCAATGATGCATTTATTTTCTAAAAATTCTGTATCTTTCAATGTTGGACACGAATTTAATTTTTCTTTATTTGTTGCACTCCGTTCAAATGTTGAACCCTAGAAATATTTATTGAATTAGGAAATATACAAATTTTGTCTTTTTACTTTGACATCGTATTTAAAATGAATTTTTAATCTACTTGAAAATATGTTACGCATAACTAATATGTAGTTTTCTTTATCATCAACTGTCAATCTATACATTGCACAATAGTGAGGAAGTAATGTATCACCTTGAGTTTCGACGATATACTAAAAGCAATAATAATAATAATAATAATAGAATAACCTTGGAATTACAATACAATATTAAATGAGCAAATACATTCAATTGAGTTAAAATAAATAATGTGGACATTTGGTTTTGTTTTATCTTGGTAAAACTGTTTTCTTACCGATAGCTTCTGTAATTCTGTAGGGAAGCACATCATCGTGAGATACAATTATTTTTATTTTCGTGAAACCACCTCGTTAACCAATGGTTTTCGTCATGTAATCAAAGTTCATCTACTGATTGGATTTATTTATGAAAGAATTCAGTAATGATTATGTTCGTGTGCCTTTGTTCTTGTCACGCAATACATAGAATCGGCATCACTCGAAAAATCAGTATCTCTATGGATTGACTGCAGATGATTGTTGAAGTTTTTTTCTCTCCTGTGAATCATTCAATACGTACTCGATGATATTCTGGTAAAATGTTACTAATTTGTTCGACTGTTTCTCTTGAAATGCATTTAATAATAAATCGATGATCACATGAGTGATAATAATGTATATTTGCTTTCGCTGATTCATTCAAAAGTACTGATGGTTCTGTTAGTGAATTCTAATTAAACAACTCGTTGAAATACTTTTTTGTATCACGACAAAAATAAATTGACTTACTCGAAAATTGCCATCATTTATTTGCCAATGTTTTCGAATAGCACGAAATACAAGTGGACAATATTCTTTTATTTTAAAATGGCTTGGCATCACTTCTCTAATAAGAAAAAAAAAAGAATTATTAATACTCACAAACATCTCTAAAAGCAATAAAATTGAACAAGAAGTATCGTTTTTTACTCATGTAGAAGAGTGTCAGATCGGCCTTAATCTGTTTTTTTAGAATTAAGAAATTTTGATGCCTCTTATTTGTCATCCAAGCAGAGAAAAAAAGAATCATCAAATGACATTTGATATATGGCTACGAACTTGTTGAAGTTTTGATTGTCTACACGAACTTTAACATAGGCTTTAAAATGTTCCGGAAGAAGCACAACTGGTATATTGATATTTTCCAATTCACGTGTCTAAATCAGAGAATAATCTTTTTTTTTCCTAGGCGATGAATTACTTACGGTGAAATTCACACCCCACATAAGCACAGAGAGTAATGGATCATTGGCACGAAATAATTTATGTTTTTGACGATGCACTTTTAATTTTGATTTGGTTTTAATTTTACGCCCTTCCATCAAAGACAATTTCGTATTTATTTATTGTGCCTTACGAATATTATATATTCACAAATAGCATTTGTCTAGCAGCTCATGCGTAACAAGAAAAATAACTAGCGAGTTTGATTCAATGACTATTGATAGGAAAAAAAATGAAGTGAGAATATAGGGCATAACGGCAGTAACACAAGAAAAGAATATCGAGTCATTTGGTTTTTTTCCTCATGTAGACTTGTCTTTAATGCGTGTCGGCGTTAACGTGCGCCTCGAGAAAGATGAATAATCTGCCAGAAACATTTCAGTGGTTTATTGAATGAAACCAATCAGCGAAATAAATACTAATTATATAATGAAATTCACATTTATTTCGAATATTTTTAACCTCAGATTAACATAGTTTTGCGTGATTCAGTATGTAGTAAGGTTTCGAGATAGTCGCACGACTAAGCAATTATCAATACGGAGTCTTCATTATGATTCTCATGAGAAGAATAATAGCAGTCATTTTTGAATTGAACCAAATATGAAGACAGATTCTGATCGATTGAATAACAAAACTTTCATCATGCGACTTCTAACGACATAACAGAACCTAGATGATATAAGATAGAGACCATAATTCAACATCAGAACTTGAAACGCGTTGAAAATTATTATCATGCTAATCGTACATGTCAATGAGTACGCTCGATAGATAGAAGCGCTGGGTCTAAAACAAAATGGGATACGAAGCCTTGACCATTAGTGTTATCATGCATATCAACATAAAGTTTCTTTCTTTTTAATCTTAGACATCTCATAAACTTGCTATTTCAGTGTAGATCAGTTTTCGTCTGTGTATTTACAATATCATTTTGTTAGTAAGAAGTGTAAATTAGCTAAATAAATGTAACTACTAATCAGGTAGAATCTGAATGTGTCCAATAGATCCATTTACATGGATTAAATGACTATTTTGAAATAGTTTCTTAGCATTAGCAACACCAACAACAGCTGGTAAACCGTATTCTCTTGAAACTATAGCATCATATTGAAGCATTCCACCCATTTCTAATACTAGAGCGCCAACAAGCGGAAAAGGTGATGCCCATGCTGAATCAGTCCCTATACAAATTAAGATTTCACCAGGTTCTCGTTCAGAATGCATTGAGTCCTCCATTATTCGTACCTTGCCTTCGTATAGGCCAGATGGTACCTTTCTATTTGGTCCATAAATAATTTCCTTCCATATCGAGGAAATAGAAAATTGTGTATCAATCTGTAAGCTAAAGGAATCACACACGAGAGTGATAATAGAAAGCTTGGTTCTGATGGGAAAAGCTTTGAACAAATGAAATAATTATTATTTTACCAACCAATTTCGGTGTCTCTACTGAAGTAATTTGATTAATACCTATTCGTCTCATGATATTACAATATACCAAATGTATTCCACTTTAACCTAATGGTGTCACAGGCTCGATAAATTCCCATTCGCAATCCAGCAGTTGATTATTATATCTTTTTTTCTACTCGTTTAGTTAATTTAGCAAGTTCAATAATATATGAGTGAATTGCACCTTTTTGGTACAATTCACGCGAACAGATGAAAGTGAACCTATACAATTTTTGAGTAGTGCATTTTATCATAATCTAGGCCAGTAGTACACAAAAAAAAATTTCCCAACACTTAATCAATTAGTACCGGAGATATGACCCTTTTATAAATGTATGACTTTTTCTACTTGTGGGTGATTCCATGCGAAAACAACCACACTTTGAAAGTTTAAAATTTATAAATAGCAGAAATCAGTACATGATCATAGATGGAATGGTCGATGCAGTTGTCACGAAAAATGAAATCTTTTTTTTTATTCACCAGCAGCTCTGGAGAGGAGTACGGCAAATTCGAAAAAACAAATTTTCATTTTTATGGAGAGCGACGTTGACGATTCTATCTCGGACCATGTCCTAATTCGTGCTAGGTACGAATTTTTGAATAAAAATGGAAGCTAGGCAATAGTGCGCTTTTTTATGTTTATGCTGAAGAATTTTTTTCGAAAAAACCGTCCACATCTTCAAGATTTTCACTTTTGAGGTCATCATTTTTTTCCCAAATGATACTCTATGATTGCTTCCCACTTAACTACGTCGAAAAAAATATTTTTGAATGACCCGTACTGAAAATATTCGCGAAAAATTGTCATTCTACATACTTGTCTTGAAATTGTCATTCTACATTTCTCAGTATGATGTAAATCTCTCCGGAATAGAAGATGATTCGGGGCTGAAATTTTTATTACTGATAGACGTTGTTAGCTTATATCTTGAGTAAAAATTTAAGCCTAATCGCACTAATTATTGAGGAGTTATAAAGTATCCAATTTTCAAATTGTCATCCTACAAAGCGAGTATAATGACCTTTTTTCAGAAAGTCTTCTTATTTTTATCGATAAGAAAAGGTAACAACACAGAGTTTTTTCTTACCATTTTGTTACACAAAGAGTTGTCTTTCCTTTCATATAATCTCTGCGTCATCCGCTTTATCAGTAGTCGAACTATAATCACGTTTGTGTCATTCTACACAAAAAATACAAAGAATCTGTCAAATAATGTGAACGTTGGACTAACGAGAGGATGAAGTATAAAATTTAAATCCATAATATACTTCGATAGAGCATTGAACGCTGTACAAAATAGTCTATTTAAATAGTTTTTCTCTTGCTGTTCTATAGTCCAAAAATTCATTTTTCTTCTCGTGTCAGTAAAAACTAACATTTTGTTGCCACGTTTTCCTTATAACTCAGCGACTCTATGAGCTAGAGAGCTGAACTTTTTTGTGCCAGTGAGACATACTAGGATCAATAGCTGATGAGAACATTATCACAATCGGCTGAGAGAAAAACGTTATTAGACAAATACAGCTAAAACGTAAAACGTACCAAAAAGTCGTAATTCACTCATATTCATCCGATAAAGCTTTTACTTTTTTCTCAATTATTTTTAAACGAATTTCACCATTTTCGTTGCTATGAATTAATATTTCATAATAAGCTGGTGTAGCAAGATCCGATACTAAAGCTTCACCTAGTCCATATGTTGATTCAACAAGAACCGCAAGTTTCACAATTTTATGTCTATAGGATATTTCTCGAGCTATAATTAAGAATTTTTGTAACATGTAAATATGTATCTTGTTGCCCAGCAACATGAATATTCGTCGTAGCATTTTTCTCACAGAAATTATTATAATTGTTGATGATTAATTCAATAGCATGTTGTCCCTCCAGATTTACCACACACGGAATATTATCATCCGGTGACATTGATGAAGTCTAATTGTTACAGAAGAGTCACTAAAGTGCAAAAATAACAAAAAGAAAAGAAATGGAAAATAACAAGTATTTGTTATTAAACTGAAAATTCCAACATATCAGCAAAAGTGAGCACAGTCATTGCCAGCTAGCTCCTACTCTCTGCAAACATATTCAATTTTCTATGACGAACAAATCTCATGCAAAAATTTATTTAATTAAATGTTTATATACTCAAATGGATTTCGAATGTCTATTCATCAACAGAGATTCGAAGAAGACTATTGATTCTTTTTTAAACTGAATCCTGAAAACGAATATATTATGCTTTGTATGTATATATATATTAGTTTTCAGTCCAGAAGAAGGAAACATCCAACTAGCCATATAAAAAGAGAAAAAAAGACTCAAGCGCACTCACATAAAAACATTGAATATAAATTCAATTGACCACAGCGATATATAACTGAATAGAGAGAGAAGGAAAAAAATCGAATGCAATAAAGTGTTATATATGACTAGAACTACTCGCGCATGCATTTTTAAATAGTATAAATTCTCCGATCAGGATAATGACAAACGAACATGATATACAAAACCGGCATTGAAACATTGAAACATACAGTACAAACACCGAAAGAACAGAGAAACTGGTATTCCAGATCAAGAAGGCAACTCTTAGATGCAATGTTTATCGATAAAGTCTAGAAAACGTCGTGCATATATTTCTGGTCGAACAGTTGATATTCCATCAGCATCAGAACCGGATAATTTTGTTTTTGCTACATGTGCACTCTTCTTTTTCATTCCATAATTTGTTAAAATATCGATGATGCCAAGACTATATAGTTCTCGTCGTGTTGATGCTTTAAAAACAATAAAAATCTTTAATCGAATTTCGGAATGAAACGCAAAATAGAAATTTTTACATTCTGAACTTCGCATGCGAAATGGTTCGTCAAAAGAATTATCATCACACATTTGTGTTGGACTTTCTAAAAAATTAGTAAAAATTTTTTTGTTTCATTTCTATTAGACAACAAAATCATACCTGATCCATCGGATGAATCGTTACCAGATAAATCAGATGTATTCATATCAACGATTGATGCCCGTTTTTCTCGTTCTGAAGTAAATAAAATATATTTAAGAACTCATTCAAAAAATATATTCTTACCCATTCCGCCTTGATCAAGATCATGGATACCAATTAATAATGAATAATCCATTTTATGTTGATCTACAAGAAACTAATAAAAGAAAATTATTGTTTCTTCTACAACAAAGAACGTTTTTCTACCTGAACATCTCGTTCAAGTCTTTTCATAAAAGCCCTTTTTTGGTCAAGACCTAAATCGATGATACATTTGTTTTCAAGGAAATCATTATCTTTCAAAGTTGGACATGGATGTAATTTTTCTTTGTCCGATGCACTTCGATCAACAGTTGAACCCTAAAAATATTTATTGGATTAGAAAAAAATATAAAAACTTTTTTCTTTTTACTTTGACATCGTATTTAAAATGAATTTTTAATCTACTTGAAAATATGTTACGCATAACTAATATGTAGTTTTCTTTATCATCAACTGTCAATCTGTACATAGCATAATAATGAGGCAGTAATGTATCACCTTGACTTTCGACGATGTACTAAAAAATAATAAACAAAAACCTGTAAGTGACAATTAAAAAAATAAATATCTTTTTTTGCGCATGTAGGAAAAAAGCTCGAAGCCTTCATGATAAATTGATTGCAAAGATAGCTTAGAGAAATATCTTTTTTATTCGTGCTTTGCGCCTCTCCCTCTCGACTAACAAGAATTTTGTTTGAAGAGCTGGAAAAGAGAATGGATTATTTACTTTTAAAATATGCTACTTATGACTGCGAACTTCTTTTTTAAACTAAAATACCCTCAGTTAAAGTTGATGTTCTTTTTTTCTTGAATTACGTAGGCAAGTTCATCAAGATAAAATGCACTTATTTTTAGTTTCTTTTTGAAATAATGCCGGTAACTGTTAATTGGATTTAGTTCTTAGAGAATTCACTGATGTTTTGTGTGCGTGTATCACGCTATCATCGCAGTCGGTTACCCTTTAAAATTTAATCTCTATAATGGATTTTTCTAACTATAGATTGAACCTATATTTTTCAATACGAACCCTATGATATTCTGGTAGAATATTATGAATTTGTTCGACATCTTCTTTTGAAATTGATTTAAGAATAAAACGACGATCACATGATTGATAATAGTTAATATTTGATTTCGCTGATTCATTCAAAGGTATTGGTGGTTCTGTAAGTGAATCCTAAAAGATGAATCACTAGAATTTGTATTGCATCATAGAAAAATTTAATTTACTTACTCGAAAACTGCTGTCATGTACTTTCCAATACTCTCGAAAAGCTCGGAATACAAGTGGGCAATATTCTTTGACTTTAAAATGGCTTGGCATCACTTCTCTATTAACAAAAACAAAAAAGATCTGCATGAGTAATAAAAATAGGTAGTATTTCATTCATGGAAAAGAATGCCAGATTGACCTTAATCGTTCTTTAGAATTCAGAATGATTTGTTGCCATAGTTATTATTCTAACGGGCACATGTAATCTTAAATATTACATTTACACGTAAATCATCGAGACATTAAGACTATTGGATTTTGATCTTTTTTTTATTTTTCCTCGAGGTACATATCTACTTAATACGTTTCAAGGATATTTCCATTGTGTTTTAAGACATATTCGACAAAATAAACAAAAAAAAGATCGTTCCTCGTGAGACGAAATTATGTCAATTCTATTCATATAATCATGATTGTCAATAAAAATTGACGTTTGAAAATAGAGACGAATAAATAATTCTACTACTAAGTATATAGCTACACCTGAAAAGTAAATATGTGCGTATATTAGTGAGAGCTTTATATTTTACGAACTTGTTGAAGTTTTGATTGTCTATACGAATTTTAACATAGGCTTTAAAATGTTCTGGTAGTAACATAACTGGTATATTGACATTCTCTAATTCATGAATCTAAATCGATGAATTTTTCATTAGTTGCTATTTATCTACGAAGAAAGTATCACTTACTGTGAAATTCACACCCCACATAAGTACAGAAAGTAGTGGATCATTGGCACGAAATAATTTCTGTTTTTGACGGCGTACTTTGAATTTGGATTTCGTTTTAATTTTATGTCCGTCCATTAAATTAATTAAAATTTTTTTGTTTGTTAGTATCTCTCTAAAAATTAAATTTTAACAAAAATTTCCGTATGACAACTCATGTATTACAAAAGAAAAGAAGTTCAGTAAGAAAAGGCAAAGGCCTAACATGAGTTAGACCGTAACGACAATAACAATGAAACCTATTAAATAGTTTGTTGTTCTGCGTGTTGGTTTGCCTTGCGTATGTGTAGGCGTTAGCGTATGCCTCAAGAATCTTGAATGAATAATCTGTCAGAAACATTTCAATGACTTATCGGATGAAGCCAATCAATGGAATCAATGTTAATTAGCTACAGAACTCACCATTTATATGTCGAATAGAATTTTTACCTAATGATTAAAATAAATAAATAAATAAAATGATTCATAAACAACAGATTGAAAATGGCCTTTACGCTAGATGGCAGTAGATATCAGTAGATGTATCGATAGCAATATCCGGCGAGAAAAACGATGATGTCTACATATGATAGTATCCAAATCGCGTCACTATGTTTCGGAATTCATTGATTCTATCTAATGTTTTTCAAATAAATAAAAGCCACGTACAAGTATTGATATTTTTGTCTTTCAACCAAATACGGTCCTGCATGACGGATGTGGATTAGAAAATTTATCCACAATAATGATATTCACTCGAGATACTTCTAAAACGTGTTAGAGAAGTAAATATCAGTTTCAAAGTGTTTCTGAAATCATAGAAAGAACTCTTTACAAATCGAAACAGTAGAAAGTATTACAAGTTTTTCGTGTATAATAAAAATATTGAAACAAAACAGAATTCAAATGAATTTGTTAAAAGTTCCGAATGGAAAGAACGAACTTTTTTGATACCTTATAAAATTCCTACCTACCAGGTTATTTACATGTTTTCGATAGCGAATTGTTATCTTGAGTATTCTCCAAAAGATGTCTTAGCATTCATTTAAAAAGCCCGTAAATAAATATTAATCTTGACGACAAATGGTTCAATGTTTCATGTATTGATTATTTTAATTTTAATTGATCAAGTAAACAGATAGAATTTTCTAATAACACACTATACATTCAATAATTCACAGGAAACACGTAAGTAGTTTGTCAATAGTGAATACACAATTCAGAAAAGAAAGAAAACAACAACAACAATTTTTGTATACGAATAGCGTCATTGAATATGAATATCTTCATCGGATAGAACCGATCTATCTGATAGACTTTTATTTGAAAGTAAAGAATTTGAATCAAATTTAAATTGTCTCTTGTCATAGTATCGATGCAGAAGTGGTGAATATGGATGAAAACGTTTTATATGTTCATAATGTTTTGTTGGATCCGTTGATGTATGTCCGCAATCTTCACATACATATAATTTATTTCGACGAATTTTATATCCGTAGGGATGATTTAATCCATGAACTTTTCGTTGATGAGATTCCAGACTACAACGTTGTGTAAATGCTTTTTCGCATTTATCACATTTAAATGGACGAACACCTTAGAAAAAATTACAAAAATTAATTCGATAAAGATTAATAGCAATACGTAAACAAAATAACCTGTATGCGTTCGTGTATGCCGTTTAAGATCAAATGTATCATTAAAACCTTTGCCACAAAATGTGCATAAGTATCGTTTGAGTTGACTATGATTTTTTAAATGCCGATTAAGAAGACGCTGGAGTTTGAAAGTTTTCATGCATAGACCACATACGTATTGTTCGCCATGATTTGTTGAATTCGCTAAAATAAACTCTGAATAATTTCGAACTTATCTATTCTATTTAATTGGCTACTAGGGGCTCAATTAACATGTTGTTTTCTTTCTCTTGATAGTCTGTATCGATAAAATCAATAGCCATTAGAAATGATTTATCGATTAGCACATAACTCATCCCGTTAAAAATTCATGAGAAAAACGAAAAGTGAAACTAATTTAATATTATTCATACCATATTTAATTTGTAGTGCTTCTGTCGCACAATCGAATAATGGATTTTTAATCCCATGTCCACCATTCACTATTTCCAACGCACAATTTGTCTTAATAGATAAAAATCAAATTGTTCTTTCGTTTTACTAAGAACATTCAATGACTTACACTTGTTGATGGACTAGAAATACTCGGTACAACATGCTCATTTATTGATACATTCATAGAAAAATGTTGTTGCTGATTTTCCGATGAATGTAATGGTAATGGTTGATGATAATATATTGGTTTTTGCTTTGGATTATAAATATTTGATGTTAGATATTCGATTGTAAATGGAGTTTTTGTATTCATTATAGTTAAATCTAAAGGTTGTTCCATATTGTTGCTAAATGAACAAAATAAGTGTGAAAGAATAATGGGAAACTATTGAGAAACGATTAAACTAATCATCATTAAAAAACAAGCATATGTGCGAGAAAAAAAGGGAACAAACAGAAGTTTTGCAGCAGGATATCATCTATACAAACCTTTGATGCCTTTCATTGTTTTGTAATCGATGAAAATTTTCATCCATATTCAACATTTCAAGTGGCAGAAGTGATAATGATGCGACTTGATCATTAATCTTTTTCTCGTTTATTTTCCCAATTTTAACCAATCAGCTTTCGTTTCTCTTTTTTTTTTTCTCTCTCTCTCTCTCCCTCTTTTCGTCTCTCACGAAATAACTCGTATGTCTAAGAATAGGGAACACATAAAATAGATTTTTCGAAATAATAGATGTACTTTGAAGGTGTCCGAACATTTCGGAGATAACATTTGGCTTATCACAAAAGAAAGAAATTCTACTTTTAGTTTCTTTAGAATATAATTTATTTTAATTAGAGAAACACTTTCTTATTGGATTATTTTTTTTCTTCTCATCCCCGAAAAAAAAAATTGATATCCGGAAGTCCAGACAAGATGAAAATCGTCGACTTCAAAGGAATACTGAAAATACGATTGAATTCTATATCTAATTAGTCTACATTTAATCTTTGAAAACGAACGAAGGAGAGTTGATATCTTCAATAATACATATATACAATATTTTTGATTTGACTTGAAATACCCTTGAAAATGCAATTCAAGTTTTTAATCATAGATATTCATCGAAAAGTTTATCATCACATATAAATAGGTGCGATTAATTGAATATTGAAGATGAGTATTTGTCCAAAAAAGATGATACATTGAATGTGTCAAGAAATATCAACAAAGAAAGAGAATATCTCACATCATAACAACTGATAATAAACAAAATAAAGTTAAATGATGTCCACATTCTACGTCAATGTGACACTTCACTGATCTTCTTTTCAATAAATCACGAGAAGCTTTTTTTGTTTTGTTAGTGATTGGCATCGTTTATAACATTCGACTATCCGAAAATCGTATGAATGAGAAAATAAGCACGCACATATACAACAGAGATCAAATCACCGGAACGAAATGAGTTGACTACTAATCGACATTAACACATGCTGTTTGTTTGTATAGCAAGACGAAACAAAAAAAAAAGAAGAAGAGTTCATCTTCGTATAATCTACTTACTATGTATCTATCTTCAAATGCACACGGTTCAGTGCAAATGTCAAACGTGTCTAGTAGTTGTGTGTATATTATACTGCATATACGTATATATAGATGTATATTGTTAATGATTGAATACAAGGAGAAATAACTACTGCTCACTAACGGGGTGATATGTATATATATAAACGTGTGCTTCCTTCATAAAAAAAAATTATCTAATCTTTTAATCATGTTACCTTTGCGTAAAAATACCTGTGCTTGAGTGATTAATGTATACACAAAAATCTTTTTTTTTTTTGCTTATTCGCTGCTAATTAAAGCTATCTAAGACAATAACAACCTACATATCGATAACTAACGAACTGTAACCGTTTATTTCGTTTTCTTTTTTTGAATAATATCGATTGTGAAGACAACTACGCCTAGAGGGATTGCTCTATGCGTGGTGTATATAATATTATTTGACTTGACAATTTGATTGCGTCAACAACAAGAGAGAGAGAGAGAGAGAGACGGGAAAAGGAAATGATCGTCGTTGATACTTAGGATACCTGCTGTGTATTCGTCGTCTTTAAGATGACACTCGTGATGATAACGGATCACTATATACATTCCCAAATGACTCCTGTACACTTGTTGGAGATGAAGAACACACTTATGTATATTCAGATGATGTCGTTATTACTTGTTGTTTGACAGCAAAAAATGAAGAAAAAGAAATGAGCGATCATGGCATAAGACTGTGAATGGAAAATTAAGCAAGAAATAAGAGACCGACAAATTCTACAGTAATTATCTATGGCAAAGACAATTATAGTTTGTCTGATTGAATATCGAAATTTAAGCATTCAAGTAAACAGAATTGATCGGGTGAATTTTGATATTATCGAACTTTTCAATTATTTCCCTCTTCAGTGCAAACTGTTGACCAGTGCCAAATTCGGTTTAGTGTTTTTCACTAGAGATTCCTCTCTCTAATGTAAATATCAAGACGTTTTCTAGAGCTCGTGCTTTTCTTTTATAAACTACGAATGAGTGTCGACTACTGCACATATTAAGTAAATAATGATATTCAAACACAAGCACACTTTGCAAGGCAAAAGTGCAGTAAATTCATGACAGTAATAATGTTGCTACCCAAGCAGACAAACTTTTTCAAAAACGCGTTTAAACACTCAATCGGGAACCGTAATTGTGGGTCATTAACGCTCATTAATGAAACGCAAGAAACGCGTTTTTTACACAGAATTCTCACTTTCTGAACGCGCAAACGCATAGAAACTCCAATTTTGTGCGTTTAAACGAATTGATTTTGAATTCATCGAATAATTGTGCGTTTAAACGCTCAAAATTGGAGTTTCTATGCGTTTACGCGTTCAGAAAGTGAGAATTCTGTGTAAAAAACGCGTTTCTTGCGTTTCATTAATGAGCGTTAATGACCCACAATCACGGTTCCCGATTGAGTGTTTAAACGCGTTTTTGAAAACGTTTGTCTGCTTGGGTAGTTTATTACAGGGTAAATTGACTCAACATCCTAATATGCCACATAGTTCTTTATCAAGAATATTTAAATAAATTTGAAACTAACCAAAATCAAAATCACTTCTGTTAGATCGTGTTGTACATCAACTGTCTATATTGACGGAATTGATTCTGTGAGCTCGTAGTTACCCCATAGAAGTTTAATTTCTATGAAAAATGAAAAGCAAAGTATCTATCTTGAAGATGAATTTTATCTTCCATGCGACACCAGCGCAATCTCTCACAATTTGAACTAAAAAAAAACACATAGGCTACCGTACAGAAAAATCTTTTTATTTAAACAGCATTTCCAACATCAAAAGGGTATACAGTATTCATGTGTTCAGTTAACATCAACGGATTTGATAAATCTTTATTAATTTTTTTTGTATGATTATTTGTTGGCCCATGACGAGTTGAACCCGCTCGTAAATGAGTTATTGATGTTCGACTTGTTATGCTCGCGTTGTTAATGCCATTTCGTATTGTCGGTGGCTGTGGAGGTTGCTTTGAATTTAATGCCGCATCGATGCGCATCTCATTTAAACGCCATTGATCAAAACAATCACAACGCCAACGCATTTTTTCAATTAGTACCTTACGAAAACTTCGTCGCGATATAACATATAGAAAAAAATATAAACTATAATGAAGTAAATAAAAAACTTCGGCAATCATTTTCCCCGATTCAATATATGCCGATGGTGTGTTGCCACGTACACGTATTATACAAACAATTAACCATAGGATAAAATACGGAAAATTTAGTATACCGAATGTTATCGATATAACAACGAGCATCCAGGTTACTTTATCGTTCTCAAGTTGATTTTTAACGATCATATTAACATAGTCTTTATTTGCGCTGTCGACTCTTTTTGTTTGATTTAGTTCTTGCTGTTGCTTCCTTAAACGTCCGGCACGTAGCAATTGTCGAACCGTCAAAGTGTTAACAACGCACACAATGAGTATTGGAAATGTTAATGTTAAATTTCCGTAGATGATTGTTAAATAGAAATAAATTTTCTTGAATTTATTCATTATATCACATTCAGAAAGCTGATTTTTATCGTCAATACTAACATCAGACATAATAAATGAATAGAATGGCAATAGAAATGAAACTACTAAAATAAATAAACAAATTCGTCGAGCACTACGTGGATTACATAATACAGATGTTTGTAAAGGAAAATAGACGACAATGAGACGTTCTAATGTAAAAGCTACCACTATCCAATGAGCTGAAAAACGTAATGTATGACGAAAATATGTTGAACCTATATAGAACAAAAACATATTCATTAATATTCATAAGTACAATATTCAAAAAACAAAAATTATTGAATCTAATATGCACTTGAAAGACAATTTTTTTTAGTATATTTTTCATGTATTGACCTAGTAAGTCGAAGCCGAACGTAATACTTCAAGCATTCGACAAGTATCTAAAAGTACTCGAAACTACTTTAATAGAAATAAAAATAAACAAAGCATTTTGTTAACGGCCAGAGCCCCAATTGTTTCTTTCTTTTTTGAAGGATTGGGAGAATCGGTCGAGTTTCAATAGAAAAATGCGCAAAAGGCTTTATTAGAATCCATGAAAAAATATTGAAACTAGAAATATATGTCGCCGCCGGAAGGGATCAACATAAACAGAAACGCTCGACATCTACGTCGAAATCAAATGGTCGAGTTTTCAAGAGTTTTTATGTTTTTTATTAATCATAATAATCAAAATATAAAAATAGAACTTCTAAGCAGCTTTGCCAGTATATAAATCTAATAGTAAATATTATTCTAATGATGTTTCATGGACTTAATTGAAATTCATGCGTGACATATCCGGTCTTTCATCTCATCACTTCATATATAAAGCGAATAAGCTTAGGCTTTTGGTTATTTTTTTTCATAGAAAAACTTTTCTCATACTTTTCTTTTCTTCTTCTTCTTCTTCTTCTTTGGTTATTAACTTACATTTACAAAGCGGTCGGCTGAGATCGACGAGATTTAATGGTAAATCCACATGAAAGTCATGTACAATTGAACGAAGTACTTCATCGCAAAAAAAATTGAATAATAATAATGCCACAATAAAGCTCACTAAATAAAATTTAAAAACATTGAATAATAGAAAACTCAGAAGAAATTAATATCAATAGCATAACGGTCAAAATATTTCTATTCGATGTCAATTAAATGAGTTAATTATTATTTTTTTTAACTGTCAATTAATCTACATAGCGAAGTTAATGACATTAGTGTTAAATAACGTTTTGCTGCTAATTTTAGTAGCTACTGAAAACATCAAAAAGAATTTTCTTATTATTGATGAATAACAAATTTGTCGGTTCAACAGACATCGCATAAAGACATTTAATTATTTATCATATTACTACTTATGCTTTATCAAAAAGAAAAACATCTTTTACTTGTTATAAGATATTCATTAGATGAATTGCGACGAATTTTTGTTGAGGAAAACACTTTTATTGAAAGTAAAGAACCAATCATACCTGATTAAATAATTATCGATTTAGTACAATTGTAAAAATTAAATAGAATAATATCTTACCGACAATAACAAGAATAATACTTGAATAGAATCGAAATAATTGACAACCATGTTTGAATTGCACAGCAAAATTATCAGCCTCACCTGGTTTAATTAGTGCACTTGGTGTACTTATTGTTGTATTCATACTTCATATCATTAATTTTGCTTTACACTATTAAATAATTCTACTCAGTCTGAAGAAATGTATATATTTGGCAATTTCATGTTTTGTTTACTGTGTCTAATCTAATGGCACATGCATATTCTCTAAGTGTCTTTTCTAGAGACAACATGAAATTTGGCGAGCGCCAGATGTAGCCATTCTTGTTCTAGCTGTTTCTCAAAGTTATTTTAAAAAAAGAAAGACGAAACATTTGTATCATGATGATTGTTTCGTATCACAACTATGAGATTTTGTACGAACTCTTATTTTCAATTGTAACGATGAAATAATCAGATTGATAAGAGAAAGAAAGTGAGAAAAGAGCCGCTGTCTCAAGAATATGAAGAAACGTCGTTCATTCAATTAGTCTTTTTTATATAGAACATTGCCAGCAGACAAATTCATATTGAATGTTGTTTTTATTATAAATTACTTTGACACTTGAGCAAAACATTCTGATCATTGACTTATGAGATACAACATTCATCGATTATGGCAATCGACTTATTAAATTCGACGAAAATCCAATGGGATTCTTTATTTGATTTTATAAACTCTCTTTCTGTGTATTCGGCCTACATTTTTTTGCTTAACGAATTATCAGAAAATACGGACACAACTTTTTTTCTTCCACTATATTTTACAAGGATCGAAACTAGATTAAATTTCTTTTATCAAGGCATATAATATATTCCCGAACTTACGAGATTATTTTCGCTGCGACAAAAATTGAATCAAACGGATAGACAAGATTTTGTATTCACCTAGACAAATCTGTGAAACAAACAAATGTGTTTTATTTTGTCTACAGTATTTTCCTAATTATCTATTAATATATATTATTTCTGAAGTTGGGAGAACACCAATTGCAGACTTCCGTTTTGTAAATTATATAGATATTCTTATTGTTATCGAAAATTAGCCAATCAGTAACAAAAAAAAACAACAACTATTAGCAATATCATTATTATCTTACCTGCATGACTTCATTTTGAATATGTTAAATAATAGCGTGAAAAATACCAGGAATCAATTACGATAATAAAATACGGAATTATCTAAAATTAAAATTCTTAGATAAAATTTTTGTTGCTAAGAAAAACTTTTTATTTTAATATCTCTGAATGCACTGCTGCTCCTTTTTTATTTTTTGTATAATACGCTTGAATAAACCATCGATGTCTTATTTAAAACAACGGCAAAATTAAATCTTATTATGAATATCCGCCGATTCTCAAATAGCAGTAACTTGAATAATTATGTGAACAAAAATGAATGTTCGGTTGTAGATCCTTGAACCAACAACTTCAAAGTGTCAAGTTGTAGGAGATACGGCGAGTATCTAATCAAACAGCATATTATTAGTGAGAGAGAAGAGGAAAAAACCGAAGAAAAAGAAAAGAAATATGCCATGCAACATTATCTGAGTCGGGAAAGAAAAAAGAAATTCATTTTAAATATAAGACAAGAGTTTTTTTAGATGATGATGATGATGACACTAAAGCTAATAAGTTTTCCGTGGTTTAAGTCTATTTTCAAATTAACTGTATGTTACTTAAACAAAAAAAAAACGAAGGAAGCTACCAATACAATAAGACGCGCAGTAAAATAATTATAATCGTAGAAACAAGTACGTCATTCTACGTTTTTTTAGCTTATTCTGTCAAATTAAAGAATTCACCTTCTTGCATGCATTGTATTAAACTTGAATGTACTTGAATGCCTGAACAAAAGAAAGTACTATTAGCACTGTGGTCCTAGCCAACTATTTATATATAATAATGACTAATAGTGTATTCATTATAATACCTTTTTTTTTATAAACAAAATGGTTAGATAAAGCGTGACTGGCGAGAAAAATTCGAGCTTACCGTAACAAATTTAATGAGAAAGTGCGTAGAAACTCGTTATTAGCGAGAGAAAATTTCAAACCACATCGAAAAAGGAAAACATGAACTACTCTAATTGTCAGTTAAAGTAATTGATATACAATTAATAAAAATGCTATTTCCGCAAAAGGTTTTTTTTGCGGCGGGGTAGGGGGGATTTCAATTCATTTAATAGCCTAAACACATTTTCCCAATTACTCCTGAATATTCTACGTCAATGCAAAGTACATTTCTAAATGCGAAACTAGACGGTAAAAGGTTTGCTGTATCTAAAATCCACTTCTAGTTCACTAAAGTTGCTTTCTTAGTGAAGCGAAAATTTTTAATGCCATAATAAATATTTATTAGTATAGTGCTCCTATCCATGCAATAAGATCACCAAGGATCTTACCTCCTGGATGCACATTTCTCACTCTCTCTATATAGTATATCTACATGTATACTAGCTTCTCATNGCCAAAGAAAGTCCAAATCGGCTGAAATTTTCAGGATATGTTGGGACTATAGCGGGTAGTCTACGATAAAAATTTCAGCCAGAAATATGCAAATTTAAGGGAGTTATAAAGTGAACACTGGTTAAAAATGACCCATTTTCCATCCAATTTCTCATGGCTTCAACTATGTTTTTTCAAAATTTTTTTTACCATTCGATAGAGCATGCAAAGATGCATGGCATGACGTGCTCGAATTTTTAAAAAGTCCTTTCTGTATGCCGAAAAAGTTTCCAGAATTCAAATTCCTTGAAAAACGCCTAAAAAACTGCAAGTAAATTTTGTAGGCGATCTTTTTTGGGCATAAAAAAAAACTTTCTCAAAAATCAGAGCACGTCACGCCCTGTGTTTGCATACTTAATCAAGTGGTAAAAAGAAAAATTCGAAAAAACATAGTTGAAAGCATGAGAAATTGGATGGAAAATGGAAAAACATGATTTTGAGAAAAGCATGATTTTGAGAAAAACATAAAAACATTTTTTCGAAGTTTTTGCTGCTTTTTTAAATTTTCTGCAATTTTCACGCGTTTTTTGAGGAAACTGACCTAACTTTTAATTCTGCACACGCTGAGCGCTTAATTAATTAATTAAGCAGTCATTAGAGATCAAAGACCTAATTATACTGCCGTTTTTGACATAGAGGACCTCTCAAAGATCACTAAAAATTTCGGTCAAAAAATGTTCTTTGGAAAAAAAAACTATAGTGATTCTGAAAGAGCAGAACATGGACTATCACCCCATGGTGTTATCTCAATTTTCTATTTTTTGACAAAAAGCGACTTTTTTGAGGGGGGGGGGCGGGCCGTAATAACATAAAAATAAAAAAGTTACAATGTGTAGTGCATTATGTAATAAACTAAATGATTTATTTAAGAAAAAAAACAAGAAAATAAATACTTAGAAATGTATCTGTTTTGCCGTCGAACCGATAGGAACAATACTACTCATCGTTTCTAAGAAGAAGAAAAAGAAAGAGAAAAAAGAAAAAAGAAGTCTAATAGACCTAATGTTATCTTTCGATGATAATTAATATAATGAAGAATTGGGTCACAAAATGTTTTATTGATGCAAAGGAAAATGATGGTTTCGATAAGATTAAACAATCGGAAGCATTATTTTACTCTTACAATATATCGACATGATGAGCGTACTCGTGTTCAGTGAACTTTAATTAAGGATTTTAATCTATTTGCATTTGCATGGAACTCCGGGCAATATGAGTGCTAGAGATAAAATGAGAGATGAATAGTAATGCGAGGCTTTTGATGCCAAAGAAACATGAATCGATTCTTTTGTATGTAATAGAGAGAGAGAGAGAGAGAGAGAGAGAAAATTTACGTGAATCAACCTGATATTTATCATTTAAATTTATGATTTCAGACACATGTTAATGTTAGACCAGGAGAGAGAAAAAAAAGAAAAGGTAGGATTAATAGTAGAACACCGTATTGACTAAAATTGAATGCTTACTATTATTCAATGTTCTCTTTTTACCGGTGCACACATTCATAAGACCAACTTAGGCTTTTCCCTCCTTCTTCTTCTTCTTCTTCTTCTTGTTTTAAGTGTATTCATTGGTAATGACGAATAGTTTATATGTTGAAATCGTCTAAAGAAGTCGACGAACGAACCAGAAAATACTTGTCAATTTTTATTCTCATATTTCTTCAATCAACATTTCTCTTGCCTGTCTAATTTTCTTTTGATAGATCTAGTAGTCATTTAGCATCACTTGCGCAGTTTCTTCGTCGCTTTTTTCCTTTTTTTTCTTGTCTTCGTCATTTCCTTTTACTCTATGTGCTTGAGTACCACTATGACTACATATATGCTCGAAATAGAGCGGCTGCTGTTGCATTAAGGACGAAAAGAACTTTAGTTAAATTACATTGGCTATTTTTTATCTTGAAACAGTCGACAGATCGAATAGTCATAGTGAAAGCGTTCATCTTTTTTTACTAATTCTCTAGTCATGCAACAATCAATAGGATATATAGAAAAATCAGTGAACTCTAAGGCAGATATTATTATTTGTCGAAAATTCTTCACTGGTTAATCTCTATCTGTATCGTATTACTACAAAGACTACATGCATCAATAATTTAAAGACAAGACGACATTTTTCAGATCTAACAAAGAAAAAATAATATTCTCTCTCACTCTATTCTTTGTATTATTTTTCTTAATATTTCTTCTTTCTAATATAATAGTTCTATCTCACATCTTCAATGATATTATAATAATCAGGATAATGGAAAACGATGGCGAAGAAACACTCGACCGCTTTTTTTCTCTTCAAACAAAAGGCACAAGAAAGCGCGACCACCGCAAAACAAGCACACTTATAAAAAACACACACACACGCACATATATAGATATATATATTAGTTTGTTTCAAGCATAAACAGTTGCCGTTGGTGGTCGTTTTGATAATGACATTCTATTTACATTAAGATTTTCTGAAATCAAATTTGGATTAATAAAGCAACGATGCGCCTGTTTCGATGATGGATTATGAGGTAAGTCTGTTGCAGGCTGTGGAATTTGAAATTTATCCATGGGAATCGCTTGATAGTGTTTAATATGCGACGATGAACTAAGCGAAAGAAAAATCTAGTATGGAACGAACAGAACCCTCGATGACTTACGCTAAAGTTTGATTATATTTTTCTAGTTTGGCTGAATCGATGTTATCTAGAACATTATAGCGTTGATCTTTAATTAAATATAATCGTCCATCAATAAAATATTTGCTAAGATTGGCCGATTTATCTTCAAGATTTAATTTAGGATCATATTTTAAGATCACACCATCGATTTCTAGAGATAATTTTGGTTTTTGTGGTGTTGATGTTACCGCAATTAACGGTCCATTTGGTCTTCCATGGCTATGATGATATCGTCGATGACAATGATGATGTTTAGGTGGTTTTATTAATGCTGAATTTGCTCGTACAACAGGTTTTTTTTCAACATTTTTAACGGCAATTAAAGCCGGACGATGAACATGATGTGGATTGAGTAGAACAGCATTGACATCAAGAGATTTACGAGCTGAAGTTACTGAAGCTTCATCACCACCGCCACACCAACTTGCAGATTTTTGATAGACATAAACTGGTGAAGTCGAAGCAGATGAAGGTTTAGCTTGTGTATAGACAATTTGTATTGGTTGTTCTTGTTGTACGGATGTTTGCTCAGTTTGGTCACCATAAACTCGCTTTAAAATCTGATGAAGTTCTTCATCCGATAAGTTCGCATTAACTTTTGAACGTGACGCATGAGCTGATTTAATTTCTCGACGCTGTTGTTTATTGTCGCTTGGCATACTTGTATTAAGACGCGCTTTGGCAGATGAAGCAGGATTTTTGCTTGATGAAGATGGGGATGATGGCAGAATTTCATTAGTTGCTGCAACTGGAATAACAACATTGATAAAACGCGGCTCTGGAATAGTAAGAACAGGAGCAGTAGGAAGTGAACGACTGACTGGAGCACTCTTCAATCGGCGAGATGTTTCTTGGTGTATTGACACTGAAGAGAAAATAGCAACTTGTTTTAGGGTATATAATTTTGATCACGCATCAAAGCGGAAACGGATACAAACATGAAAGACTATTCTATGATAATTCTGCAAGTACATTTTAAAATTTCTAACTTTTGTTTTTGTAAACTATTTATAAAGCATTATGTCTCTCTCTCTCTCTTCTAGAGTAGCTAGCAACACCTTGTTGAAATATGTCTTTTCATTCACGCGAAACAAATAACTAGTGGCATTTCTTTTGAAATCATCGTCTAAATATATTTTTGTTTTTCTATGATTTATTACACAACTGCCCGCGACATCTTTGTCTTGTTCCTTTTTGTTGAGATATGTTACACGATAATGTTATACTAATAAATTTTCATATTCATATTATGCACATCTATTTGACAAAAATTATAATAATTTTTTTTGTCTATTTGAAGTAAAAATGACAATACTATAAATTCATCATTAGTTTTTCATCGGAATCAACTGAATTCCCTAATGATATGTGTTGCAAATGGAATAAATTAGTTTAGTGATAATCTAGACTATTTTACGTACTTCCACTTGAATTGGATGAGAAATTTGATGTAGCCGGTCGATGTTTTGTTTCGTAATGTAAAGCCCACGGTGGACTTAGTGCTTCATTGATTGTTTCTATTGAATGATAGGGCCGATTGCTTGACGCTACACTTTGCGATCGTCGAACAAACTCAACACCCGTTTTGTTGTTGTCGTCACAAGTATTTGTTACTATAACAATAAGATGAATAAAATGAAAAATAAAACAAAATCGACTTTTTTCTTTTATTCCACTTTTTTTTGTTTATTTTTGTCTGTCTATGGTCTAATGCTGCTATTATTTTTCAACATCTTTATTTTTCTTACATGCGTGTTTCGATGATTTTTGTTGTAGTAGATTTGTATCGATGCCATTATGTATATAAATATCGCGTGGTTCTAATGATACTACGCTTTCTATGTCAGTTGATACTTCCGGATACCAAGCGTAAAGACATTCACGACTTGGTTGATTTCGTGACTTCGATACGAGCATTGCTGATCGTATAATCATTTTAATCTGCTATGATGAAATAGAAACTGTCTAGAAATGCCTGAAGGTCACATTACGTTAAAAATTTTTTCTCTCTCCTTCTTTCATTTGTTGTTGGCAACAAAAAAATTTGAAATAGACAAACAAGTTTACACATGTGACCAGCGCTGTTATAAAGGTAGCTGTTCATTTCTCGCTGTCGTCGACAACCTTTTTCTCGCTTGACGACAATGAAATTAATGGAGAAAATATTTTAGAAAAAAAAAAGAATTTTTCTTTCATTCTTAACCGCACCATAAAGAAAAATAGTATAATGTCATTATGAATAATGAAATAAAAAGGATGAATTTTAATTTAGATACAAACAGCGAAAGAATCGAATTTTATACGTTGTGAAAGATACATGATTCATATTTATGAGAGCAAATATTTGAATAAACTTGGGTTTTTGATTCAATCCATTCAATTTATTAAGATAAATAGGAAGAATATTTGAAGTTCGTTCTTTGCGTATCACTGATTCTCATCGGTAAGATGATATAACATCTTTATATTGAAATGTATGTAAGTTTTACAGTAGAACAAAAAAAAACCAAATATCTAATTACATGAAATCTACAGAAGAACTGAAGTTCAATTGTTGATACCAAAAATAGTTGACGGTGTCAATTATACGCAGTCACGCTGTCTGGTCATGGGTAATGTAAATGGAAGTTACAACAAGTTTGTCACGTTATGATGATGGCACCTGCCGTTGACAAGATTATTGCTTGACTTTACGGTTTATTAAAAACAACATCAGAGAAAATAATGAATAGTTTCTGTTTGTTTTCATCTAAAAAAGGAAAAAATCTAAACACAAACGACTAAATCACAATCATCAATGTTTTTTTTTATTGATCGAAGTCGTATATTAGAGTAAAGGAAGCCTATCGAATTCTTTTCAATACAAAGAAGAAAACCTTTATTCATTTATCAACTGCGGCAGATCTAAATAAAAGTAACCGAGAAATTCTCAGGCATAAGTGTGTTGACTCTTTGAAAATGAGAAGTAAGTTATCGAATAACTTCCCATTATCGAGAAAAAGAGCTGATCATTATGAGACTGAGTAGGACTTTTTTTTTATATAGGGAACTTTTTTTGTATTAAATTGAAGAAGGCCATTTTCTTATTCATTGAGTTCTTTAGATTTATTATGAAAAGATTTTGTTACTGTTGGGGTTTTTCTTTTGCCATAGAAAGCAAAATAACTCATTATTCAACAGTAAAAATAGAGCGACATGACTTAATCGGAATGGCATATTTGGATCTTTCACGAATCTTAATTATAATTATTTTAAACTATTTCCTTGAAAGCACTAGACTATTTTATTTTCACGTACTATCAGTTCTTTTTCTTAATCACTCTTACTAGCCAAGTACATAATTCCCTGTTCTTGCATATTTCTTTAATCAATTCAACTTCCATTGTATGATGATTAATATGCATGGTAGCATAAAATAACAAGTGAATGACGAGCTTCATTCTTTGTATGTTATACAAATAACAAAATACATTAGTTTAAAACCCATTTTCTCCTGCACGTCGCCTGCTAGCTCAAGTACTGTGTTACGAATCGGTTGTGCGTGCTCGTTATTAATAGCTCACGGGAGGTCTACACCAAACCTAGAAAATAAAGCAAACTCAAAACGCCCACATCTGTCGATAGCAGAGTAAAATCGTTTTAACTAATTTATTTCCTCGTGTCTCTAGTGACATACTGCTTCTGTAGATATATAATTTTCCAACATGTATGCAAAATCTAATTTGTAGAATTAAGAATGCTAGACAGCAATGCTTAATTAAGCAAGCTTGGGCGAAAGATAAATATGTCTTTGGGGTGTTCGCTTTTATTCTAATGTAATTCTTAATGAAGTTGCCACAAAAATAATTTCGAATATATTTTCTTGTTTTCTGATAGTTGCTTAATGTTATACTGGAAATAATTCGCTAATCTGAATAGTGGATTCTTTCATTTATAAAACACATGCGTTCGTCTGCCTGTGCTTATTATTAGATTTTGCATCGAATAATATGTTCCTTAGAACAGCATAGAGGTTTAATTACATCGTTCGGTGGTCTTTAAAGTAAACTCTCAGCAGCTCATAAAAAAAGAATATAGTCTGAAACTATTTAATTATTGAAATAGATTCTTTCGTTTGAGTCCTGAAAATAACTTGAAACAGCTTACAAGAATTTCATCAATTTATATTTAAAGTTTTACCGTAAAGGCTTTGTGCTATGAACAGCAAGATCTTGTTTATGATTTATTAAAATTACTGTTTATATACTGTTCTACGTTGAAAATATTCAAAATATTCAAGAAGATTCAATGGCAATTCTACGTCAAAAGTTTTTCGAGAATAAAAATTGAGATAAAATTAGTGTTCGTTCATTTATTTATAGTGTGAATTTTCTGATTTTAGACTACGGATGTACAGCTCACGTTCGTGAGCGAGAGCGTTTGTATGCCATCAAATACATAATCGATTCTGATCATTTTTATTTAGTCTATTCCTCGAAGAGCTGCATTCACACTATTCGTGCCTGTGGTACCTCTCAAGTATCATGAATAGAACTTTTTTTTGTTGACGAGCCAAAATCGTAAGAGTTTCAAGATTTAGGAGCGTTGATGACAAATATTATCGTGAGAACTCTCATAAAGCTTTTCTTCGTGAAATAGCTCTAATCACTATTTGCACCGCATTCCTGATTATTTGACCGTCCTAGCATAATTATTCACTCGAACTCAGTGAAAAACACCATTTCTAACTCAGAATTTTGTGTTCTATGCAAATATAAACCTTTTACAATCACAAACTGTAACATTTGCAAAGGACCTAGCGATCCAACAGCAGATATTATCATTTTCTCTAACGTATCGAATTGTGTACCAATGAACGTTTCAGAAGTCGGTCCTATTGCAACGTAAGACTCGAATCATCAGTGCAATTTGTCAAGGTCTTTCAATTGGTCGTCGCAAGAAGGTAGAAGAACAGATGTAACACGGTGAGAAGTAAAAAATATAGAAAGCATTTGTCATCAGCAAAAACATTTTGGTCGAAAAAAGATCACCTAAAATAAATATTACTGAATTAGAGAGCATCAATATAAACATTCGGATCTCTTGTAAATTAGCTGTTTGATGGATTTTGGCTAGAAGATCATCATCTAAATGATGTGAATATCGTGGAAGAGCACGTTCAACGAAATACATTTAACTCAGACGTATCTCTGTTGAGTTTGGCTATATTGGTATAGTTTTCTGCGTCAAACTAGTGTTTTGAAAACACAATACGCGGACGGAATGCTCTATTTTCTATCTTCTCTTGATTGAAAACTTGAGAGACAAAGAAAACAGGTACCGCTACGTCAAACGTTGAAACCTGTGATATTATTTTCAGTTTGTACTATATTTATCTAGGTTTTTGTGAGTTTGAAGGTGAGGAGGAACATGCCAGCGTTTCGAATTGGCAAAGTAATGATTTCTTTGTAATATTCTGTCATTAGGAAGCCTTATTCACGCAGAAAGAACGTAGGAGAACATGAATCATATTAGGAGATGACATCATATGATTATATACGTGATAGAAACTAAGGTAATTTCTTGGTTCACGCCAATTGGTTAGCACTGCAAACTATGATCCTATGTGATAGTCATCATTATTGTTATTTTTTGTTGTCTTTCTGGTGTCTCATATGAGCCATGACTTCGGAATTCACTAGCAGTAAACTGATCGCTGAAATATCGCTAGCACTTTACACAGCGTACGGAAATTTTTATCGGAAGCTGGAACTAAACTTGTTCTCCATCTACCATACATTGAAAATTATTAGGATCGTTACCCTTAAGAGAAGAGAATAACGAGGAAAAGCAATGAGCATAATGATATATTTTATCTATGCGATTTGAAGTAGCTTTGAAATATTGCATCAAAATGAGACATTTACTATTCATATCAATATACAACATTCATGCCCAGATATTTTTAATTTTGGTGGAAATATTATGTATTTCTTTTAATTTAAACGATCTTTTTAATGGTTGGGGAAAGAGACACAACCCATTGTCGAATGTGATTTGATGAAATTGAACGGGGCCTCTTATGATATCTCCATGCTTTTCTTCATCATGTAGAATCTCACATTTTCTTCACCTTTTGCTCGCAATCAGACAACAGTTACAGATGAATTCTTGCAATTCTCAAATTTATTCCGTTGGTAATATGATCTTTTCTTGTCCAAATCTATTATGCAAGAGTTCAAATAATATATTTTTGCACTTGCTTGTTCTCTAAGAGCAATTCACCACTAACTCACTGTACAGCTTATATCAGACGGGATAACAGTTGAGGATCTCACCCACTTCCTTCCATATTCGCTCTGATTTATGTAAAACTAGCATCATCAACTAATAGAGACATAACAAGGTCGCTCAGAATCTAAGGCTTTCTTTCTATAAAAGCCCATCATCATTGAATCAATTATAGAAATACTCACAGAATGATTTAAATAAACCTGAATATTCCAGTATTTTAGATTTTTCCCTCTGTTATACCTGATTTTATCTTTTCGCGACTGTCAATCAATAGCGCTTGATGAGCGAAATATACACCCCGAGTTTCACATCGCATAAGGACTAATTTCACGCTAAAAATCAAACATATAGAGATAAATCTAGTAGGAAAAGGGCTTCTTTCACTAGAAGTTGGAGTCCTCGACCTTCTCTACATCATTTTAATTATTTGTAAAGCTACCAATCGATAGACCTTGAAAAATTACACGTATGGTCCGAATTCTACGCTTCAATAACAGTGACTTCATAAACCATCATAGGGACTAAATTCTATTTCTTAAAGAAAAGATGAATTTTTGCTTGGAGATCACTAATTTTGTTTCCAAACACTACAGTGTAGGGTTATAAAAAGTTTAGATTCGTATAGGGCGCAAAATTATGAATTAGAAAATGTGTTTTCCATTGAATTTGATCGAATTAGAATGTTTGGAGAGCCAAAATAATGAGGAATGAGTTCAAAAAGTCATTAGAGATATTTCAAGAATGAATGTTTTTTAGAGGTCTGATGATAATATTCGTCATCCGCACCACTAAATATTCAAACTTATATAATTCTGGCTGATTAATAAAATAACATTGCATTCACGATACCTGGCGGGTGGCACCACAGGCACGAAAAGTGTGAATGCAGCTTTTCGAGGAATAGACCAAATAAAAATGATCAGAATCGATTATGTATTCGATGGCATACAAACGCTCTCGCTCATAAGCATGAGCAGTACACCCCTATTGTAGACTACTTAATTAAATCATTCAATTCACAATATTGACTATAGTCGGGTTAACATTATAATCTAGTCATTAAATCGACGAGCTTGAAATATAGGTTGCCTTTAATATGAGCGTTTTCTAATAATTTCCTTTAGATCAATTGAATATGAAAGTTCTAATAACAAGACACCTTATCTCTTCCTGGCAACGAATAATCGACATCACTTGAAAATACTCTTCTCACACAGTTATGCAATCCAGTTCTCCTTGAGTAATCCAATCGATAAATATGAATAAAAAGCAACCTTGTAATGCAAACCATTGGCTTATTTAAAGCTCAGATATTCGTTACAAAATAGATATAAAGACTGACAGGAACATTTAACAATAGCCGAGACAAAATAACTCCAAGGTCTTGATATTTGAGCCACACAATTGAAACGTTTTCTTCACCGTGAGATCATATTTCACTTTTCGAGACAATAAATTGAAGTCGAAAGTGAAGTAAACGAATAGATGATCATTCTTCAATATTCAGAATACTTTCGATAAGTTAACTTTACAAAAAAAGCAAACTATTCCACATTGAATTTCAACACCGGACCGAACACTTGCGTTTATCATGTTTCAACACAACCAGATTGAACTTTTGATATTGATCGTTTGTGGATATACTATTTCGCCAATGTGGACTTGTTCGATTACGACAAAAACGAAAACTACTGAATTGATTTCTAACGCTCATACAATCGTTCGCGCAAGAGTAATCGGCTATGAAAATCCTCCAGCTGAACCAAATCATCGATACATGGGTATCCCAGAATCAGTTATCAAATTCGAAATCGAAGAACAGATCAAAGGGGCTGAAATCCTCCCAAATATACTTTGGGTCAATGGATATTTGAGCAACAACGACGATTATAATGATCATCCTCCACCATACCGTCGTGTTCGACCCAATGGACGCACTGGAAGTTGTATTGCAAATACCTATAAACAGGGAGCTGAATATTTACTATTTTTAAACGATAGATACTCGCCTTATTGGGATGCCTTGACGCCAGTGAATGAACAACTTCATTCGCCATCGTCTGAAGACCGATGGTTACGATGGGTAAAGAAGCAAGTCGTTTCTAGCAGTTCGAACAGAGTTCATCCTTCATTGTTTTGAGTGAAGTATTGCATTACTTAAAATCAATTTTGTCTTGTTATAGACGAACATGAAACGAATTTTCAAAACCTTTTTTAATTTGATTTTAATGATCGATGTTTTTTCATATTTTTCAAAATAAAGTACAATTTAGAGCTTTGGGTTTTCAACTTTTAATTCCTTGAAAATTCATTCATTCATTCATATCAAGCGATATTGAATCGCATCTAGAATTACTATAGTCTCATTTTCATCGATGCAAATATATGATATTTGTTCAGGAATTAAAAAGTTTACATGAGATATAGACTTTAGCTTCATTACTAAATATAATATTTTCAGATTTGTTAGTACCAATAAAACATGAGACTATTCATAATGATAATATATTCATTCAGCGTCTCAAAAAACATTAACTTGTAATAAGTACGTGTGAACTCAATATTTACAATCGAACTTTTGATCGTGACTGGATGTTTGCCAGTCTAACATGTTCGCGCTTCTATTTCGAAATCATTAAAATCGTGGAAGTCGATCCATTTGAGTAAACTACACTAATTTCAATGCCGTAAATATCAGTAGAAATAAACATAGCGCGCCCTTGAAAATATTTTGGTACGCGACTTTATATGTGATTATGAGAAATTTTCTCTTACCTTCTGTCAGACCCTAGATAATATATACAAGCTTTTCGGGCATAGAATAACACAAAAGTACGTAGTTGAAGTAGTTTTGGCATACGCAATCTTCCTCGAACAGATCCCGATAAATTGTGCTGACGTCTGCTATTGTAAAGATACTATATCATGAAAACTTGGCAGGCGAAAATCAGCATGATGATGTTCTATTCACCAATGACACTGCATTCTTATCCTCCTCTTGCTCTCTTTGATATAAATATAGATGTGCAATAGTCTCATCATATTTCAATAGCAAACTGCATTATCAATATGCATATGATTTACTTTCTCATCGCTATTTTCGGTGTATCTGAACCTGTCGGTATTTATCGAATTGCTGATGCTTGAATTTCGTTCAAGAGCGCCTACAACAAACGATACGATAATGTCACAGAGATGCCAAATGAAAACACAACGGATAGAAAACTCGTTCGAACCAATCAAATTGCGGCTTATTTGAATAAAGCAGAAGCAATCGAAATATTACCAGCGATCGATTAGCTTGCACATAGATGAACATGCCCAATATATAGTTTTATTTATAAGAATATTTATTTACTACTAGAAATGAATTATTTTGAAAATTTCATTTATCTTTGTTTATTCAAAGAGGTATTTGATGCTCTAACAAACAGGATCTGGCAATTATAAAGTTCATTTGCCAGAACATCAGATCATTGATCAGTACGATACATGTAGATCTTCGTATAATTGACATTAACCCATTAGAAGTGTTACGATGGCATTGTTCGTGTTATTAACTAATAGGACTCGAACTATTTCGATCAAATAGAGCGGCTACCATGAAAATAGTACATCGAAAATGTTAGCTGCTCTATCTGGAGCAAGTTACTCGAAAGTCAACCTGTTGACCAGATATATGATGCACTCACCAATCGAAGTAATAAAGATTTTTTTCATCGTAGTTTAATGGCGCTCGTGGAGGTTCATTCGAAAACGTATGCTGCTCGTGACATAGTTTGTTTTAAGTCAACACATATGTTTTTTTATGCAAGATGCCGAGCTCTTTAAAGCAGCGTTTCTCATAGAAATCTGAAATAAAATGTTTTTGTACACGTTGTTTATGTGAAAAACGTGTATCTTCACCCTTTGATTCTTTAAACAGAGTGCATCAAAATGTAAATAAACGAAAAGAGCTCATATAATCTAGAAAGATAATAAGAAAAATTCTTTTTTTATCTGTTTCATAGAGAAAGAAAGTCACATAGATTATAAACAACCAAACAAGAACATTACTAGGCGTTGCTATTTTTTTTATCCAATATTATCACATTTAGTTGAATACTTTTCATTCATAGCATGTACTGTTTTTGATGAATTAATAAATACATTTTTAGGTAGAATTTCGATCTCACAATGTGAATCTGTTGATACAGCAAGTGATGATGACGATGGCAGTAATTGAATTCCGTCCAAGCAAACAAAGATTTGGCGAAATGCGTTTTCGTGACCTAAAATCAAAGTGTTATTTTCTTTTTCAAAGTGTCAGCCTTACATTTTTGTTTTCTGAGCAACGTGTAAATCAGAGTGTATTTCGGAAACAGCAGGTGTTCCGGGCATTTTGCTCTTGCTGTGTACACTTGCTGTTAGAAACACTGCTTTAAAGCTACGATGAGAAATTTACACATAATTCTTTTATGATTTTGATTGGTGAATAACTCATATAGAGGTTCAATATATTAAAGTCCGAATATTTTGGTACAAACACAGCAATAACAGCTAATATTTAAGATATGTTACTGTAGCAAGGAGAGCTGTGTCTTTAACTAATAATGCGAATACATTATGCTTCATATTTTGAATAAGGCATGGATTATATTCATAGCGTTTCATTCTTTTTCTAAAGAGAAACACTATCGGAACGTTTGACAATGAATCAATATCATTCTGGTCCAGGTCATTTCATTCTATGCGGAACTCCTACATTTTGATGATAATCAATACTATTGAGCATGAAAATTTTCCGTTGCACAAAACCTAATTTTAAACGATATACTTTCCCATTCGGTCTTACGTTTAGTTGGTCATTTCAGCTATGACAATATTTTTTTGTGATTTCTATTCACACAAGAAGATGAAAAAATATGTTTCTTTATTTGAAAGTTTCATTTATTTATATTTCTCAATAGAAGCACATGGCCGCAGCAACTGCTGAGAGAACTGTCTGTGGCAAGTGCAGCAAAGCAAAATGAATATCAAAATGTGAAGGTTGCTCTCAAATCTTTTGCTATAATGATTTCATTGAGCATCGCCACGATTTGAATAGACAGTTAGATGAAATTGTAATTAATCATGATATTTTCCAGCAAGATCTAACTGAACACAAAGTAGAACCAAAAAATAAGGCTTTACACCAACAAATTAATGATTGGGAATGTGATGCAATTGAAAAAATTCGACAAACGGCAGAGGAAGCAAGACAAATTTTAGTGAAACGCAGCAATGACAATACAATTTGTATTGAAACTAAGTTTAGTAAATTAACTGGTCAATTGAGACGTGGTCGTCAAGAAAATGATTTTGAAGAAACAGATTTATCTCAATGGAAAAGACAACTCATTCAGTTAACTGAGGAAATTAACAATGCATCAAATATTGCTATTCGACAAGCTTCAACAACGCTTGTGAATAAAATTTCTGTTGAAATATTAACTTGTAAGTATATTGATAGAATCGGATATTTTTCTCAAAAATGTTATTCACGAAATAAGTTCTTTCTTGAAACAAATTCAACTGTATAGATCTGCATAAACCATTACTTATGAAAAAGTAAACCCATGGCCAACAGTGTAATCGTTAAATCTCGTATAGCATGAATCTTACGAAAACATCCTCATTGGATGAGTTTTTTCAGCCATAATATTATGTCTACTTCATTCAAAGTGACTGTTTGTAATGAAGCATATTGACCTAGAAAATTAATTTAATGTATGTTGAATTTTAACCAGTCAAATGATGATTTTTGATGTTTACTAAGTGTCGTTTTTTTTGATGAAATAATGCAAATAAAACTTATCTCGAAGTTGCGTAGAAATAAAATCACGCCTAAGTCAAGGTACTTGATTGTAATACAAGTCCTATTGTTTGGCCTTCGAATAACGAAACAACTTTTTTAGTGAACAAAGCAATGTTTTTAAAGTTGATCTTTTAGAAAAAGAATTTATTCTTAACTTCATAACCTTTTGTTACTTTCTAGTACGATTGCATATGCCGAAGATTAATGCGAATGCTGAGTGATTACAGAACGGTATCACAGTTACTGGAGGCAATCAAAAAGGGGGCGAACTAAATCAACTCTATTTTCCATGGGGTATTTGTGTTGATGACGATGAACAAGCGATGTATATTGCTAATACGTTTAATCATCGTATTGTCGAGTGCTAGCTGGTGGAAATAGTAGTGGAAATCGCAAGGACCAACTGAATGAACCAACAAATTTGCTTCTCGATAAAGAGAAAGATGCTTTGATTATCTACGATCAAGGAAACAGACGAGTGATGCGATGGCCTCGTCGAAATGGTACCGAATGAGGGATTATCATAGAAAACGTTCTCTGCACAGGAATAGCTATGAATGAAGATAAATATCTATACGTCTCAGACTGCGAGAGAAATGAAGTAAAAAGCTGGCTAGTTGAGTGAAAAAAGTGGAACAATTGTAGCCGGTGGTCGAGGACAAGATAGTGGTTTAAATCAATTCAATAGTCCTAGTTGCATCTTCGTCAATCAAGATTATTCAGTATACATATCCGACGAGAAAAACCATCGTGTAATGAAGTGGATAAAAGATGCAACACAAGGAATTATCGTTGCTGGTGGCCAAGGCGAAGGAAACGATCTAGCTCGATTGTCTTGTCCTCGTGGAGTGATAGTTGATCCTTTCGGCACTGTCTATGTGGCAGACACAAAGAACAATCGAATCGTGCGTTGGTCGAAAGAGGCGGAAGACGGTGCTGTGGTTGATGGTGGAAATAATCAAGGAAGTCAACAAGCCCAACTATATTCTCCTCAAGGCCTATCATTTGATCAACAAGGTAATCTTTATGTTACCGATCGTCTTAACAATCGAATACAAAAATTTGATATTGTCCCAAACTCCAGTTCGCAGTGAAACTGGCAAACTTTGAATGAACCATCCTGATTCTTTTTCATTATAGTTTTATTGTAAAATAAATTGAAAAAACTGTTGCGAATCAGAATTTCAATCTGAAAATAGCAATCATAATCTGAAAGCATAGTTTTAGACGTCATAACTTTCCTAGTTGTTAGAAGGTACAGTAACCAGCATCTAAACTTTTCAAGGGCAGTTATCAACAAGTTTAAGATCAAACTTTCGATAACTTTTTTCGTTCAGCTTCTCGCGAGATACCTTCAGTATAGGAAAAATATGTTGACTGCTCGAAATGATTTCAAAACATTCCAATATACTTTTTGAAGATTGTAACGTTGCAAATGGAACTGCTTATCAGATTGAATGTATCATCAACACGAGGATTTTTTGAATTTATCGAGAGTTTGTGTAATTTAAAATCTGATAAGATCGAAAAAAACCCTAACAAAATGCTAATCAGTCCAAATAATCGATGCATCAATATCCGATAGAAACTAGAAGATCGAGAACTAAAAATCGTGAAAAGTTTCATAAGAATTCGATTAATCAATTGAAATCATTCTTCGCGAATCTATTTCATCCATTGACATAAATATGATTCTGCATATTTAATCATATTATCAAATATGTTAAAAGGAAGAAAACAATTTTAGTATTTTACTTTTCAAATATACAAAAACAAAAACCTTCACCACGATTCATTGATAATAAATTATGAGCAATATCAGATTAAGAAATCCGTATAAAAATAGTCAATAAATTGTTTGATAGATAGATTCATTCGCTAACTATTGGAAAAATCGAACTATTCTTTTGTTGAAAAATAACTATTTTATCCATGATATATCATAATTTCGTGCTTGCATAATTTTGAGCTATTAGTTATAGCGTAAGTAGGTCATCGTAATTATAATTATGAACAACTCAAATTATTGATAACGCCACATCAATCATGACACTTTGAAAAGACAAATATTTACAGTACTATTTGTTTCACCGTTGTTACAAAGGCCCCGCTGTAACTTAAATCAATTCGCAAAATAGAAATTTACGTTTCTATTTAACCAATCAACAACAGATATTCGATTTTCGATTCCTAATCTGAATCGTAATCTGTGTCCTAATCTAATCTGTTTTATTATTCTTTGTTCCTATTTATACTGTGCAACACACACACACACCAGAGAGCGAGAGAGAGAGAAACAAAGGCAGTAAGAAGAAAAGACATTTGTTTCTTCGACTATAGTCGAAGAAAAGATGCCATTATTTACATCATCACGCACGGGAGCAAAGAAAGCAATAGTAAGATATGAAGAGAGAGAGAGAGAAAAGAAACTATGAGAAAGAACGGTTGACGTATGTACATCTCGAGTTGGATTGCACATACGTACAAGAAACAACATAAAAATGAAACAAGAACGTATAAGAGTTAAATAAATAAATAAACATATTATTTGTTTTTTTGCTGAATATTATTAAAAGTAATTTATGAATAAACATATGCATGCTGATCAGAAATGTATCAGAAATAATAAAATAGTATAACATTTGTGTGCGCAGTATTTTTATTTCGCATCTTGATAAGTGTATATTACGTATACTTTTAGAAGATATTCACATAAACAAACATGGCTCAGTTTTCATATAGTATTGATTCGGATTTTGCTTTTTTTTAAGGGATATCACTAACTAAAATAAGATTTATTTGAAATTGAATACTGGTGTGTGAGGGGTCTAGGTACGAAAACATCGATTCAAGCGAGGATGAGGATGTGAAGGAAAAGAATATTTTACACAGCCACTCTTTGCTCGAAAATATAATGAAAAAAATGAATGCTGAAAACGAAATGTTTGATTGAAAACATTGTCACTCACATCCTTCACTGTTGTCGTTCGAAAAAGCGATTAGATTTTACACGAATTTTGATGAAAACGAGACATTCAATGGAATTCACAATCTGTACTTAGTAACATCACTCCATAGATTATTCTTCACAGCACTTATGAATGATCTATACTTGAATTGGATGTGAATAAGAGTAATAGTGGATGAAGGGAACCTATGCGCAATCACACCCAACATATACACGCTCGGTGTGTCAAGCTCTAGTGGATTTTCTCGTTCTAGAGATTGTATGATCGAGAAGTTAAAATAGAGAAATGCTTGATAAGAAACCATTTTCTCTCATATCTATTTCATTTAATGATTCATAATAAATAAATCTACCGATCGTACTCCAAGCAAAATCATTATTCTCACAAGACCTTCTACAATCAATAGGCGCTCGTGGCATAGATATTCATATCATTAAATTTGATCCATAAAAAATTATGAGCGATTTCGTTTTAATTTGTGAAAATTACAAAAATTAACAACTTGTTTGACAGATTTATTTACTATGTACTCGAACATTTGAGATTTAATTTTGAAAAAAAACAAATATTTATAAAATATCGTGATGTTTTTCAGGTAATTATGACTAACAAAAACATAAGCAGGGTATAATAAAATAAGAATAATGTAAAAAACGCTCAGTTGACAAATGATCGTCATTAAACATATTTATATACCTGGCCTTTTTTCAGACGAAGCTATATCAATCAAGACACTGCCAACAAAGAAGCATTAATAGTCATATTTATATTAGTTTGTAAAATTTTATCTTCAGAATAGAATTTTGTTTTCGCATCGAAGTCTAATCATTGGTGCATATTTACCCGTTGAGTAGAGCGCTACTCAATGGAAATCTGTTGTTCGACGTTAATCACGTTAGCTGTTTAAAACTGAAACTAATCATTCAAATTCAGCTATTGATATAATTACTCATTTTCATATTGATAAGTACTCTTGCAAAAGTCAAAAATTATATCCCTGTCATTTTAAAGACTAGCATTAGTAGGCCAACGAGTATGAAAAGAAGCGAAAGAAAAAAACTATAACGGATGATTATGCATCGAGTTTCTCCCGTTGACATTTTTTATCGCGAAAATTAACTGAAAAAAACAGCTATTGTGTAGAAAATGAAAATTATCTAGAAACAACAGCCACTGTAACCGATCAATATGATTCAGACCATACAACGGTATCACCAACAAAAATTGAGGTAATCTACTTTTACCGATTGAATGATATAAGAATATATTTCTTATATGTCCTGAGCGGATTTGTATTTTTTCTGATCAAACCTATGATTAAGTATTCGTGGATTTTTACCTACTCAAATGCCAGCATGAAACAGATATGGAGAAATAAAGGTCTATAATAACAAAATATACTTGGATTTACACCGTTATGTGATAGTTGACATATAAGACTGGCTAGTGAGCTGAATTATTAATAAAATAGACGTTCGTATTTATTTGATACTAATTATCGGTATTTATTTATATGCACCGATTATTCACAGAGCAACAAATAATTTTTATATTTCCTACAAATATACAAAACATTGAAATCCACATCATACATGAATAGCAATATAAAAAAAACAAAGCCGATACGAATCAGTCAACCATAACAAGTGTTTAATTCGAACGCTAATTTTTGTTTCATAATCATAATTCATTTGTCGAAAGAGAAAACATTAATTCGAATTGGTAGTCGGATAAAAATCAAGATCTACAATAATCAGGTAAATTAACATTTATTTTAATCTTACTAATAGAATTTAATACACTTGTTTCTACCGATTTTCAAAAATTTAAGTAAACAACTGGAGGAAAGATCATTTGACGTGAATTATCAGCTTTCCCGTTTTGACATTATTTTAAAACAAGGAAAATTCGAGACAATAAATTTTTTAAGTTTAAATAAGTTCATATCAGTAGACTTTAACTTTAGACTGTTTCTTGTTTTCAATGTGTGAATGTGTGCACATTAAAAATATTGTCACAGCGTTGTTAGCTCTGAATATATGGAGATGTCTAATGAGCTAATCTACTCTGTACAATATAGAATAAGGCTTACATACATGAATAATAATATGTAGCTGATAGATCTATATGTATATATATAATAATAATAATGATAATAACGATAACAATAAATAACCAAAATATGATGAGAAGGATGAGAAGAAGATGATGATAACGAAAATACGAAGAACAGCACGAACTGCGTAAAATATGTATATATATATGTACGTATATGCGCAGTTCGAATAGCTCACTCACGTGAGCCGTAGAACGAAAGGAAAACACAAATATAGCGAAAACGCTATACGACAGACAGCGTCATCTGTTGACGCTGACATGTACAAATTCATTGTTTTACAAATATTTATTAATTGAGATTTTCTATAGTCAAACATTTTGTCGATGTCTCAACTGACCTAAAAATACATTGAATTGAATTCAGTAGTTTTGCTTCAAATTGTTAGTAGTTACTGTTGTGGGATGTGGAAGTAGATCAACAATATTAACATTCGTAAACCTGGGCGCACTTTTACCTATGTCGAATATACGTTGAGCTAAGTTGATAAAACCCTTGCCGGATATGAGATAAAATGGACGGTTATCTAAAGCAATAAATTCTGCGCATGCATTGACAACTTTTTCTTTGACTTTTCTTGAATTGATTTCACGTGTTGTTCGACAAAAATAATCTTTGATATTTGTATTATCATTTTTGTGTACCACTATCTTTTTACATGAGTTCTTGTGCTTCATCATACTACTTGTTCCACTTGATGACGTATGAACCCACAGACATTTGCAAATATCACAGGATACAAATTTTTGCTTTTGATCTTTGAAACATATGTAACTGAAATCAGACCAAAATTGTGACGTTGAAGATGACTCAGGCTTTGAAAAAGTAACGTTTCAATCATTATTTTATATTAGGTCGATAAGGTTTTCTTTGGTCACTGGTTCAGCATCAATCTAAAAAGTAAAAATATTTTCAATCTACTATTTATTGATAAAGTAAAAAATAAAAGTAAAAACGGATTCACCTGATAAACAAATACATAATATTTTACTTTGTTTTATATTACCTT